TATGAATGGTAATGTACTCGATGAGTCTCCTACCCTTCATCTTCTAGGATTAACTCTTACTTCTGATCTTTCTTGGAAACCTTATATCAAATCCGTTGCAAAATTAGCATCTGCTAAAGTTGCTTCTCTTTATCGAGCTCGTCACTTTCTTACTCTGGATTCTATTCTCTATCTCTATAAATCTCAAATCCGGCTTTGTATGGAATACTGTTGCCATATCTGGGGCGGATCTTCTAATGATGCTCTTTCTCTTTTAGACAAGGTGCAAAAACCCATTGTAAACATAGTTGGACCTGCTCTTGCAGCCAACCTTCAACCTCTGTCACATCGTCGTAATGTTGCTTCTCTTTCTCTTTTCTACAAATACGATAATGGGCAATGCTCTAAAGAGCTAGTGTCTCTTGTGCCATCTACTAAAATTCATTCTCGTGTTACTAGTCATTCAATTAAGTCTCATCCTTTTTCTGTTACTGTTTCAAAGTGCTCCAAAAACTCTTATTCGTCTAGTTTTTTCCCTCTAATATCAGTTCTTTGGAATTCGCTTCCTTCATCTTGCTCTCCTGATTCATATAATTTGCAATATTTTAAGTCGTCTGTCAATCGTTATCTTGCTCTACAATCTTCATCTTTTCTCTTCCAGTAACTTCCAACACTAATTAGTGGTTGCTTGCAACCTTGTTGGAAGTTAAGATAATTAAAAAAAAAAAAATAAGTATAGAAACACTTACAAAATATAAAATCATATAACCTTAACACATAATAAAAGCACATATTAACGCGTCATATAACACATAAAAATACTTGTCAAAAACTATAAATTAAGAACATTTACAATATTTTTGTAATATTCATTCAATGACATACCTAGTAATGCATGTTTCTCAAATTTAAAAAAATTATCTAATGAATTGTTTCTGGAAAACCAAGAACAATAGCAACTTTATCAAATGTTAGACCCTGAATTTTATTTATTTTCATTGATATCGATAATAAAAGTGTCATTTAAATAATTTAACTTGATAGCATTAAAATTAATAGGAAAAATTAAAAAACAACACAAAAGTTTATGAAGAAAAATATATATATATATGTAAAAAGCAACTTAAAAGTTAGAAATGTCTTCATTTATGATTTTTGAGCCACGTCTTCTTGTTCTCCTCCCAGCATCCTCTCTTCCTCTGGTGCCATATGGGGGGCAACCCTCTATTTAAAAAATGGAATATCTCTCCTATACAGTCACTATTGATAGAGATTACTGTCACTATTGATAGATACTGTCGCTATTGATCACCCTCTGTGATAGAGGACCCAGATGCTAGGAGCAATACAATAAAAATTGATCCAAAGTTTATATATATATATATGTGTATATATATATATATATATATATATATATATATATATATATATATATATATATATATATATATATACTGAGAAAATCAATCAATGAGTTTTTATAAGTAAAAATAAATGTAATCAATGTAATAAGTCAATCTATACAGTTAATAAGTATAATGTATATAGTTAATTATAATAACAATGTAATAAAAATAAATCTAATCAATGTAGTAAGTCAAGTATAAGTTAGTACAACAACTTTCTTGTTGTAACAGAAGAAGCTGCAGCGACATAAATAAATTAAAATTACAATAAAAGCAATCAATCAATGCTATAAGTTAAGTATAGGTAAGTGCAACAGCTAACTTATTGTACTCAATTATTCTTGACTTAGATTGACTTGACTCAATTATTCTTGACGTAGATTGATTGGAAAATACATTTGTAATATATTAAAAAAAAAAATGTACAATAAAAGCAATCATGTTATCAAATTAAAAATTACACATTTTATGATTTCACTGACAACAAACAGATTTTATTATGTGTTTCATAGTGACCACAAACAGCTTCGCTGGCAAGGACAACATTCTAAGCCGAAGTCACAACTCTTTAAAACCATGGAAACAACATAATTACTTACAAACTATAAATACATAACATTATAACACATAATACATATGGAAACACTTCATATATAGCAGGTATTTACATATTTATGACACATAAACACTTACAAAATATAAACCCATCTCAACACATATAAAAGCATAACAAATAACACACATTACCACATCATATGACACATAAAAATAGTTAAATATATAAATTAAGAAAAATATATAAATAAGGAACATTACAATTATAACCTTATTTGTGCGATATTTGTTCAATGACATACTTTGCAATGCATGTTTATTAACCTTAAAAAATATATGATCAAACAATCTGGTTTGTTATCAACCTTAAAAAACAAACAAACAATCTGGTTTGTTATATTATAAAAGCAAACAGATTTTTTTTGTAATTTGTATTAGTGATTGATATTTTTAAAGTTATTTAAAATCTATTAGAAAATTTATAAAATATAAATAAAACTAGGTTTTTAGTAACAATATTTGGTTTCCAGTAACAAAATTTGTTTTGTTTAATTATTTATAAAAAATATGGTGTTTAATAGTAATAGTTTATAAATAAGTACATTTGTTAATACAACATTGTTTGTGTAGCATTTATTAAATGAAATACCTTGAATAAATGTTCATCAACTTTAAAAGATAAGCTATTAAACGATGTTCTTGAACATACAACATAGAGTTAATCATGTGAGAAGCAAGATAAATACCAACTTTATCAAAAGTTTGAATTTGTTCAAAAGTTTGAACTTAGAAAAGAGCATCGTCTTTGAGTTCTTAAAAATAAAAAATGCTGATAAATATTTCAAATGTAATTGACAAAGGACTTGAGTTATTATTAAAATGAAATACCTGACTAAGTTACTTTACTTATTTAAAAATAACATTTATCTATTACTACAGAATTTATGATTGCATTAAAAATTATGATCTAATATAAAGGTTTTAGATCTAATAATTGATTAAATAAATATTAACAGAATATAATATTTATATAATATTAGTAGAATATAATAATAATATAAGATAATAAAGATTTATGAATTATTGCGTGGTCAAAAATATAAAGTGAAATTTTTAATAGCAAGGCATAATATATCTGCTTTAAAAAACTCTGTGTCAAACACGCATGAATAAGTAATGGCAGCAGCAGAGTTAAGTTAAACATTAATTTTAAGTGATGGAAAATTATCAAGGAACTCGAGGAACAAAACAGATGTGATTAATAAAATTAATTTTTCCAGGAAAAAATAAAGATCCAGGTGGTGAAGACACTGTAATGGTTCTTAAAAAATTTGTTTTAGATATTGTTAAGCAATATTTAGGCTTAGGCACAAATCCATTTGCAAAACAAATCTATTCATAATTTAAAAAATAAAAACATGTAGTGTTTAATGTCGACCCCAAATCAACTGTTCATTTTCATCTTGTTTTAAAATACGAATATGCTCATATAAAATCAGAAAATTAAGATATTTACTGCATAGTGTTCATCAGTGCACAAATGCACACTTTTTAATTCAAAGATTCGGTTTTTCATACTTTTTATAAGATTTTCCAAACAAACCTTTGAAATACCGTTCCATGCTTGTTGGATAGATGTTTTATGTTCTTGTATTGTATTATCCAAAAAATCTAGTTCTCAGTAGGTAAACCTTTACTTAACTCTATTAAAACATCTTTTGAAAGATCTACATAATTTCTTGCATTCATTTTTGTTGTAATAAAACATATTGGAATTTTGCCGTGGAAACAAAATGCGACCCACACCATAACTGTCCCTTCTCCAAATTATGACTCATACCTGTGCTATCTTTTTTTTCAAATCATGCCTTAAAACCATCAGGCCCATCTAAATTAAACTTTTTGTTAGAAAAAAATAACATTTTCGCATTTTTTATCCCATGTTATGTGGTCCTATGCAAACTTAAATCTTGCACTTTTTTGTTTTTTTGTTTTGTGATCATTCTTTTGCATTGGAATCGTCCTGATTTTAACAAAATTTGTTTGACACATCTTGTAGTCACAGGTTATTCAAGTTCAGTCTTTATTTGTCTTGCTGTTCGTACTCCGGATGGCGCAAAACGCAAAATGGAAGAATGTTGTCTTTTGGTTGTTTTTTTATTTCTGCCCTTAAAGTGATTTTTGTAGTAATTTTTACCTAACTTTATAAAATTGTTCACTGCATGATGAAACCTTTTTATTTTCTTTGCAATTTGATGATTGGACAAACCCGTATCTTTGTAATTGTAAAAACAATTTTTGTATTTTCTTCTTCATTTAACACCTTTCCGCGTGGCATTGTAATAATTAAATAACAAATCTTAAATAAAAATACAAAAAACTTTTCATATAAAACAAACAAATAAATCTTACTCAAACTTCAATTAACTTTTATTAAGTGTTCAAAACAAACTAATGGAACTATGGAAATTTCGCCAATATAAATACCAATTTCAAAAACATTCTTGAAAATTTAGTTTCAATTGTTTTAAAAGCATAAAATTGTCATAAATGCATTTGTTTGCAATAAGTCTAATTAAAAAAATGTTTGTGGTTTATTTTTTAAATGCGTTCCGAATAAAATCTGCAATAACTACATGGAACTATAGAAATTTTGCTGAGTATATATATATATATATATATATATATATATATATATATATATATATATATATATGTGTGTATATATATATATATATATATACATATATATATATATATATATATATATATATATATATATATATATATATATATATATATATATATATATATATATATATATATATATATATATATATATATATATATATATATATATATATATATATATATACAAACACACACATATGATGATTTTAAATACCATATTAGCTAAATTTGTAACATATACAGTATTTAAAATTATAGTTTTAACAAAGTTAAAAACTAAAAATACTAGAAAAGCAGCCAACATTCTCGTGTTTAAAATCTATTAATTTTTTATTTTATAAATTTAAAGTTTTTATTGTTTTATTGCAGTTACCTAGTTCTGCACCATCATCTGTGACATTGCAACCTGCACCAGGTGATACTGGAAAAGTAAGCATTTTTATATATTATATATTTATATAAAAGTTTTTCAAAATAATATTTTTATAGATAATATTTTTATTGAAATTAGCTTGATGTCTTCATATTATTGTTAAATTCATTAGCTTAATTCTAATTTAAAAATTACAGATTAATATACTTTAAATACAATTGACAAAGGACTTGAATTGTGTTATTATTATAATGCATGAATTAAATAAATTACCCGACTTTAAGTTACTTTACTAATTCAAAAATATCATTATTAAAATCATTAGCAAATATTAAAATCATTATTGTTTTCATACCATTAATAAATTCATTAGCTTGATGTCTTCATACTATTATTAAATACTAAGGATGTACTGGAATTGCATTGCGGCCGTAATTTGTGTCTTTCATTTTGGTCATTCAGGCCAGAATGGCAGAATTTATTTTTTACTTATTTTTATAAGACATGTAACACAGGCTGTGTAAATAAACCAAAAAACCATTGTCCTACAAGCCAATAAAGAACTATAGGTAAACCTAGATAAAAAATACAAATTTCTAAACCAACACAATATAATTTTATTTGCAATAACCATTTATATAAGGATTTCTGAAAGTTTAGGAATATTGTGGTGCAAAAAAAGTTGCTATACAGTTTTGGTCACTAGCTATTTTTCTAGCTATTTTTTTCATCAAAAATGTTACCTGCCTCTGAAAGTCTCTTTGAGGAACATTTAAAATTTCTGATAAATTTTAAATGTTCCTTAAATTTTTAATAGTTATAAAATATAGGATGCCTAAAACAGTAAATATTTATTTTTAACTTAAATGGAAAAATAGAAAGCAAAGAAATATTTTTAAATAAAAATATAAGAAACAAATAAAAACAACATATTAAATTTAAAAATTTGAACAAAACAAGGATCAAATTAATTAAGGTTATATATATATTATAGGTTATAATATATATATTATATAGCCAAGATGCTGAGGTATAGGCTTTCAATTTCAATCTTGAAGGTAAAAAATTCCATAAATATAATTCTTAATCTGGATGGAATTTTTTTTTACAATTCTGGCAAATCGGGTTCTTGCCAGATTTGCGAGAATTGTTAAAAGAATTCAAAATTTTCATTCTGGTACACCCCTATTAAATACATTAGCTTAATGATATTCTTGAATTATTTTGTAGTGTTGTATATTTTTCTTCTTACTAATATTATTACTATTATTAAATGTATATATATAAATTATTTTTTTAAAGTGTTTACTTTAAATTAGTATTTATTACTGTTTGTAAATATCTATGAAAATTTTATGATATATATATATATATATATATATATATATATATATATATATATATATATATATATATATATATATATATATATATATATATATATATATATAGCCATATTCTCAGGTTAAAATTGTTATGATAATAAATAATTGTGTTGATGACTGTGTTTATATAACAGTTACCATTTTTATTTAAAAAATTATCAATTTGTTTCTCTGTATTGCTGACTTATCAAGATTTAACATTCAATCATTAAAAAAATGAGTTTAATATTGATGAACATATTAATTTGAGCTATAAATTTATTAAAAAAAATTACAAATAATTAAATTTTTTATTTAAATTTCAAAAAGATTGTTGAAAAAAGTACAAAAAAATAAATACTCATTTAACCTAATATAAAATTACCATTAATCTAGATTAATTAGAATAAATTAGCATTAATGTAGAATAATAAATCTCTATCTGCGCTTAAAGTTTTGAAGTAAATAAATCTCCATCTGTGCTTAAAGTTTTGAAGCTTAATAAATAAATCTCCATCTGCGCTTAAAGTTTTGAATGAATTTAATTTTGTTTTAATAATTTAATAAATTTATTGATTTTTGAAAACTTATTTAAATTTTTTTTTTTTTTTAAGAATTCAAATTTGTTTAAAAAAGTTTACATTTTTAAATAATATAGTGGTTTACCTAATAATATAGAGTGTTTTTTAAATGTTTGTAGAATGTATTAAGTTGTTTAAATGTTATATTAGTTTCTTTTCTAAAAATTTTTTTCTAATTTTGCTTTATTATAAATAATTTTACAAAATTTCCTTTAACAATTTTAGCCACTTTTTCATTCCACCACCAGGATTTATTTTGTCTCCAGAGACCTTTTTAGGAACACTTTATTTGAGACTTCTATAAAGTTTATTTGTTATATTTTAATAGGTACCTTATAATTAGATCTTTAAAAATTATCTAACCAGATTTATCTATCCAATTTTTTGATATTTACATCTACAGATTTTTTAATTAACAAAACAGCATATATTTTATTGTGCCATAAATTATAAATTATCCCCTATATTATAGGAACTAAATATTATAAATTATCTCTTAAGTATATTCTTCTATCTATTTGAATTTTGAACAGTTATATAAAGTTTTCAAAAGTTTATTTTCTTATTGGATCAAAAAGTATTTTGAACACAAATATGCTGTTCTTTATGCTTCACATTTTCTAGAAATTAACACAGTAATGAATATAATTCGAAAATTCATCATTATATAAGAAAACTTGGAAGTTGATGCACTAAGAAGGCATTTTTAAATTAATATCAATGTAGAGAAGCATTTTTTAGTTAATATCAATGTGAAAAAGTGTTTTTTTTAATCTCAATCTGAAGAAGTGTTCTTTTTTAATCGAGTGTTAAGTGAGTTTAAAAGAGAGTAACTTATCCAGGACACTCCTATTAATTTCTGCACTTTATCTTTTTTAATTTCTGAATTTCACACTTACCAACCATTGATCTTTTATATATATATATATATATATATATATATATATATATATATATATATATATATATATATATATATATATATATATATATATATATATATATATATATATATATATATATATATATATATATTAGGACTGTTCCGAATTTAATTTTTACAAATCCTGCCTGAGTCAGATTCACCATATTTTTACTGACAATTCTGGCCAGATTTCGTAACAAAATTACAGAAGCCAAATTCCTGTACATCCCTAGTGGGTTTTAAGAATGGCCAACAATGTTTGCCATTCTGAATACCAAGTGACAACTGATTTCTGTTAAACTTCATTGTTGTTGATAAAATAAAAAGACGCAATTTCACAATTGCAATTTTTGCATGTTGTCACTCCACCACTGTAGTGGATCAGCATGTCTGTTTCAGGTTATGCCAGATACTGGCTTAGCTGAGTGTCAATGCCTGTTGGTATTTGTTGTTCATGTGCTGTGCCACCAGTGGATGTAGACTGAACAATTTCATCAATAAATTACTAGAGGATGATGTAGAAGAATTATCTAGCCAAACTTGTTTTGCTGGAATTTCTTTAATTTTGTCAATCTACTGCTCAGCATGCTCAGATTGACCTCCATCTTGCATTAATATCCTCTGCACTGTAACTTAATTAAATGCAAGCAGAACCGCTGCTTTTGCAGCTGTCAGTGTTGCTGTGATGAGAAGAATTTAGTTTTAAATCATAGATTAATCAGTATTGACACTGTATAAAGAGGTTTCTCCTCAATGTCTTTAAAATGCTCATCCAATGACTTGAGTAGGGTTGACTTCATAGTCTTGCACCTGCATCATTGCCTTCCTTATTCAACAGGTTCCGCAGAGCTGTTACAATAAGGATAACTTGTGATATATGTGCTGTTTCATAGCTAACGTTATGAGTAGCCTCTTCAAACAGAGCCAGCACACATAGCTTATTCTCAGTCATAGACCATTGATTTGCAGTGAGGAAGGAAGTTCCATCAAAGTACCGCCTCTTTAAAACTCTCATCAGTTCAACGAAGTCTGCCTTCTGAACAACCTGAATCGATTCTATATATGTTTAATCATATTAATATTAGCTCAACAATGAATTCTCATTGTTCAGCGTTTATTGATATCCTATATTTTCATGCGTGCAACTTTTTCTGGAATTGTGTACTAGACCATGGTTTTGATGGTTGTGGCTGTTGCACCAGGCTTAGCATTTGACAGAGCTACACTTTCAGCTTTCTTCTGTGAGTCAGCAATTTTTATTGCATTTTGTCTTATTCTTTATGATGTTTTGAATGAAGATGTGTTAGCATAGATGAAGTTGAAAACTTTTTAGGTTCACCAGCTTTACCACGTGACAAGATGCTGGAACACAGTAAGCAATGAAATTTTGGGCTGTCGTCATCCTTTGATTTGAAGTTTTCCCAAACTGGACTGCTTTTCCCTTTGTCTGCCATCTAGTTAAAAACAAATCTTATGAATGACTATACAATTTTTACTAAGTAATTTTTACGTTCTGTTCGTATATTTAATATCTAAAGATAAAAGTTATTTTATTAAAACTTAAAATCCACAAATTACAAACAAAGTCTTTATCGTGTGTCTTTTATTCAGAATTTGTTTCTTCACTTTAGACATGCCCCAATTTAAAATATATATTTACTTCACTTTGCTGTTTTGTTTTATTTTTATTGTTCTATTTTATTCACATTTATACTATATTGCACTATATTATTATTATAATAAATATTACTCACATAATAATAAAATTTATAATAATTAAACATTTTTTTATTACTATAAATGTGATATATATATATATATATATATATATATATATATATATATATATATATATATATATATATATATATATATATATATATATATATATATATATATATATATACATATATTGACAGCATGGTGTCTTTTGAATACTTTTTATTTTTAAAAGAGTGCTTATGATTGGCAAAACGTTTTTTAAAATATTTTTATAAAAAAAAGCATAAGTAATCATTTCTAAAGAATTCTTTTTATAATAGTGTCAGCAAATTCCACAAATGTGTGAAAATTTACAGTAGTTAAAACAATTGCGACTTCCTGTAATTTAATTTTTTGGTATAAATTGAAGCTTTATTAATTTGATCATTCATTTCTGATGAGTCTTAGTTGATGAAGCACAGAGTGAAATAAAAAAAAAATTTTGAAGTTTGGACTATACTGAAATAAATGCACTATTATATCTAGACTCTTCTGAAATAAATGCACTATTATATCTGGACTCTACTGAAATAATTGCACTATTATATCTGGACTCTTCTGAAATAAATGCACTATTATATCTGGACTCTACTGAAATAAATGCACTATTATATCTGGACTCTTCTGAAATAAATGCACCATCAAACAATGTAAGGTTGAAAAAGAAAAAAAGACAAATTTGAACCAAAATTACTTGTTTGGATTGCATTCCCATTGTTTATTACCTAGCCTTAACAAGCCAAGCAGTCTATGAAAATGTATTATCAAATTAGAGAAATTTATTAAAAAATATAAAAATGACAGTATCATTTTCTGGTCTGATCTTGTTTCATCACATAATTCATGTAAAATACAAAGATCTAAAATCAAAAAATATTGAATTTATACCAAAAGTACTTAACCCTGCTATGTGAGCACCATAAAAGAACATTAAACTAGGAAGTTCGCGCAAAAATTACAGAGCTTTAATAATTTTTAAAAAGCTATTTAAGTTTTTAGTTATATATTTTCAATTGAAAACTTTTCAAAATAAAATGTTAAAAGCCATTTTACTTATTTTATTTATTTTACTAAACAAACTATTCTTAACACAAAAGAACCTTTTAATAGACAATATTTTTGTATTTGTGTTTTTAACATTGTATGTAAAATATGACTTGGTTGAAGCGAAAATAATAGATACAACTATTAAAGATTTTATTTAATAATTTAAATAAAATCTTTTTTTATTTACAGTTGTAAAAAATTATTTTTTAAATTTGAATTGTGTAGCGCAAAAACAATTTTAAAAGTGTCGAACCTGTTCATTTAAGTTTTAATTACAAAAGCCTTTTCTTATACTACTTCCTCACTTGGAGCTAATTCAGTAATTCAGCGATTTTTCAAATTTTCAAAACTTTTTTAGATTTTTTAAACTTTTCAAATTAAAAAAAAAATTTACAAAGAAGATGTATAAACTTTTATATAAATGAAAACAAAAATAAACGCTAAATAAAATGTTTATAAAATAATTCATTATTTTAATAAAACAGAAATGTAATTATATACTTAAATAGAGTGAAAATAGTTTAGTCAAATGCAATGTTTTTTAGAAAAATATTTAAAAAGAATAATATTCTTTTTAAATATTTTTCTAAAAAACATAACGATGCTTGATAAAATATCAGAAAAACAACTGTTGCTGATAATTGTTTCTTTAATGTATTTATAATATGATGAAAAACATTACTGTGTAAACTAACAAAAACATTTCACCGTTTGTCCACTCACTGATTTTTTTGGCATTTCACCATATTTCCACTTATTTAATCCTGCCGAAGCTTATATATATTAGGGTGCATCCAATACCCCATACTTTCAAAAATTGATCACAAGCAACTCTGTTAAATTATTTTAAAATTGAATGAGATTTAGGGGGGCCACCTCAAGTCTGAAGACCTTAAATAGAAGAAAAAAATGTTTTTCAAATTTATGTCATGTTGGGTCTCAAAATAAGTGAAATTTTATAAATATTAAAGATTTTATACAAGAATTATTATTTTAAATTTTATTGCATAATAATTATAATTTTTAACAAAAAATTATAAATGCTGATAATTGATCGATTTAGTTAATTTGAATTGATTATAAGACCAACATGACCTAAGAAATTTATTACCAAACTAAGAGGAAGAGAAAGAATATTAATTATCAAATCAAAGCGCATTTCTATTTAATAAAAATAGGTGGCAAAATTCCCCAATTTAGTATTTCCGTAATAACTTTAGATCAAAATTAAAAAGAAAAAAACAATACAAAGATTCTCTGAAAAAATTTCCAATATTTTAGTCTTTTAAATTTTGAATGGAAATAATTTGATTTTTAAGAGAATTTTAAATTTCCTGTTTTTTTATAGATTATTTTTTTCAATTAATTTTCTTGTCAAGTTTTCACAAAAAGAAGTATTTTTACTACATAATTTAATAAGAAATTTGTTTTTCTTCTCATAAAAATTTGAGTTATAAAAAAAATCTTATTCCTGAGTTAAAGTTATAGTTATAAAGGTAGATATAAGCCAATTGGTGGCAAAATTACCCCATTCTACTCTATATATTGTATTATATATACTTAGAAGTTATGCTCAAGTATTATAAAAATTTTGTTGTTTTATTATAGCCTTGTGGAGTTGATTATGAGCTAAGAGTTTATATGTCAGAGACCGCAGATGAAAAAGAATATAAAAGGTTAATAAAAATATTCATCTATCAGTTATATTTAATTTATATTGAAGTGGTCTCCTTAAAGTATTTTTATTTAAAAAGTTTGCATTTCTTAATACTTTTATTTCAAATTATAAGAGATATGTGTTTTTTTTTTTTTTTTTTTTTTTTTTTTTTTTTTTTTTATAACAAATTTATAAAATATAGAACAAACTTTTTTTTTCTTTATACTTTCTTTAGCAGTTTAAAATAATTTAGAAATTCAGTGCGGTTGGCTATTAGAAAAATAACATATGCACCGCCAGTTATAGCAGCTCAGGTAGGAAAAAATATTTTTGTTTACATTTTTTATACTTTCATTTACAGTAAATTGCCTTAAAAATTAATCTTAATAATATTTCAAAAGTATAAGAAATGAAATAATTAATCCTCTTGAAATGTTTACTTAACAATTGGTTTATTTAATTTTTTTTTAAAGGTTTTTGAAATATGGCTACTGTGTAATGAAACATTTTAAATTCAGTATTACCAATTTGATCCCGCTACATACAGACTTAGTGGGATCAAATCAAATTTGGAACTTCATGTTTACAAAGCAAGCCCTCTACTGATTTAACACAACTGCATTAATTAACCATATTTAACCAATTAACCATATTTAACTAATTAACCATATTTAACCAACTAACCATGTTTAACTAATTAACCATACTTAACTAATTAACTATCTATTAACCATATTTAACCAATTAACCATATTTAACCATATTTAACCAATTAACCATATTCAACAATAAGCAGTTAACAATTAACCTATCTATTAATTGTTTGTATTTATTAATTTAAAAGAAGACTTTTTTTCCAAATAGTCATATTTACACAAAATGCAAAATATGATAATTAATTTCATTCACTCTTTAATTAGCTAATTTTAAAGTTCTTCATTGTTTATTTTAAAAAAATTGCTTATAGATTAAACAGTTTTTATTTGCAGATTACTTATGTTTATTTTTTGTTGTAGATAACTTCAGTTTTATTTGCTTTTTATAAGCGTCTGTTTAATATTTTTATTGTTCTTATGGCGATATGTCTAAACATTTATACCTAATATTAAAATATCCACAACAACTAATTGTCATTATAATTATTATTAATAATTTTTATTATTTTGCTCATTTTTCTTATTTAAAATTTTAGCCTACAGTGGAACAGCATAAGGAATTTATGATGTGTCCACATCCTCTTATACTTGAAGCAAGTTTAGACAAAGGGGTAAGATAATTAATGTTATCTTTTTAGAAAAAAAAGTTTGAAATATTAATTTTTTAAAATATTCTTATAGATGTATTACCATGGTGAATCAATTGCTGTGAATGTACATATATCAAACCGTTCAAATAAAACTGTAAAAAAAATTAAAATAACTGGTAACAATTTAGTGTTCATTCTTGGAAATTAAAATCTCTTTTTCAATTTCAATTTAGTTATTTTTTCGTATTTTTAGTACGACAATATGCCGATATTTGTTTATTTTCTACTGCACAATACAAATGTCCTGTGGCTTCAATAGAATCTGAGTAAGTGTATCTTTGACTTGAAACATGATGATGATGATGATGATGATGATGATGATGATGATGATGATGATGATGATGATGATGATGATGATGATGATGATAATGATGATAATGATGATGATGATGCGTGTTCTGAATCTACTTAAAACAAGTTGGTTGCAAACAATCATTTGTAGTTATAATTTGTACTTCAGAATTGTGTCGAATACATTAAAAAGGCCTAGTGTCACAAAAAAAATGAATAGTGTCGCAAATGAATTTAATGAATAGTGTCAAAAACAAAAAAAAAGAACAGTGTCGTGAATAAATTTAATGAATAGTGTTGAAAACAAAAAAGAGGAAAAATGTCACAAATAGTAAAAGCGGAATAGTGTTGCAAATAGTTGATTTCAGCAATTGCTTACTCATTTTGCTAATCTTTATCGCATATGGCTTTTACAGGAAAAAAAAGAAGAAAAAAACAAAGAATAATGAAAGAAAATGTTGCTATCAAACCCTAAACCCTCAGTCGATGTAGCCGTACTCCTTTGCGGCAGCAGGCTATATGATAGTTGCTGTAGTACTGAAATCCCAGGCAGCAGGCTATTTCAGTATGACATCAGACATGTTATCTAAACACACATTTATAGTTATTATTATTTTATTATTTTTGTTGCTATTCATTTCACTCCTTTAGCACATTATTCCTTTTTTCTATTTTTAACACTATTCATTAAATTCATTTGCGACACTATTCCTTATTCTGTTATTCGATAATTCTATAATGCAACAATTGGCGACACTATTCCTTTTTTACATTTGCGACAATCAAAATTTTGCGACACTATTTCGCCGCACACCCTCAGAGAATCTCTAAGAACAATTGTCTGACAAGTCTAATTTGAGTTTAAATGCATTGTTATGGCTGAATGTCTGCTTTGTTGTCTTGATAAGAACTAAACTAATATAGTTATAATTACCAAATAATAATTAGTTACCAAATTAAAAAAAATTTTGAATTTTACTTTTTTCTTTTAATTCATCTCATTAATTCTGGATACTCCTGAGTATTTTGAAATAACGCGAATTATTTTTTAGTTATTACATTTTTTTATTAACACTTTTCATTTTGCAGTTAAACCATTACTGATTCAAATAAATTGAAAAAAAAAAAAGTTGATTTACATATGTTTTATATATAATAAGTCTTAAAGACTTTCATTTTGGTTTTTTCATTTGTAAATATTATATATGGCGCGCTATGCTTTTAGTGTAAAAAAAAAAACATTGTTTCCTTAGAGAAGGATTTCCTGTTGGGCAAAGCGGTACACTTTCAAAGATCATTTACATTACGCCTCTTCTAGCAAATAACAAGGTTTGTAGTTAATATTATTGTGTTTGAAAGATTTGTGTAATACGCCAATAATAATACAGCAGATCCATTTTAATCATTGTTCCTCATATACCTATGTCTTCTATGGAATTTGTATATTATAAATTTAATATTTTTATACTTGTAGTACCTATAAATATAAAGAGTTATTATAGTACCTATAAATAATTTTTTTTTTAATTTTGTGATTTCATCAATAAATAACTAATTATATACATTATTGGTAATAATGCTAGCTTGAATGTTAATAATGGTAGCATTATAGCAATTATTGATGGTATATTTTTTTTATTTGTAGCAACTATTGTCTTTAGGAAATAATAGTTTTATTACATTTTTTCTTCATTGAGAGAATTTTTTTTAACTCTTAAGCAAAGTATTTTGCATAAGAGTAAAGAATGATAGACAGTATTTTTTTAAGAAGGAATTTTTCTCAAAGGCATATAAGATTATTGACAGCCTAACACATCATGTGCTACCTATATACATGATTATCTGCAGAGGAGTGGCTAAAAGACAATGTTAATGAAAGAAAGATTGATTGGATAAACTGCAATACATATTACTGCAAAAAGAATTGTGCTGGGTGTTTTGATGTAATCAATAAATTTGAACTGTATGATGTTCTACCATGGCAACAGTTATTGTTTGTCCATAGTTTATTATTTTTCTTAACTGAAATATTTTTATTTGTTGTTAATCAAAAACTTGATATTATATATATATATATATATATATATACATATATATATATATATATATATATATATATATATATATATATATATATATATATATATATATATATATATATATATATATATATATATATATATATATATATATATATATATATATATATGCATCAGGGCTTCTTAAATGATACTGAATGCAAGCCCGCGCGTCAGGGTTTTCAGAATTAAAGTTAACATTAGTTAACTAATTTTTTGATACACTTTCAACAGCATCAGTTTTAAGATATCGGTCTTTTTTTTCATTTTTTCGAGTGAGGTCTTTTACTAAGCAAGCACTTATCAAAAAAGGATTTGGTTCACATAAATACCTATATTTTTCGTCAAAACTTCAACATGGTTCTTCTTCACATAAAACTTTGTCTTCATAGATGTCATTAAGACTGTTTAAATGATACCCATCGCTTCCATTAAAGGAATAAGAACATATGAAAAACTTCAACTTTGTTTCTATTTGTATTTCTGTAACAAAATATTTAAACGACAAATGTTCACAATGTTTTTATATATATATATATATATATATATATATATATATATATATATATATATATATATATATATATATATATATATATATATATATATAATTCTAAGAAGTGTGATCCTCTTTAAGTGTCATTAAGTTTATAGTAAACAACAAAAAGATGCAAAGTTGTTTGGCTGTTTTCTCAGTAAAACCCTTGAACAGCAACTTAAGTGCCTAAAACATCCATATTGATGTTTTAGACACTTAAGTTCAAATACTATTAGTTTATTATTAGTGAAATCTATGTATATTGTAGTGATGAGGTTATGATTTGATCATTTACAACATTATGGGTATATAGTTGCAAATGCAATATTGTATATGCAATTATAGAATTTATTTGTTCAATGTGATTTTTGAGATCTGAAAAAATATATTAAAATTTTTATTTTTATTTTGAAAAGTTGTTTGTTTTTATAAGAAATTTTTCTTGACATTTTTCATAATATTTTGTGTGGGCTGCTTAGTCCAATAAACTCTATTTAAAGCGTTTTTAATTTTTTAAAATGTATTTACCGCTCAAAAGCTCAAGCAAGTCTAATGTCAAATTAAGAGAAATTAGTTTTTGTAATTTTATTGTTTTGTTTTAAAGGATAAGCGTGGTTTGGCATTGGATGGCCAACTTAAACATGAAGATACTAATCTAGCTTCTTCTACAATGTTAGTTTGTTTTTACATAATATATTTAAGTATTATATATTATTATATATAATTATGTTATAGTATTATTAATAGATTATATATAATATATCATTATATCAGGGCTTAATTTAACAGTCGGACATCGAACATTGTCCGGCTAAAACCTCAGATTGTCCGATCAATTTACAAAGTCATCAGACATTTTGTCCGGCAAGATTTTTAATTCTTTAAAATAAAATTTTATTCATTGATTTGAAATTGACAAATTTAAACTTTATGTAAACTATTAGACAAACTTATAAAATATGTTGATAATAGAGACATTCATTCCCAAAAAAAAGCGCTGTTATTAATTGTAGTTTTATTGACTGTTCTTTAACAGTTTTATTGTTATAAAATTTAAAATTATTGCTTATTTAAAACAATCGCAAAAGTCAAAGTATGTTCGATTGATTACTGCAAATGTCGTGGACACCGAAAAGCAAAGAAAAGCAAGCAGTTTGAAAAATTTGATAATAAAAGATTTTACAAATGTTTTTTTAGAGGCTGAGATCTCATCGATGGATTATTTTAAAAAAAACATTAAGAAAATATACATTTAAATATTAACGTTATAATCATCCAAATCATTCTATTTTAGCTTGAGCGGTTTCTCGGTGGCATCCTGGTCCTACTCGAGTTTTCCGATTCTTTATTTATTATTCGTTTTTTAAACTATATCTTTATTTGTATTTTTTTTCTTCTTATATATATATATATACATATATATATATATATATATATATATATATATATATATATATATATATATATATATATATATATATATATATATATATATATATATATATATATATATATATATATATGTATATATATATATGTATATATATATATATATATATATATATATATATATATATATATATATATATATATATATATATATATATATATATATATATATATAAGATTAAAAAGTTCTAGCTTTATAAAACTTGTCTGCCAAAGAAGGAGTGCCTTTTTGAAAAGTAGATAAATAATAACCTGTAGAACTCATAAAATTTTCTTCGTTGAATTGATCGAATTTTAATGACATGCAGCGCGTGGAGTTTTTAAATTAAATAATAGCCCATATGAACGCCATATAAATACCTTTTTGGCGCTAAAAGTGGAGCTTATGCGCAAAATTTATAAATGCAATTCAATGTAAACTAACAAGGTTTTCGAGAGAAAAAAAACTCAATAAAACTTCAAGTCTATCTAAAAAAATGCGCAGTATTGAATTTAAACTATTTCATTTAAAATACAAAGATCTACGATGATAAAAATTCTGAATATTAAAAAAAAAACTACAACTTCCCTAGCCTAAAATAAAATAAACTTGCAAAACATAACATATATTTCGATTGGATAATTGGGTTCCGTAAAACTCAGATACGCCAGAAGCTAGTCTAAAAAAACCCATCTGCAGTACTTTTTTACTCTCGGCATTTAAAGAACTATCTTTTTCCTACGTTCCTCTTAACAAAACAAACATGAATATATGTAAATATTGGTGAAAATTATTTGTTTACATTTTATTTCAAAAATTTGATCGGACTATGTCCAACTAAAATAACTTTTGGTCGGACATTTTGTCCGTGACCTTATAAAAAATTAAATTAAGCCCTGTTATATATTTAAGAATTGTTTTCGTTTTTTGGGGTTTTTTTATGTTTTAATTTTCATTTTTATCTTTAGAATGGATCAAAATACTCCAAAAGAAAATCTTGGAATAATAGTACATTACAAAGTAAAGATTCGTTTGCATGTTGCATATGGAGGGTAAGATTCATTTATATGTTACATATGGAAGGTAAGATTCATTTACATGTTGCATATAGATAGTAAGATTTGTTTTCATCTTGAATGTTGAGGGTAAGATTCATTTGCATGTAGAGGATAAAACTTATTTGCATTTTGTGTATGGAGGGTAAGGCAATATAGTTTAAGAGACCAGTTGAATAAAAAAATTTGCATTTTGTGTATGGAGGGCAATATAGTTTAAGAGACCAGTTGAATAAAAAAATGAATCTGAAAAATGAAAAAAATGAAAAAATAAAAAAAATCTGTTAATTTTTGATCTGAAAAAAAAGAGAAAAATTTTAAAACTTTTTAATTAAAGTTTCAACTAACTTTAATTGAAAAGTTTTTATTAGTATGACTTTGTTTGAAATTTTTTTTTCACAAATATGAAATTATTAAACATGAAAACATTTAATAAAAAATAAAAATTTATATTTAATATGCATATATAAAAACATTAGTAAGGGACTGGGGATAGTAGGGGATCGGGCTCCTAAGTGTTTTTAGAAAAAAAGTATTCTTTTAGTCAATAAATAATAAATTAGTTTAGAAAAATAAATAAATTAGTTTAGAAAAATGCAAGAGAAGTCTTTAGGATGCTTAAGTTCTGTTTTTAGAATATAAGAACACTAACATTTTATTAAAAAAAAAAAAAAAAAAAACTTCATAACAATAAACAAAAATCAAACTTAACAGATAAAAACGAATTTATTAGCAGTAAATTTTTATTAAAAAATAAAAGAAACTAAATTAAAGAAACTAAAGAACTAATAACATTTCGATTCAACAATTCAAGATTTCTTAAATGTTTTTTTTTTTTGTTTTGTTTTTGTTTTTTTGATGTAGAAGTATGAGTAGGTTTTTGTTTTCTATAACTCATTTCTTTGTTAAAAAAAAATCTAATACTTAAGCAATAACTAGAAAAGTAAAATCGATAAAACTCAGTTATTTTATGATGCAACTTATCCCAAGCAATTTGATGCAACTTACCCTGTAGCTTATCCCAAGCAACTTACCTTGTAGGCATCATAATCACTCTAATCAATTTATATGTTTATTTACATTAAATAAATCTAATTTTTTTTTAGCTTTTTGTGTTTGAAGAAGATTTTTTTTAGCTTACCATTATTTTATTATGGTCATATATCACACCTTTAAGTTTATAGTAAAACCCAAAAAAAATTTTGAAAACAAAAATTAGAATTTTATATCGAAAAAATAAAATAATCAATAACTTTTTAATTTTTTTTTTATTACTATAAGTTCTTTATAGCGTGTTATAATTATATTTGAAAATAATTATATTTGACATGTTATAATTATATTTAGAAAATGTAGAAAAAAATTTAGGAATTTATTTAAAAACCATTCTTTAAAGCACATTGTTACAACTTACTCTTATTGCAACTAGCCCCCTTGTTACCCTGTTGTTACCCCTGTTGCACTGTGCACTCTTTTGAAAGCTCTTTTTATTTGCACATATGAATCAATTTGTGAAAGTTTTTTATTTATGAAAAATTTAGAAAAGTTCTTTTACTTATTTTATTAAACCTTTTTAAAATTTTGCCAATCAAGTTTTGTGGCATAAATAATCAATCAAGTCTTATGACATAAATATATCCCAATCAAGTCTTGTGACATAAATATATGCCAATCATTATATTGTTCGTTGGTATTTTTTTAAAAAAACTAGTTGCATGAAACGAGAATTACACAGTGCAATAAATATATTTATTAAACAAAAAAAATTCAATTTTTAGGTGGCTCAAACTTTTTCAAAAATAAATGAACTATTTGCATACAAAAGTGGTGACAAATGGGACAAGTGCATGACTAGAGGTGACTTCTGACTGGTGGCCATAAAATTTTTGACACTGTTGTCCGATTGGTTTGTCCTATTTTTTGTATAAGTTCACTGGCAACAAGGCTGCAGGCTATTTAAGTTGATTTTTATTAAAAAAACAAAATAGATAGTTAATGAGTGAATGAAAATAGTTAATAAAAATGAAATGTTAAAAATTAAATATTAAATATTTTTAAAATAATGGAAAATAGAAGATATATATGAAGATATTTTTGAAAGGGAATGATAATGGAAGATATATGGGATTAGGGAATAAAGATAGTTATAAGAAACACTTTACTGGTGAAAAATACTTAAAAACCATAAAGAATAAATATTCAATACGCAGCAGTTCTAATATGATCTACCCTTGTCTTGTACAATAGGAAAGCTTTTTGTTGCTAAAATGTAACATTAAAATAGTTTACACAAAATCAAGAAAACTTATGTTTAGAACAGGAAAAACTTGATCCAGACTTCATGATACAAAAAACATATCAAAATCTTGAACCTTTAAAAAAGAAATAAAATCGAAACGAAATTTTTTTATAAAACATTTTTTATTTTCGAAATTTTTATTTTACTTACTAATTTTTTTTTAAATATTAGAGACTTTATAAGACTTACTTTACTTTGAATTATCAGGGACTCTTTAAAGATTCAAAAGTCTTTGGGGCAACTCTAAAAAAAATTTATTCAAAATTTTTTTTTTTTAGTGTTATTTTATATACAATACATTTAGAGGTATTGAAAGGCAACTTTTGAAAATTTTTGTTTTTTGGCCCACCCTAATATATATAGCAAAAAAAATATTTATAAAGAGTAAGAATTTCAAATAAAAGTTTTGAGCATAAAAGAACAAATCACTGTTTTTTTTTTATATAAAGATTTTATTATATAGAATTATATGTTATATAATTCTATATAATAAAATCTTTTATTGTGTATAATTAACTATGGGTGGTGTCTATCATGGGCACTTTAACATGGCAGATCTTTCAAAATGTTTAAGCACGCTTTTACTATAATCAGCGTCTACTAGAGACATGCAAAGTAAAAAATGGCTTAACAAAGTATATTAAATAGTAATATGTTAAATAATAAGTTTATTAAATATTTATTAATTGATGACATGATATAACATTTATGTAGAAACCTTATTTTATGTGGCGTCATTTTGGACTTCTAGTAATAAAATAATAAAAGTTATTAATTGAAGCTGTAAGAGTGATGTAGGTATCCGTTGTGGGTGTCTTAGAGTTTGTGTCAGAAATGGGCTTTAGTATTACTCAATACAATTTTTTTTACTCTTTAATAATAATAAGATGTTATATATATATATATATATATATATATATATATATATATATATATATATATATATATATATATATATATATATATATATATATATATATATATATATATATATTTAGCCCTCGGAATAAGGGGTCAGCATTCGGCAATGCCGAACTAACTGCCGACCTTAAAGTGTTTGAGGTTGGAAAAAAATCGCCGACCTCGTTTCTATGTTTTATGGTAACCCTTTTGTGTCAAATTTTTTTCGCCGACCTGATACCAACTTCTAACAGTTTAAGGTCGGCAATTTATTGCCGATTATATTTTTCCTAATTCTGGGGACTGTATATGTAATATTATTTATATTTTGTTGTTATTATCATTTTAATATATTTACGCAGAGACTTGTCTGTCGAGCTACCCTTTGTTTTAACTCATCCAAAGCCTCCTGAAACCTCGCCCAGTACAACGCCTGTGTTGGCTCGCAAAGAAACCACCGTTCCGGGTAATCATTTTATAATCATTTTAAAATTTTGTCTATTGTTATTAAGTCTGATTTTTTAAATTATATTTTTATAGGGGAAGAGGAAAATCCGAAAATCGAAAATGATCTCATTAATTTTGATACAGAGTAATTATTAATTAATAAAAGATTTTTAATTGTCAAAAATTGACTATGGTTTTAATAGTATAAATAATTTGTTTGTGTTTATCTTTTATAACTATAACTGTTTTTTTCTTTAGCGGATCAGTCAAACATCCTGATGATGAGCTGGTTTTTGAAGAGTTTGCTCGTATGCGCGTGCGTGGAGAACATTATGGTGATTCAAATGCCTAAATTTTATTTAGTGACTTCCATAAAATGAATTTTATATGTTGCATGATTTAAAAACACCTTTCAGTTGCTCCAATTGTAAAACAAACCGGTAGCTTTTGATTTCAATGTAATTTAGCTTTTAGTAACATATTTTATTTTGATATTAGTTTCTTATCCTTTAATAATATTTAAGAAAACATTCTAATTTATAAAGGTGAATCAGATGATATTTATGAGATTCTGTAACAATCTTATGATATTTATGAGATTCTGTAACAATCTTATGATATTTTAGAACTGAAATACCTAAAAAAAAAATAATCTGCAAAATTCATAAATCGTATTTGTTTATTGATTTTATATATATATTTTAGTCTTCTTAAACACGTTTTTATTTATTTTATATACATTTTGTGGGTCGATAGCATTTGCGAGAGCTGTTCCTAGTTTTCTAATTTATTGTGTAGTTGTTATCCTTCGTAGTAAGTGTTTTGTTGTTGTTATGTTCTATTTGTTTTACATAAATATTTCATATGTTGAATTTTCTTATGTTATTTTGTTAACTATGTAAAAAAAATTTGTGTTATTCTTTATTACTATTTAACAACTCAACAAATATAATTATTTACTTTATATTTAATAAGTTAACAAAATTTAAAAAGTTATCATTTAAGTAATTATTCAATAACTTACACACTGTTAAAAAAATAGCGCGTTTTTTACGGAAAAGTTTCGTCAGCTGCCGATGACCAAACTAACCGTTATTTTACGGAAAAACCCATCGCATGTACACGGAAGTTTTCGTTAACAAACGGACTTTTTCCGTTAAAACACAACGGATTTTTTCCGTTAAACAACGGGAGGTTTGGTCATCGCAGCTGCCGGAACTTTTCCGTAAATAAACGGACACTTCCATTTAAATTAAACAGTTAAACAACGGAAAGGTTGCAGTAACTCAGCTGCCGGATAGTTTTCGTAAATAAAAGTAATGTTGCAGTTTATTTTCTTTTTATATGAAAATTTAAACAAATTATTTCTAGCAAATATATATATAAAATCGATTGTATGTTTTTAAAAATATTTTATGAAAACAAATTTTCTTTGATTTACATAAAAAATATTGAATTTTCCGCGATTTACATTTCACTTTAACAAATAAATAACTAGTAAAGTAATGAACATTTTCAATAAAAATTGTTCACAATTTTGATAAAGTATATACAAGCACGTAATAATATAATTATATTACATATCCCTATATACATTTACATTATAGATATACTTAAAAACTTATCTTTAAGTAATATATATTTGTTAAGTAATAAATTTAAATATAAAAAAATCCAAATACACAAAAATAGTTATCTCTTTCTTTTCTATTTTGAGTCAACTCTAAATCTAAAATAAAAACAAAGTATTGGAGTAAGGAAAAATTTTAAAATTGAACAAAGTAATAAATTATAAAAAACACTCATAATGTTTAATGGTTACCTTAAAGTTGTTACTCAATATGAGTGATTTAACTAAGGCCAAGCAACAAACGACTCTGGATAAAGTTAAAAATTCTTTTGAGCAATAAATAAATACCTACAAGAAATAAAAACTTTAATTGAAGTATGATACAAATAAAGTGCAGTATAACCAATTTCAGTTTGTTTGTCATTGTAATGGCGACAACCAAATTTCTTGTTTATGCCATTGTTGGTGCCATATGCCATTGCTCTCAATTTAAAATTAAATTTTTTTATATTATTAAATAAATAAAAACCACGTGTTCTTTAAAATAAAATTCCTATAATTAATTACTAAATTTACTTACAAAATAACTCAACAATTTAACAATAAAACCCATGTTTTTTTTTTCTGTACTATATTGAAAACTTGACTATGGAAATTATTATTTTTATTTAATATAAAACCATTTCAAAAATCAAATTTAAAATTTATAATAAAGATACATATTTAGGTATACAACTTTGAAGTATGACTTTATCAAGTTAGACTTGAGCAAATGCGTGAACAAAACTTAAAAATTTCAAGATCGCGCTTGAGAAAGTCAAACTTGATTAACTTAAAAGGCGTTGATTTAAAAACGCTATCAGAAAAAAAACATGGCAACCAATAGCGGCAGAGTATTTGAAAAGGGAAAACTTTTTAAATATATCAAATTAAAAATATCATTGAATACAAGCATACAAAATTTCATTTGAAGGACCTTTAAATATTTGGCAGTTCAAAAAAAAAACATCCTTTTCTGTTTTGATACAATTCTCCATTTTCTCCTTCAAGACTCTTTTTATAGAATATGCTTCATCTATTGCTCCAATATATTCTGGAAATCGTCAGAGTTCGTAAAATCTAAAAAATTTAAAAATACCGTTTATATATGAATAAAACTTTAAACTCATAAAAAGAAGCAATAGCTGATATATATTTTTTATAGTACTACACACACAGACACACACACAAATATATATATATATATATATATATATATATATATATATATATATATATATTGTGTGTATATATAAACATATATATACATATATATATATATATATATATATATATATATATATATATATATATATATATATATATATATATATATATATATATATATATATATATATTAGTTATTATATATATAATTAAGGTGATAATATAAATACTTTCTTTATTGGACTGATTTTTTAAATTAATCAAATACTAGAATATTATATATCATTAGAAAGCCCTTAAATACAGTATTTTAAAGACGAAAATTATGAAAATTGGACTATTCTATAAAAAGTTATTGTTATTATAAAATTTTCGATATATGGATTTCTTGATAAAACTGTGGTCAGAAAAAAAAATTTTTTCACATAAATTGTTATAACTTTGCCGATTCTTGTTTAAATATCTATAATTTGGTATCAAAAGACAGATATAAAAATTGGCTGTAATTTCAAACTAGTTTGTTGGTAAAAGGCGCATCGAGGGATCCGGAGGGGGTGCTAATCCACCACCTACACCTCACAAGAATACACAATTTTTGTAATAGTGTTTTTTTTAAAGTAATATTCATATACAACAAGTTGATTTTTATTTATTCCACATCACTAGCAAATATTACAGGTCTATCTTTAAGTTGGGTGTTGGGTTGTGGTGAAGGTTTAACACACTCTATCAAAATTTCATTCTTTTAAGGTGGTAGTAGGGTAAAAACGCTTTTTTTTTAAAAAGTCAAAATAATTCAATATGCTTTATTGTAATGAAAAATACTATTAAAAAAAAACATTTAACACTAATTGCATAAAAAATTAATAATGACGTCATCAATTGTACACGTCATGAACAGATTTTTGCCTTAATTTTATATGTTTCTTCCAACAAGGATAACTTAATGAAAAATGATCAGAATCACTTTTAATTTTCTAATTGCAATCTTTATTAGTAATACTATGTTCTGAGCGAAACAGAAAATAATTTTTTTTTTTTAAACACGCCAGGTTTACTGTCAAACTTCAAATTTCAAAAAAAGTAAAATATGTTTATGTAAAAATAGCACTGCTGGCTATGTTTTTAAAAAAATTTTAAAAGTGCTTCGCTCAGAACACTCTAAATAAAACAATGTAACACCAAAAAAAAATTCAGCTTAGTAGCTTTATCCAATCAAAAGTTATCTTTGTTAAAAGACCACAAAAATTGTGAAAAATTAAAGGCAAGAAAAACCTTAAAGAAAAAATAAATAAAATTAAATGAAACAATAAAACTCAAAAACCAAATTAAAATGCTCCACTAGCATATGTCTCTCCTTCCTCAAGTTCATTTTTATCATTATGACCTTTTCTAATTGAAAGAAGTTTCTTTCTTCTTTTTTTTACTGAGCTAGTTGACTTTTTCTCAGATTGTTTAACACGACAAATATCAGATAATCTAAAACCTTCTTTAGTGAAATACCCATTGTCTATGCCCAGTTTATTAAAAACTGGAAGCAGTCCTTGGGCACCGTCATTGTATGCAATAACAGCAGATGCAACTGCAGTTTTAAAAACATCATTTCCAATGTATACCCTTTTTGGGCACTGTGTCCATATCAAATTGTTCAAAGACTCATTGACATTCTGGGTCTCACCATGTAAACATTTTGTCAGAAGTTCATCACTACCAAGACCTCTGTGAGAAAATATTGGAGCAATAACATCAGAAACAGCTTTATGAATATTAACTTTTTCTTTATATGTTTTTGCTCCTGTGATTTTATCACTTTGGTATCTGCACCAAGAATCAGAGCTACGTGGACAGAACTAATGTCGGTTTTCTAAATTTGGCTCATCTGTTGCGTGGTGTAAAACCGCAGCAACAGCCTTTTTCATCCCATACAGGTTGCCACTATTTTGTCGTATGGCCATTCCAACATGGTTTTGAAGAGTGTTCATGACTTTAGTAGTTAGCCGACCTTTCCCTCCCCCAATGCTTTTACCAACAGTCAACTTTTTTCCCTTGTAATCGGCTTTAAGTTTACGCAGTCGTGTTCCAACACGTTTTTGGACATGTCCTATACATTCTCCTTTGGTAATGCTATGGATATGGATCTGATTTACATATTTCTTCAAAGGATTTTGTATCACCATCTCCAATAAAAAATGTGTATCTTAGACAATGAAGACGTACTGAACGTGCAAACATTCTTTTCATTCCTACAACTTCCATAGCTCCAGCACTGCCAATGTGATTTACTGAACATACATGAGTTTCTTTCCAGTTATTATATGCATCTACATTCACTTTTTTTAGTTCCCACATTTCACATTTGTTTACATTTTTTAGATAACACTTCAGTATCGATGCATTTCCCCTCCGAAATTAGTGTAACTACTCCATTCAAGGAAGAGTATCTTCTTTTTTGCCAAGCACCGTCACCACTATCTTTAGCATCAATAACAACAGAATCATCTACAGTTTTGTTAAAATGTATTTGTTTGGAAGCTTCTTTCATTGACTCTTGTGCTGTTTGTACGTAGGCATTATGCAACTCGCTATTAATTTCATTATATGTTGTTTTGGCCATTGGTGATGGCATATTCATGCAAGAACAAAATGTTTTTATTGCACTAAAACCTTGACCGATCTCTCTAAATGCAGCAATTGTTTGTATATTAATTTCAAAACTTTTTTTTCTGGAAGTAGACTTAAATTTACTGCACTCTTTTGAAGAACAAAATGTTATTTTCCAATTACATTCGGTGCATGAAATATTAAAAAACTGGGCAAGACCCATTTTATTTGATAAAATATGTCTATTGTTGCAATACAAACAGGGCATCGTCCAACTATATTAATAAGAGACATAAAAAGATCACTGTCTATAAAAAAATTGCATCCAGGGATGGCAATTGGAGTATGATTATCAGAAAATGAAACATTTAATTTTTTTCCAGACGCTGATTTTAAATCAGATTTATTTTGACTCAGTTCATTGTTTACTGTTGTTGATGTATTGTCAGTTAAAGCTCTTGTGGTAAATCCTTTCCTTTTTCTTGATCGTAATTTTTTATATCTTTTTTCAGAACCCATTCCAAGTAATAATAGCTTTATTAATTAAAATATATATATATATATATTTTAAGTGAAGGATATAATAATCTATAACACAACCTTTATTTAGAAGCTCTGAGTTGAGAACGGTTTTTGAGGCTTTAGTGTATAGCTTATAAACTGAATAGAGATATTTAAAAGAATAAAAAGAAGCCTTTTAGGTGAAAACTAGAAGTTTTGATCAGGTTTTAATCCAGAGATATTTGAAAAAAAGCGTTGCTAAGGCGGTTGCTATGGCCTAAGAACTTAAATACCTTTATCTAGAAGGGTAAATTTTGTATGAATGCATAATTTTTTTTAAATCAAACCAAGTTTCCAGAAAAAATAACACCCTAAAGATCTCAAAAATATAGTTTTTGAAATTTTCAAAAAATTTCAAAAAACGCCTCTTTTTCACCCTGCTACCACCTTAAATTTACAAATTTTACTAAAATGATTAAATCTATTATAAAAAATTAAAAATATATTTCAACACTTAAAAAAATAATAACTATTGGTGTATACGTTGCTTTAATGGAAGAGGGTGTATTCCACTCCCCTTCCGCCCCGAATATTTTTTTTTAATGAAAATTTCACAAAAGTTGTTAAAATGCTTTTTTAAACAGAGAGAAATCAAGAATAAACCTATGAAGAATGTGTATGACTTAAATATGTTGTGTTTGATAAAATGTTGTTTTGATATATATGATAATATGATGATAAATATGTTGTTTTGAAAAATTTGATCAACTGATAATATTAATTAACAATCAATTCAAAAAAAATTTTTTTAACCTTAAACGTTAATGTTTATGTTATAACATAAACATTAACGTTTAAAGTTAAAAATTTTTTTTTCAAAATACTATTAACAACTATTTCTACAACTAAAATAATATTGATAAACCTTTTTCTAAATGATAATAATGTTATTAATTATATATACCCCACTATCGCTCACTATAGTGTGATATAGTGTGGTAACTCACTATAGCTTTAGTTTCGAATTAAAAACTAGAATATAATAATAACAATTTTTCGCAAATGAAAATTACAAACTTTAATAAAAAGAAAAAAATTATGATTAAAGCGTATCATAAAATATCATCAAATATGTATGCAAACTACCCAAATTTATTTTACAACCACTTCGATATAAAAATATTGTTCGAAACCACTTCGATAAAAAAATTTTGTTCGAAACAATGAATACCGAACTAAAAAAATTTAACCAATGGTTTATAACAAATAAATTATTATTAAATTGTGATAAAACAAGTTTTACTCTCTTTCATAAAATAAGACAATCAACTAATCTTCCGTTAAAATAAGACAATCAACTAATCTTCCGTTAAAATAAGACAATCAACTAATCTTCCGTTAAAATAAGACAATCAACTAATCTTCCGTTAAAATAAGACAATCAACTAATTTTCCGTTAAAATAAGACAATCAACTAATCTTCCGTTAAAATAAGACAATCAACTAATCTTCTGTTAAAACTGGCAAAATTGTCCATTAATAAAAATATAATAAGCCGAGTAAACTATATAAAGTTTTTGGGAGTAATATTTGATAAGAACCTATTATGGAGAAACCATATTAGTCTTATTGAAACAAAAATATCTTCTGTTATAAGTGTAAAAAGACTTTTATTTATTGTAATATACAATTTGTTATCATTACTAAACTATGTTTTTTTTTAATGTGATTTTATGTGTGATTTAGATAATATAATAGCATATTGTTAAAAGAATATTATTTAAAACTATATTACTTATATACAGGGCTGTACGGGGGTGTGTGTGGGGGTGGACACCCCCTCCCTAGATTTTCAAAATTCTGTCGGTTTTTGTCAGAAAATTTGAAGATTTGGGACTCTGTCGGTTAGAACTGATATTTGGCTTCTAAAATAAATTAAAAAAACTCTTGTCTGTAAAGTTAGCTATTTTCCTTTGCACCCCCCTCCCCCAAGTCTTCGTCGTTCGGTACGGCCTTGCTTATATATAAGTATACAATATATATTATAAAATTTATAAAAAACTGTAAATGTTTATAATTTTGTTATAAAAAACAAATAAAAATAAAAATGTTTGAGCGGTTTTGTAATGAATATATTAGAGAATTGTTGTTCTAAATAAATTTTCCATAAAATTTGTAAATCAGAGATATACTTAACGAATACAAATTTATACTTATACTTTATATTTTAAAATAGCGGACAATGTTAGCAAAGTTCCGCAACCGCATATAAATTGTATAATAAAGGGGTCACTAAAAATAAGTATAGGTTAACAAAGAAACACACTTTTTAATTGAGGCATATTATATTTTCTGCATTAATTTAATTTTTTGAACTAAAAAGATAGGTTCTAAGAAAAAATCCCCCCAGAAAAAATCCCCCCAAGAAAAAATCCTTTTGGTTTCAAATTAAAAAAAAGCTTTTTGTTTGTTGAGTATTTATCTAAAGCTTTTTCTTTGTTGAGTATTTATCTAAAGCCAAATAAGTTGCAACATTAACAAGATAGAATCGGGAATTACAACTTTCATATTTTGCATATTAAAGTTTTATGGTTTAATAAAGTTAGTTTTTTGATGATGAACTACCGGAGTACATTCTTACAAGTTTATTAAGTTACTTTAAAATCCCGTTTTTAAATAAATTGAATGATCTTTAAAAAGTTTAAAATTATGGGTACGCTTTCATGATTTTATAAACCCACAAGCGAAAATGCTTTCAAAACATCAAGCTGTAATATTGGAAAACATCTCTTAACCCATTATTACAAACTTGAGTCAATAAATTGCGACTTGAGTCAATAAATTGACTACTTGATAAATTGAGACAATAAATTGACAAAAAATGACTTGAGTCAATAAATTGCGACCCATATCACTTCTTAACACCGACTACAAAATACTTACCAAAATAATCTCAAACCGACTAACAAATATCCTACCGACCATCATCAAAGAAGATCAAACCGCGTGCATCCCCCACAGATCCATATACGAAAACTTAGCATACACAAGAGACATTATTTACATCGCCAACAAAAACAACTTGGATGCCTCCATCGTATCCATCGATCAAACCAAAGCCTTCGATCGCGTTGACAGGAATTTTTTATATGAGTGCCTATTTAATTTCGGTTTTAGCGTGCAATTTATAAACATTATAAAAACACTATACTATGACATAAGCTCACATCTAAAAATAAACGGTTTTCTGTCGGAAAAAATTGACATACATAGAGGAGTACGACAAGGATGTCCTCTTTCAATGACGCTGTACATTCTCCAAGCCGAGATTTTTGCGGGATACATCCGTAAAAATCCCGAAATAAGGGGAATAACTCTCAACAACAAAGAAACAAAGCTCCAACAATACGCTGACGATACAAATTTCTACCTCTCATCAGACAACTCTCTAAAAGCTCTAGACAACGCCCTAAATGTATACAAACTAGCCACAGGAGCCAAACTAAACACTACAAAATGCCAAGGCCTGTGGCTCGGAATGAACAGATCTCGAATAAAAGAAAATTTCCTCAATTTTTCCTGGGACAACAACACTCTACAGAGCCTAGGTATAACCTTCTCAAATACTAGTAAATACATAAACCGTCAATGGGATGAAAGCATTAAGACCATTAGCAAAAAAATAGATAGCTGGAAACGTTTCAACTTATCCATAAAAGGAAAAGCTATCATTATAAACCAAACCCTATTAAGCAGTTTGTGGCACTTAGCCTTCACAATACCGATTCCCTCTGACAAAAAAATCAAAACAATTGAACGTAAAATAGAAAGTTTTCTCTGGAACAACAGCACCGTGAGAACCCCTAGACAAATTTCAAAACTTGCGGTAGACCAGGGAGGTTTAAATATTATTGATGTAAAAAAAAACTAGAATCTTTACAGATGAGCTGGATATCAAAGCTACATAATGAAAGCAAAAACGGCGCCTGGAAAGACTCGGCCTCCTACATCCTAAACCAATACCGAAACGCTAACCAAGGAAACCTTGTCTTCCTCACTTCACACTCACATGAATCTCTGAAAACTCTACCTCCATACTACCAACAAACAATGAAAAATTGGAACAACTTTTACCTAAAACACAACAACCATAAGAACCTCACTATCGAAGAAACACTAATCCAACCAATATTTTTCAACCCTTACATTCACAACAGAAATCAAACTATGAAACCCACCTCAGAATCCATAAACAACAGTATAATTAAGCTAGGAGACATAGCAAAAGCCTTTGTCCAGGGCTTTCTAGAAAGCCAAGATATCGGAATCAAACAACACCTACTAACAACAATAATAAAGTCGCTACCACCCCAATGGAAAAACATAATAAACTCCCAAAGTCAAAGCTTCAACCACAACAAAACACTGCTGTACATAACTAACAAAAATAACACTCGAATACCATTCATCGACCTAACCCCAAAAACAATCTACCAAACCTCTCTAACCAATAACCATATAAACACACCCAACAAATTTTACAGATGGAAAGACATCTTCAGTAGCATGAATGAGACCTCGACAAAAGAATGGTCGCAACTGTTTATAAGCATTCACAAAAACAATAGCAACAACAAAGCTGACGAAATAAAGTACAAACTAATACACTTTGCACTACCCACTAATACATTTTTTAAAAAAAGAGGCTATATAGTAGAAGATCTCTGCCCACAATGCATGAAAAAACAAGAAAACATACAACACATGATATTTAAATGTGAAAAGGTTCAACCTTTAATCAAATACACCCTAGCTCTCGTTAACAAAATATACCCACACCAACCACCTCTTAAAAACTCTTTCAAATCACTTCTTTTCTTTTCGTCAACTTTTGTAAATAAATTTTATATCGGAAAACTAATTATTAACGAACTTATATATAAAACATATTGCAACCGAATGAGGTCGTTCCACGAAAAAAAAATTTACCCCAGAAGAACGCTCATGTTAGAATTCAAAGGCAAAATTAAAAGAATTTTGCCTGAAGAATTCCAGATTTCTATAAGTAATAATAAAAAGATCTCTTTTCTACAAGAATGCAAAAATATCTGGAGCGGAGAAAATAATTTTAACATAGAAATTAATAATAAAGCTCTTATAATTTGAAATGCCCAGATATATCTTTTTAAAAAAAATTATTAATTTTTTAGTTTTTCGTTTTCAATTCTTCGATTTTTTAAGTTTTCGCTTTTTTCGTTTTCGTTTTTCGATTTTTTAATTAGTGGGTTTTATATTTATTTAAAACGTGAGCCCCCTGGGAGTCTGTCTTTATGTATTTTAATAGTGGAACAGTAGACCGCCTTGTAATTTTTTAACTGCTGTAAACATTATTAATACTCTGCAGGGCAAATGCCCGAGGAGAATAAACTTCAATACAATAAATTGCGACTTACTATATTTGTATATTTAGAATATTTACTTTTCTAATATCGCTTATGATAATTTTGATTTTTTAGTATCATTATATTGGTTACGTATAGGGCAACCTGATAGGATATAAAAATTCAACAAAGGCTGAAGAAATAAATATGACTTCTTCATGCAATCGAAATGTGTTCTCAAGGTGAGTTTCCACTCATCCGTTTTTCTACGGGAAAGGGAAAGGGAACGGAAAAATAATCACGTGAGCATGCGCAGTTTTCTTTCGGACAAATAAAAACTTTTATTAAGCATGCTCACGTGATTATTTTTTCATTTCATATCCCGTTCCCGTTGAAAAACGGATGAGTGGAAACTCGCCTTTATTTAGTGTGTTTTTAGTGGGATAAACATTAAAGCCACATATAAAACGCGCCAACACTATGTGCTTCCCACACGTGGGCAACATGAAACTTTCACGTACAAATGAAGAGTGGCGTTCGTTCTTATTTAGTGTGGTTTTAATAGGATAAACATTATAGCCACATATGGGACGCATCAACGTCATCCCATAAAGGAGAGTGGTAAGCATATGGTTACCATGCAAATGCCATACATGGCCCACATTAAAATTTCTTGTCGGGTGGTGTCATCCGTATCTTCTTTGAGCCTCTGTCTGTTTTTATTCTTTTTGTAAAGCAAAAGTGTTATTGTAATTTTATCATTTATTTTTAAATGAACAGCGAATATATATTTAAACATTTACAATGAAATATAAAATTAAAAAATTTGTCATCTAGTTACTTCTCGGTGAGAAAGAGATAGCATGATGACAAAAATACGTATTAAAAACGTTTAAAAACGTGTTACAACGTATTTTATACGTCTTAAACGCATATTTTACCTTTTATTCGCTGGCTAGTCGTTAGCTCATTTTCCACCTGGATAATCTGGACAATATGGCTCACTATGATTTTTTGTCCTCAACTTAATTAACCAACAACCAGTGCCGGATCAAGGGGGCTAGGGGGTAGCCCCGGGCCCCCAAAAATTTTAGAGGACCTTTTTTCTATTTTTTTAACAAGTCATTTTTAGGCTCTGGCCCATAAAAAGGCCTCTAAAAACAAAAATAGCCCCGGGCCCAAAGAAGTCTTGCCAACAACCTAACATAAATTATCGCAAAATAAACGTGCTTTGCAAAAAATCATTCCTAAAATTGCTTTAACCCGGTTATTATTAGTTAATAATAATATATTTTTAATGATATAAACACAATAGTAAAATAATAAAAAAACCTACGAAAATATTTTACGACTCTAATTTTGCAGACTTCTGAGACGAATCAAAATCTTAAGTTAGATGACTTCAAACTTTTGGTTGTTTAAAAAGCAAATAATATTTTGAGTTTTTTTTTTTGTATTGAAACAGCTAAGATAATAAAAAATATTTTAAAAAATGAAAATGAAAACTTCCTGTTTTGCGTGGATCATTTTAGATATGAATCTTCTATGGATTTTTGAGATTTCTCTTGTTCTGTGCATAGAAATAAATGAAGAAAATATCCAAGATCATCTAAAAAAAGAAAAGTTTTCATTAGTCTTATTTTTTGCCCCATGGTTAAAAAGTTGCGAAAAGGTGGTCGGTGTAATTTCAGAAGTTGAAGTTTATTTTAGAAATAGAGATGACATATTTATTGGGAAAATTGATACATATAAAAGTTTAAAGTTGGCAAGTCACTTTAGAATTGATGACTATTGCTCTTTGAAGTATTTTGTAAAAGGAAGCAAGGTAGCTGAGAGGTAAAGAAGAAAAGTTAATTATTTAACTATTTTTTATTAAATTCATAAAAAAAATTTCTAAAATTTTTCTCAATTTTGGCATATCAAATACTTTTATACATATAGTCTATATTAAAAAAAACTTATATATATATATATATATATATATATATATATATATATATATATATATATATATATATATATATATATATATATATATATATATATATATATATATATATTACCTACTCTTTTAATGAATTAAACCAAACTACAGTAGAACTCCGTTAAATTGAAACCTCAAAAATTATTGTCGACTTAAATGTTCATTTAAGCGAAGATGTTGATTTGTAAAACTTTTTAAAAATGTCCTTTTATAACTTCAACTATAGAGGTTTAACTTAAGTTTTCCGCTGTTCATAACATTCATGATCCGCTGTTCATAACATTCATGATCCGCTGTTAATAACATTCATGATCCGCTGTTCATAACATTCATGATCCACTGTTCATAACATTCATGATCCGCTGCTCATAACATTCGTGATCTTATTAGTTAAATTAGTGCAGTTGCTTACTTCAACAATTTAATGACTCCTTGATGCATCGACTGCAAAGAAAAAACTATATTTTGGTAAAGAAAGTAGATTGTGGTTAATTTAAGATTCTCAATACTAGAATTGAAGGATTGGAGGAGATAATAGACAATGTTACTTCATGGATTTCTAATGCAAATCTTGTTGTATTTTTTAACCCATTGGTCAAATTGTTTTGGGTCCATTCAGGCTTTTTATGCGCACGGTTACGGCACGGAGTGCTTCTAATTTCCTTAAAGCAATGGAGTCTGATTGATTTTCTAAAGGCAAACAATAAAATTTTTTCTGCACATGTGTTAGCTGCAACAAGCCCAGATTGCCAAATCTTAAAACCTTTCGGCTATTAGCAAAGGAAAAAAGCAAAATTTAGGATTAAAATTTGCTTTTGCTTTAGGGTTTGATTTTCTCTTTTACAAATTAAAAAGCTTTGTCTATAAAAAATGGTTTTAAATACATTAAATTTTTTATTATCATAAATAAACTTTTTCAATCATTTGAAATCAATATCCATACTCAATTGGCTAGGAATGTTCATTTTATAATGTAATCAATTATTTATCGTCTTAAGGGTACCTCAAAGTCAATAGGTTGTTTAAATATAAGTAAAAAACGAGAGATATTTGAAAATATTGACATTACAGCAGTGACTTTTAGATTTAATCTACCCTTGTGAAATTTCAAAATTTTCAAAAAAAAAAAGAGCTCATTTTTTTTGTAGGTTTTTTTTACATTTTTAAAACTTTTTTCATGAAAAAATTTTTGCATTATTGGATTTTAGTGTTAGTAGATTATGATGGGATAAAGTCAACTTAAAAATATACTTTAATACATAAAATAACACAACAACAACCAAAAAGGAGTAGTGTAAAAAATTTAATGAATGGTGTCGAAAGTAGAAAAAGGAATAATGTCCTAAAGGAGTTTACTGAATTCAGTATGACATCCGACATGTTTTCTAAACACACTTTTATAGTTATTATTATTATTTTCTTATTTTTGTTACTATTTGTTACTATATTTTAGTTACAGGCTATTTAAATAGTCTGCTGCCGGGGGCTTCAGTACATACACCAACTATTTTATAGCCTGCTGCCACAAAGAAGCGCTGCTACATCGATTGAGGATTTGGGGTTTGGTAGTAATCTTTTCTTTAATTATTCTTTGCTTTTTCTTTTTTTTCGGTAAAAGCTGTATGCTATAAAGATAAGTAAAACGAGTAAGCAGTTGCTGAAATTAAGTATTTACGACTCTATTCCTTTTTTTTGTTTTGTTTTTGACACTACTCATTAAATTCATTTGCGATACTATTTCTTTTTTTCGACATTAGGCCTTTTTAATACATTCGACACTATTCTGAACTTCATTTTTCGACACTATTTCTGTCACCCGTTAAACTTTGAAGTTTTTGATGATTAAGATCCGTAACATTTAATGTTTTCATTATTTCAGCAAAAATATTTTGTAAAAACCTTTACTATTTAAAATTATTAAAACTACAACTAAAACATTTCTTTGGTTGTAGCAGCAGACGAAGAACTTAACGGAGAGACTCTTAGAAACTTTTATATAGTTCTCCAAATAGATAAAAAAAAATCTGCGAGTCTTCTTTGTCAAAATCGAATAAGAAACTGTTGATTGTAAAGTTTATTTGTAAAACTTGTTTGGTATACCAAACAAGTACAATTTATAAGCTTTTTTTCTTGGTTTAATTTTTTGTTTAGCTATGAAGATACTATTTCAAAAGAATTGGTTATTAAATTTGTTGAGACAAAGTCTAGTTATCAGGGAGTAACTGACCTGTACAAAGAACCTTTGATTGAATTAAACCTCGATAATTTCGATAGAATTGTTAAAAATGAAAACAAGTTTGTAATTGTGTATTTTTATACGTCTTGGTGTAAAAAGTGTACTCTTTTGTCAAAGACAATACGTCAAGTAGCTCAGGTATTTCAGGTATAATTTCTTAACAATTTTTTATTTAATTTTGTAAATAGTATTAAATTCAATTTAATAATTCATTTGATCAAAAGCTATGGTTAAAGTCAGATGTGAAACTCAACCTTATTTTCTGTAACTCATTTGTAAGGTAATGTTTTTATAGAAATAAAAAAAGCCAGTTAATTATTTGTAAAACCTTCTGTAACATATTTGATCATAATTACAGGAAAACATTTCTTCATGCTACACAGTGGCTAGCCTTCATGTTAAACTATGGCTGTGACTTAGACCTTATAACAATTTATTTGCTATTAGTTGGTGACTGATTTATTAATAACTTAACGTTAGAGGTCACTATTTTGTGAATCTTAAAACCTTTATTTTAAAGTAGTTATGGAGTTATGGAGTATATGTTTAATTGCGTGTTTACACTTTATATGAGTGGAGTGCCGTGACTAGTCAGCGACTTTGTGCCAACATAGATCTGAGTTTGGTCTTATTTTATTTTTAATCAATCATAAATGTAATCTTTTAAATTAACTTATAAATAAAACGATGTTATATGCGGATAACTTATAAATAAAACGATGTTATATGCGGAGTAGGGTATTCCCAAAGTTTTTTAAAAACACCGGTTTTTGCATTTAATCTCATGTTTTTTGCATGAATCAGGCGAGGTTTTTCATTTAATTTTTCACTACCGTTTCGTTTCTTATCAAATGAAGATTCAACGGACTTTCATCAATATAAATGATATTTATGTAACGTTGTTGCAATGTTAAGTTTAAACACCATGAAACATGTTTTTCTTTCTTCATTTATCTCTGCAGTATTACGTCTTTCACTAATGGTTCTTAAAATTTTATATGTATAATTCAATTTTTTTAACCATCATCCTTTCGTTAATTACAAGATTAATGATCAAATTTCTTACTTCAACATTAATTTCTGTGCATTGTCTTTGTCCATCATTCATTTTAGAGTTTTGAAATTAAACTTTACACTGTAATAAATCGCCAGATTAAATGCAAAAAATTACCAGATTAAATGCAAAAAACCATTAGACTCGTGCAAAAAACCACCAGATTAAATGCAAAAACCGGTATAGCAAACTGTTGCATTCCGGGGGTCATACTTTGGCATTACTAAACATACCTAATAACTCTTCACTATCTATATTGTGAAGTCTTGTACTTGCTTTCTTCTATATAAATGTTTCTGTAATAGTAAGTAAAAAAATATCTGTTTTATTGTCTATTTGAATATTTTCCACTGCAATAAGACAAGCAGAAGTAATTCTACGAAGCTCTTCAATAATGCATAAACATGCTGCCTGTTATAGAATAAACCATAACCTGTTTCTGATTATAAAATAAAGCATAAACCGGCTTCTGATAATAAAATGTTTGAAAGCAATTTTTCTACAAAAAAAAAGTCTGTCTGCAAAACAAAATGATAAAAAGTTGCATGCTCTGATTTCACATAAAATATTTTTATCCAGGGTTCAGTAGGAGGTTTTCCAAATGTACAGTATGGTATGTATACTTATGATATGTAGAGTATGAACCTACTAGTCTAATTTCTTTGAAAAGGTTTGTAATTGAAGAAGGTAAATTTTTGTTTAAAGAGTCAAAACAAAAAAAAAGATAAAAACGTCTTTTAGCACCACATAAGGTTGGAATTTTGAATTTTGATTATGCTGTAATAGTAGTTTCTTTCACTCAGTAACTGGAGAGATATTTTTAAACATTCTTTTTCAATTGAATTTACTCAGTGTCATTTTTTAATATGAATAATGAGAAGATGACTATTTATCATCACCATATTAATAACAGTCAATTCTTCATTAAAACAAAGTTGTATTCAGGAATTAAATAAGGAGCCCAGCTTAGGCTAACATCAGTGTGATATGGGCCCCTAACATCTCTCTTTTCAACGGTTGTTTGTTAGCATTATTACACTTTTTGCTGATGTTAAATTAAAGAAAATAAAATTCTGAAGATGTTGTTGTAACTTTCGGTTAGTTACAGCTAGTTGATTGTATCATTTTTTGAAAATGAGCCCGTTTTAGGCCACTCTCCCCTATCGTAAAGTTTTTAAATATAATGAAAATCAAAACTTTAAATTTTTTTTTATTTTTAAAGTATCTTTATAATTTATGTTTTTTTATTCTATAGTTATATATAGAACATTTTTTGTTAGAACAACACTTACTTTTAATATTAAGTTTCTCGTTTTACTTTAGTAAAAAAAGAGGTACCTGAGCCTTATGAAATTTTTTTTTTTTAAACACAAAAAATATGTTAAAAAATGTTCATATTTCAATATGCGTATAGGATTTAAATATGCTATTAATTTTTTTCAATAGAATGTTTTTTACTAAACTTTTTGTGTAGATTTTTGTGAGTAGATAAATTCAAAAAATATATATTTAGAACGATAAAGATTGCGTTATCGCTCAACTAGATGGAGAAAAATGGTTTAATATAACTGTAAAAGAAAAAATTGGTGTTTATCCGACTTTTGTGTTTTACTCAAAAACTGAAAAAGATGGCAAACTTTATTATCCTGGAAAATTTGACGAAAATTGGACAAATTACAACATCACAAAGTTTTTAAATATCAATTGTGGGTTACGGAAAGTTATTGATGAAGCTGAAGATGAAAAAGTAAAAACTTAATTTTTGCAAAAATCTTATATAAATTTTTTTTCATAAATTTAATTTGCTGTTAACTTAAAATAATGCAAAATAAACTAACTTTTCTCAATGCATCGAGACAAATAAATGGATGGTTTCTTGTTGCTAATAGCAATGTTTTTCTAATTTTATACAACTTTAAGTTTATTAAAAAATGGAGGGCTAAAAATCCGCTAGACATTAAATGTTAAATTTATACAGTTAATTCAATGATACATAAACAATTTAAAAACTTTATACTTTTTTTGAAAATTCAAGGTAAAATTTTAAATTCAAAATTTTACTTACTAAATTTATAGTAAAAAATATAGTAAGAATAGAAATTATTCTTAATAAAGAAAAAAATGGTCTTAATAAATTTTGTTTCTGTTGAACTCAATGTTGCATTTTTGTAGCTTATCTTCATACTCTGGGTGGTTGCTTAGTTTTTTGTACCTTTGCCTGAAAAAATAACAAATGTTACAGTTGCTTTCTCTGAATAACTTTTTCATAGAGCTATTGTATCCTTGGATAAATTGTGAAATCTGGCGCAGTACATAATCATAAAGTTTTTATGGTGGTATTGTAAAGTCAATAGGAGTTTCTTGGAGCCTCTAAATAATTTTATCAGCATTGCCATTATCAAAAGTATTTTCAAAAGGAGCATTGAAAAAAGTCATTTAACTTTCTTAGTAAGTCAATGGAGGGAACAGATGCTACTAGATAGATAGATATTTTTAAAAGCTTTTTGCACTTATTTCGAACTAGTTGTCTACCATAAAACGGCTGAACATGAAGTAAAGCAAGTTATGTTCAAACCTTTGAGAAAAGATTTTAACTTGATACATATTTGAATTAAAAAGATTACAATTCAGGGTTGTAAATAGTTTCATACCATCGGATAACTATAGGAAAGAAGTTTTTTTAAACTTCCTATAGATCGAGTATTGTATCAATTTGATAATTTATAAGGCTTTCAAAAAAAAAATTATTTCAAAAACTTAGGAGTTTTAACTGTCTGATGTTGGAACATAAATTGCATGATTTTGAAAAGATTTGTTTGATAAATATCAAACAAATCGAAGTAAGGGTTTAGCATTAGCCATTTTGAAAATAATTTGTGTTATTTGTTTCTGTTGTTTAAAGAGACAATTGAGTTAAGATGTGTTTGTACCATTACATTAGTAACTATTTATGAATACAAAATATTTTGTGTTCATAAATAAATAAATAAATAAAGTTAGTGTGGCGTTCTCGTCAAATATAAGATTTGACGATAAAAATTTTATACAAAATACCAATATTTCTTGAGATAATAGATTTATACAAAATAACAAAATTTTTTGAGATTATAGATTTATACAAAATAACAAAATTTTTTGAGATTATAGATTTATACAAAATACATATATTTTACTTAATAAGTTAGTATATATATAAGTTTTATTTGCAAAAATTAAAGTGGTGTCTTCGGCAAACCTAAGACTGGTGTCTAAAGTTTTATATGGATCATTAACATAAATTAAAAGTACTTTATTTATGAATACAAAATATTTTGTATTCATATTACATAATATGCCAAGCTTATTGATGCCAAAAGTATCAAAAAGCTTCTCATATGGCTTTAAATCGGAATAAGATATATTTTACAAAATATTATTTAATTAAAATATAAGTATAAATTAGTTATATTATAGAATATAAGTAATTTATAAAAAACGAATATGCGAGACTTTAAAAACAGTTAAATCTAGAAAAATAATAATAAATAATTATAAAAATTTGCTTATATTATTTACAAAAAAAGATGATGAAGCTTATTAAAATAAAAAAACACTCGATACTTCCAGGCAATCAACACTATTATCAGTCGAAACGTTATAAAGCGACTGAAATATTTAAGTACATTCTAGTTGTAAAATTCGCCCCTAAGTTTTTTATATGGCAGCTATTAAAAATTTTTTAACACTTTTAATATATACTCATAACAAATTAATCTTTGACATCAGATTTATATATAACTGAATTCTTGGAAAAACGACTCTTTCCTCTAGTTAAAAAGCACGAGCAACCCACCCTATTTTGGCCACATCTGGCATCGATTCAGTATTCCAAAAAATTAATGGAGTAAAGAAAAATTTTGTCATGTAAGCAGAGTAAAATTTTGCTTAAAAGACTTTTTTGTTATTTAAAAACTTGGTCACACACGAGCAGTGACTCAAAAGACTCTTTTGTTCCAAAGAACGACAATCGATCAACCTGATCAGCGAGTCATTGAATCTTACTTGGCAATCTTGAAAGAAATTGAGAAGGAAAAAATGTGAAAAAGAGAAGGAAAATGTGCAAATAGTGTTGAAAATTTCCAATATTTATGAGACAAAAAATTAAATTGTGGAAATGATGGGAAGTGCTTTACAAAAAATTAAATTACTTGCATGTTGCTGAGTTAATGTTAAAGAAAAAGGCTTGATTTTTTTTTTAATAAAAACTAGCTATTACAATAACAATGAAGCTATAATTAAATAATATAAACAATTTACATAATTTAATCTTATATTAATTAAGAACCTATAGAACCTATAGATTTATATTAATTATAGAACCTATATATTTGTTTATGAAGTTAAGATTTCCTTTAAAAATGTCGATTGTGGTTACAAAGGAGGGAGGCTCTAAGAAGTTGTTTTTGTATGTGACGCAATTTACAAACTTATCATAATATATTCAATTTGTTTCTTACTAGTAGTTAATAAACGTGGCAGTAAAAACTAATATTACAATATGGTTTGATTGATAATTTGATGTAAATTAAAAATGAAAATTTGGCGTTGTAAAAACTTCATTTTAATTTATACTTTTGTTTTATCTGAGTCAAAGAGTTATAATTTTTAATTTCTCTAAATTCTGCAATAATTCTAAAATAATTCCAAGATTTCTTTTAGTCATATAAGGATCTTATAGAACTTATAGAAATCCTAAGATAATTCTATAGGATTTTTATAAAAAGTGTTCGAATTAACACTTTTTATAGAATACCTATAGGATCAATAGGATTATCTCTGGATTTCTCAATGGGATTTCTTTCAAAAGTATAATATAAAAAAAAAAAAGTTGAAAGAACTTATTTGAATATAAATATCCATAAATATGCATATATATATATATATATATATATATATATATATATATATATATATATATATATATATATATATATATATATATATATATATATATATATATATATATATATATATATATATATATAAATGAATAAATATGAATAAAATATAAATATTCATAAATATGAATAAAACTATGCGCTCATATATTTAAAAATTTATAGGACAAAAAATTAAACTACAAAACATTAAAAACAAAACTACAAAAAATTACAAATTCTACAAAAAATTAAACTAGTTGCATGAGTTAAAGTTAAAAGTTAAGTTAAAAAGACTTGATTTTTTTTTTAAGAAATAAAAACTAACTATTATATAGCATCATAAAAAAAAAAAAAAAAAAAAAATCATTAAAATCAATTAAGTGGTTTTTGAGTAAACTTTAAAATCATCCAAATTTTTACCGATCAGATTACAAAATATTCTGACGTCAAATGCTGTACTGAACCATTTTTTTTATTTTTTGACCTTTTTTCTAAAAATGTAAAATAAGAGGGTTTTAAAATTTATATGACCGTTTTTATTTGATCTTTGGAACACTCAAATGTATTTTGATGAAATTTAAAATCTAATTATAAATTATGATTGCAGATTAACAAAAAATTATTTTTCAAAAAATTTCCCTCAACTAGGGGATAATGGGGCATTATTAGGATATATGCCACAATATCTCCTTATAGAAAATGAGCAGCCGTGGCGCTTCGGAAGCGCACTTGCCTCAGAATCAAAGGATCTATGGTTCAAACCCCACCTCTGGGCAAGTTTTGCGACACCGGTTAGGAAGGAGGCGTGTTTTTTTTTTTTTTTTTTTTTTTTGTTCTTTATTACAATATTTAATACAATATTTACAAGTATATCAATAAGAAAAATTACATGCAAAGAAACCGTTAAAAAATAAAGAATAAAGATAAAGAACGCGGATACTCAAAGAAGACCATACCGTTTAGATTTTAGAAAAAAACAAAAATAAATAAGTACAAATTTTAAACTTTTCTTTAGTTATGGTCTTTATGGCTTGAATTATAATACTAATTCTTCTGAATCGCATCACTCAAGCGAAAACAATAGTATAATATTTATATTCTTGATAAACGAATTCGTCTCGCATCTTACTCGCATCTATACAATCACTGAACCTTGTTACTCAAATGTATCTTACAATTACACTAATCTTAATTGTTAATTAATTAATAAATAAGCGAAAATAATAAGAATATGACTGCATTAGGTACAGCCAAATGCACTTCAAGGTTGTCCAAAAGATTGTGTAGAAGAATTTAGAAAGCCAAATAATGGTGTCTCTATGTATGAAGCCAAAATTATCAAATGTTGGTGCGTTTACGTTTACGCTTCCACCGACACAAGTGCTTAACCACTGTCAAAGGATGATTAACTTCCAGAAGTATCATACATACAATATTTGCAGATACATCCATTCACATACATCAATTTTTTTATTATTATCTTTTTTTTTTATAATAATATATATCGATGGTTAAGAGCACAAAGGGAATACGTCCACTAACCATTGTTTTGAGAAATCTGAATTTGAAAGTTTGAAAACATACAATAATTCATGATATTTATTTATTTTCATGATTTTTAATCAAATGCATTCCTCAATTAATTCTGCCTTGTTTTTTACTATTTTATTTTCATTTCCTTTACATACTTTAATACCTAATTTGTTTAATGTTTACCTAATGCTTACGAATACGAATTAAAATAAAAATTAGAGTAAACAAGTAAATAATAATAGACTACTGTACAAATAATGTCAGTGCAATTTTTAAAAGAATTCAAATAATGGTGTTTAAATATAGTTTCTCACATAAACGTTAAATCAATATTGTATAAAAGTAAAATATAAATGAGTGATGAAAAAACTGGGTATAATTAAAAGTATATAAATATACTTTTAATTGAAAAATTTACTTTTTTTAATTTTCTTTTGAACAATAATAATTCCATTCATGAGAAAAACCAAATTATTTGGTTCGATAAAAAAGCTCCACGAAAAGAAATGCAAAATTTACCCAAGTTTGTTTGAAAGTTTGGTTATTTAATAAAATTATCATTTCTTAAAGAATATTTATTTTTTTCTTTTAAAGAATATAAATCAAAAAAGAAAGTTGGAGATGAGTTAGTTTTACATTTAAACATAAAACAAAGAACATTATAAACATTTACTAGATATATATTAAAAACATTCATGTTAAATAAGAGTGGCCTTGAGTGAGTAAAACAATTTTTGAAATTTATAAGACGTGCAATATGCTTCTGCTGATAATAAAGTGGCTTTAATTTACTTTTATGGGTACTACCCCATGCAATATAAGCATAATTAATATGACAGTGTATAAAAGAGTAATATAGTTGTGTTAATGAATGTTTGTTTAAAACGCTTCCTGCTTTATATAAAACTCCAATGCTTTTTGCAATTTTGTTGCATAAATGTCCGATATGATTCTTCCATGATAAATTTTCATCTACAACGATACCTAGAAAATTTCTGAAGATTACTCTTTTTATTTGAATATTATCAATATGAAGAAGAGGCATATTTTCTGGAAGTAAATGTTTTTTAAATCGTGGATGAAAGAAAATCCATTTAGTTTATTGATGTTATTATTAGATAGAAATAGATTTGTATCATCAGCAAACATTATAGTTGTTAATTTTGAGACTTCATGGAGATCGTTAACATAAATTAGAAATAATAAAGGCCCTAGTATAAATTAGAAATAATAAAGTAGAAATAATATAGTATAAATTAGAAATAATAAAGGCCCTAAATGCTCATCCGCGATGCCCTGTCATAACACCGTAAGGATTTCTTCGGGCACCTAATAAAAAAAAAAAAGAAAAACTTAACAAAAGCGTTTTGCTTTAAAACAAGCCTGCAAAAAACAAGACTTCAATCATAATTATTTATTATTTTATTGAAGATTATTTATATCTCATACACTGATGCAATATTACAAAAATGTTATTAATCTATGTCTAATAGATACAAAATTTACCGAGAAAATTATCAATATAATTCCACAACCAACATTTTTAAAAGCAATATTTAAGTAAAATTGTGGATTTCTTGACTGATTAGGTTTTTTCTTGACTGATTGATTTGATGGACCCAACTAAGTAAAGGTGTTAATATTTTTGAAAGTAAAAGACGATTGATAAGACCCATAAAGTTGAGACAAATATGTTAAAACTATTATTTTTAGTAGATTAATATTTGTTAGCCTTTAATTGATTTAGTTACTGAGTGCTGTTTCGAAACTTCAAAATCTTGTTATTGTATAGCAATAAAAAAAAAAAAAATTATATCCTGTGATCCAATAGGAATTAATACTACAGTATTTTTTTTGATAATCATATTGGTTATTTCATATAAGAATGCCCTATATAATTTTAATAGGATTGGACTTTTGATTAGGGCTCAATATGGATCCTGCAGATCTAGTAAACTACGATAAAAATCATATAGGATCTAACATATCGTTGATATAGGATCTAACATGATATCGTTGATATAGGATCTAACATGATATCATATAAGATCTAACATGATATCGTTGAGTAATTTTATATCTAATATTGGTTCTACATTTCAGTAGAAGTAATACAAACCTTATAAAAGCCCTATAATTCATATTTACTTCAATAGGGTTATCTCTAGATTTCTTAATAGGAATTCTTTAAAAAGTATTATATAAAAAAAAAAAGTTGAAAGAATTTGTTTGAATATAAATATGCAATATATATATATATATATATATATATATATATATATATATATATATATATATATATATGCATATATATATGCATATATATATATATATATATATATATATATATATATATATATATATATATATATATATGCATATATATATACATATATATATATATATATATAATTTATATATATAATTATAATATATATAATATATATATATATATATAATTTGTTTGAATATAAATATGCAATATATATACATATATATATATATATATATATATGCATATATATATGCATATATATGCATATATATATATATATATATATATATATATATATATATGCATATACATATATATATATATATATATATATATATATATATATATATATATATATATATATATATATATATATATATGCATAAATATGAATAAAATTTAAATATGCAAAAATATGAATAAAACTATACGCTCATGTATTTAAAAATTTATAGGACAGTTAATCTAGAAATGATTCCAAAACTACGACAATACATTTTATAATAATCACTCTAAGCAGATCTAAACCGATTTTGAATGAAATGACTTTGGCTGCAGATTTCATCAAACTTTCAACTTCTACAGTTAGAATGTTTATTGCAGCTTCTAGAACTAAAAAATGTTACTGTACTTTTAAAACCTAATTTGACGTGGTTGAAAAACACTTTATATAGTATGTTGTGTATAACATTTATTGTATACTTTATGTATTATTTGAATTAATTGTGCGTATATCTTTTAAAGGTTGGTACATTAGACGAACTTAATGTATATGCTAAACACTTTATGCAACAAATAGATATGAAACGCAAGAAAACAGTGCGACATGTGATACAATTAATTCAAGAATTCCCTCCGCACAAACGCTGGAAAGGAGAAATATACGTGGATCTTATGACTACGATTATGAAAGAAGGGGACATTTATATCAGCAATGAAATCAACAGAATTGAAAAATTATTGCATGCTGGAATTGTTCAAGATAAAGAAAACCTTATACAAAAAAAAAATATTTTAAAAGAATTTAATTTTTTTAACCGCGATGAACTATGATCTTTATAAAACAATATTTTTTAAAAATATATTCAAAATTTATTTTCAGATTTAATCAGTGCTTTTTTAAAATCAGTTTAAACTTTGATCGGAATTTTTTAGACAATCCTTTAAGTTTACTAAATGTTCAGTTGGGGGAGGATATCGCAACGGCGTGATACTATTTGGATTCCTGGAAACAACTATTTTCTCAAAAGAAGGCGACCGAGGAGAATATACGTTACTAATACGAATAGGCGAGTTGTTAGTCGATTGCGGTGAGTTAAAACCACTACGCGGTAGAGTAATTTTGAGCGGTGCCATAGTCGGACGTATACCACGCGAAATTACACTTCCAGGAAAATAAGTAAATACTTCTTTTCCTGATGCATTTTTACTCAATGTAGTCTCTATATTTAAAATTTTACCCGTATTCATGTTTTTATCTAATATCTTTGAAGCATTGGACGAACCGTGAAGAGAATTCGATACGCTATTAGAGACAGTTACAGAAGAACCATGAAGAGAACTTGAAATGCGCGAGTTAACATTTTTTTGAACATTTTGATGATTAATTATAAATTGAGGTTGATCACCATGTGGAGAAGGAAACCGAGATTTTTGCCCAGATTGTAGCAATGCTTGTATACTAGCAACAGGTACACATGTACCAGTGGCAACTGAAGATAGAACAGTTCTATCAGTAAACTTACTTTGGCTAGCATTTGATGCTATAAGCTGGTTAAGTGAAAGTAAATGCACGTTGCCATCATTTTTTGAAGTTCTTACATTTTGTAAATTAGGGGGGTGCGAAGTAATGACTTGGGATCCATTGTTCCCTTTTACTTGGATAAGCTTTAAAGTTGTTTTTTGACCCCCAGCATGAGTTTGAGAGAAGTTATTTGATTGAACAACTAAGCGGGTAATAGCGTTGTTTTGGTTTTGCAAAGTAAGTAATGGTTTACTTACACGTATTTGTTCAAGAAAAGAACCACTGGAACGAATAACTTGAGAGAAAGGTGCAACATTTGCACGAACAATTGTGTTATGAAGGATAGATGAATTGCTCAGTGACGAACTTACAACTTTGTTTTGAGCAATCTTTGAACTCAAATATTGGTTCAAATTTTGAAATGTTTCTTTGTTAGCATTTGTTATGGCTCTACTGCATTCAGCATTTATTTGATTAGTGTTTAGAATTACACGAACATGTTGTCGTTCGACTAAGTTATCGGGAACTGTATTATTTATAATTACTTGATCTTTTGATTCACTGACAGATTTTTGTATGGTTTGAGCCATATGTTGTGGACCAATTTGAAGATCAACATTGGTACCAGAAATCAATTGCTCAGGAATTATTTTTTTTTTTAGATTTTGATGTTTAGCCGTTTTGTTTAAATCGGTAGAAATGGAAACTACATTAGATTCGTTGAAATGTTTTTTTGCATTAACTTGTTGTTTAAGAGAATTAGTGTCTTGTTCAATATTGCAATTTTCCAACAAAATATTATTTCTATTTTCATAAACTTCATTTTTTTGAGTTGCTAAATTGTTATTATTATACGACAAATTTTGATGCGATTGAAAAGATGAATTTGTAATTAGCTCATCGTTTTGTTGTAAATCAAGAAAATTGCTACTTAATACACCATCATCAAAAACATCATCTTCTCCACTCAACATTAAAGATTGGGTTGCCATTAAAGTCTCATCTTCAAAAAGCGAATGAAACTCATTAGAGGTATCCATGTTACAGTTATCTAACTTAGATATTTTCAGAATCGAAGAATCATTTATTTGTTTTCTTTTTACAGCAGTTTTTTTTTTAGTGAAATTATTAGTTGTGTTTATAGAAGTTTCAGATATCGATTTGACGATGCTTTCAGATGAATTATTGATTTCTTCTTCTAATGTATTGTCAAACAAGTCTTTTTTTATATTTGAAACTTTACAATTTTTATCTTCTTTTTCGTTTTTTTTCTGAAAATAAACGATGCAATTGCATAATAAAATTAAAAATTGCATAATAAAAAGTTCGACTGTATAATTGCGAGTAACAAAAATTACAGACATTAAACACAATTTTTAAATATTTAAAAAGTTTTTTATACTTTCTAACTTAGTACTAGGTAAATGTATTTGAAATAAGCAGAATTTTAATAAACTAATAAATACCATTTTCAAAATTTTTGGTTTGGCAGAAGAAAGCTGTTTTTTGGCTAAAACAGCAGCCCCACTAGCTTGATGTAATTTTTCTGAAAGAAAATTGAAACTAAAATCAAATTTTAAATTGTAACAGAAAAAACTGCTTCGAGATTAGAAAGATAAGCACTAAACTTCAGACATAAGGAAGACACGTACAATAAATTAAGGATATTAGAATGTTAAATGTAAGAGTATGTTAGATGTCAGAGAGTAAACACAACAATATTATTTAGAGAAAAATTATTTTTTGTAGTATTGAAATTAGGTTTTCATATGAACTATGCTTTATTTTATTGAATGAGATTAGGCTTTCTTTTCAGCGAATAGACAAAACTTTCCAAACTCATTTCAGATTAGACTACAAGTTTTATAAAGAAATTTATATATATTATAAAAAATTATTTAAAACTATAAAGTTTTATTTTATGAAGGTTATAAATAAGCGAATAAAAATTGCTGATCAAAAAAACCCAGAAAAAATTTGTAGATTTAAAAAATCTTTCATGAGTAGTGCCATCCATTAACATCGGGGGAGGTTAGCTGTGATGCAAACAAACCTAATGTCTTTTAAAATTTCTATAAAATATACACAAACCTAGCTCATCAACAGTTCGATATCGATGCAAATATAGCCACACCTTTCGAACTGGATCAAATTTTACACATGGATCTTTTTCAGCATGTAAACGATCCAACGCACCACTTACAACATTGTTAACCTACAAAAAAAAAATTTTTTTTTTTTTAGGGCATTAAAATATCGAATTACTCTAAAAAAGTTAAATTTAAAAAACAAAGGATACCTGACTATCTGTTGCCTTAGGGTTCAAAAATTGAGAATCACGTAAAAGCAAACAAACCTAACAAAAATATTTTTATTAAACTTTATCATCTTATTATAACGCAATTTAAACCAAATAATAAGAAACAAATAAAAATAAATAAAAATAAATAAAAACAAATAAATAAAAAGAAAAAAGAAATAAATATACCTCAGCTCTAGTACCTTCTCCATTCGGTAACCTAGCAACTGCGTCACGAACTAAACTTAAAATAGTGACATAAGCAGGACGTTCAGAAACAAGCATAGCATGCTCCCTAGCTTTAGCTGTGTCAAAGTTGCTATCTTTAAATACACCCTAAAAAAATATAACTAATTTTAAACTGCAAAAAATAATTTTTTTTTCTAACTTCGAACAATTAAACAGTTCAGTTGAGTATTTTTACTAAATAGAAGTAAATTTTGTATCTTCAATATTTATTGAGAATTATTATATTCTTCTTATAGATATTATTCATAAATTTATTTTTGTGAGAAATATTGAAAGAAAATTATACAACAAATAAGCCTCGGAAAGTTTTTATGAAACCAAAACTAAAAAGAAACCAAAAATTAAAAATTGAAGCTTTCAAATGAAAATTTTTTTATTTAATGATCTACATATACATGATCTACAATACGCTTTAACATATCATCTTTCTACGCCCTAACATGTCATCTGCAATGAATGTAAACTAAGTTGTTCAAAACAAAACAAATTAATGTTTCAATCCTCACAATGAAACTAAATATTTTTTTTTTATCATAATTTTCTGTCAACTTTTAAAGTAGTATATGTAAACAGGTTTTATACTCAAATTGTTTTCTTCTTTTTCAATCTCCTTAAAAATAAAAACAGAAGTATTGCTTAATGTCACATTTTTATGTCACGTCTTTTATTAGTAATTTGCTGTTCAACACATGAAATTTTTTTTCTACGAAAAATAAATACAACTTCTATATTATAATTACTATACTATATATTATTCTTATTACAATTTAGTTAAACAAGTTACCACTAATAAAAGATTGTATTAAAAAAAAATGACATTAAACAATACTTCTATTTTTAATTTTAAAGGAGAATGAAAAGGAATAAAACATTTTAGTTATGACAAGTATACCTCGTACTTGCTTGTACCTAGTCCTAGTTTTTAATGGTGGTGGTAATATTAAACAAGTACTTTAAAATTTTATTTGTACATTGCATTAAAAAAAATAATAAACACACACAGTAAAATACATTCTTTAAAATTTTTTTTCCAGTTAAATATGTCAATCACATGCATTGCGTAAACATTAAAATATTTATTAGTGACAAGGTCTTTAAGCAATAATAATATTTAATCATAGAATAGGGCAAAAAAATAAAAAAAATAATTTTTTTATTTTATTACAACCTGTTATCATTAGGTTTATTTGAAATTGTGTAACTACTTAAAATGTATTTTGTCAAATGTTAAATGTTTTATGCATAATTTCTTGAGTTTAAATTATTTTAACCAAGTAAGTTGTCTTATTTAAGTGATATTTTCAAATTTGCAAACAAAGGCTTTTGCAAATTTGTAAATGTATTTAAATAACATTCAACCCCCAGTGTTTTGTGGCCATGATATGTCTTCACATTTTTGGGCTAGTTTAGCTTTAATTTTATTGTGTTGCTATTTTTTTTTTTTTTTTTTTTACATCTTCGCTTCCAATAAGGCTGCAAGCAATCACTATAAGAGTTGGAATTTACTGGAAGAGAAAAGATGAAGTTTGTAGAGCAAGATAACGATTGACAGACGACTTAATAGATTGCAAATTATATAAATCAAGAAAGCAAGATGAAGGAAGCGAAGAAAAAAATAAGGAAAAAACTAGACTAAAAAGAGTTTTTGGAGCACTTAGGAACAGTCACAGAAAAAGAATGAGACTTAATTGAATAACGAGTAACACAAGAATGAACTTTAGTAGATGGCTCAAGAGACGCAAGCTCTTTAGAGTAGTGCCCATTATAGTATTTGTAGAAAAGAGAAAGAGAAGCAATGAGATCCTTTTAAAGCCCAAATGCCCCCCTCCAAGCAATCAGAGAGTGTTGGCTTTTTATCATAACAAGAATAAGTGGTAGTATCATCAGCGAACAATGCCACCTTATATGTGAGAATATCTGGAAAATCATTAATGTAAATTAAAAAGAATATAGGGCCAAGGATTGAACTTTGAATTTTAATCCTTGTAAAAAAAAAAAAGGGAGGAACCCTTAAAGTTACAGGATAAGAAAAAGAGTGCTGTGCATCGAGGACAACTTTTCTACTATAATTGGAAAGGAAAGACTCAATAATCTTAAAGATGTTACCAGATACACCGTAAGAAGAAAGCTTATGGAGAAGACCAGCATGCCAAACTTTATCAAAAGCTGTATAAATGTCAAGAGCAATAGCCTTAACCTTTCCACCTCTATCTAATGCACAATAAAACTTATTGGTTATTACTGTTAACAAATTAGCCGTGGAATGAGAAGATTGAAATCTATATTGATGATCAGAAAGTAAGTTATTCAATTCAAGATGAGAGATTAAGTGTTTGTTAATTAAAGATTCAAAAACTTTGCTTATGATAGGAAGAAGACTAATGGGATAGTAGTTAGACAAGTCAGATTGCTCTCCAGAATTTTTGAAAATAGGGATAACAATGCTGCTTTCCAACATGCTGGAAAATAAGACTCTGATAAGCACTTGTTTAATAGTTTTGAAAGTATGGATGACAGCTCCGGAGAACATTTCTGCAAGACTACAATAGGTATGTTGTCTGGATCGATATGAATGTCAAGCAATGGAATGGAAGCTGGAATGATATGAATGTCAAGCAATGGATCAACCTGTTTGAAGGCTGTATCAGGTAGAACGCAACTAGTGGAATCAAGAGGTAATATTGATGAAAAGTTCTTAGCAAACAATTTAAGCATTCAATTCAAAACAATATTAAGTATTCAATTCAAAACAATATTTTATAGATAAACTCAAGGCCACTACGAAAGAGTTCTTTCTTGAAATATATATGGGCAATTCCACGAGAGTGACGGTCATAACATTTGGCATTCTTTATGCTATTAAAAACAATCTGTAAATTGAAATGACTTGAAACTTTCCAGAAATGCAAAATACTATCATATAATTTAGTATTTAAAAGTTACAGCATTCAAAACGTCTTCAACTTTTTTCAAAAATTAACTCTACATAGCGTGACGGTCGTAACACTTTTTACCATTTCTGAACAAAACAACTTTGTCAGACATAATGCAGCGAATGACTTGGTAAAAAAAAAAAATCATTTGGTGTGTGTATTTAGCACATATTGATATTATTATATGCAAAGTTACACAGTTTTTCTTTAAGTTTTACAAGCAATTTTATGTTTTTTTGTCGTAACAGTCATAACAAAATATCCAATGCTTAAAAACAACAAATAAAATGACACAATCGATGATGTAAGAAAAAAAGTATAAATGATTATTAACTGCCATGTATATTATGTTAAAAAAATGCACTATAACATTATCAAAGTTCTCAATTATTGATATATGATACGATATTTAACACTACACAACAGGACTGTAAATAAGTGTCAAAACACTTTTATACAACCCTTACAAAATTAAAACCATATGCTATGGTATGATAAAATGATATTTTTTAATAACTTTATTTCTTAAAAGTGTTTTTAAATAGTTAAAAAAAAGAATTATAGAGTTTAGTATGTTTTCATAACTTTTTTGCTTTTTTTTCCCTCTCTTGTGGAATTACCCATATATATATATATATATATATATATATATATATATATATATATATATATATATATATATATATATATATATATATATATATATATTATTTAATCGATCGGGCACTTTTATTTTATACATGACACCATTGTTTAAAATAATTTATTTATTCAAATAATATTTTATTAAATTATAAAAGAGATTTATTTTCAAATAACTTTTATTCTAGTTAATGAATTATTAGCGCTGTTTTAATTTCCTGACAAAGCGCTGTTTTAATTTCCACATTATTTTTTGCGCTAATATTTTCGCTATCAATAAAAAATTACAGCTGTAAGTTTACACTGTATGCTTTTGGAAAAAAAAAATATATATATATAAAAAATAATTTTTGATGTATATCTGTATTGTATTTTTTTAGAATATTTAAGAAAATAAATGCTAACTTATCATAGAAAAACTTCTATTGAAAAACTGTAAAGAAGTAATAATCAGTTCAACTCTGAAAGAAGATAAACCTTCTTGTGAAGTGAAACTTTCGGAATTGACAGCATCAGTAAATTCATAATACAAAATAGTGAATTTTTCTTAATTTAGTTCGTTAAATTTATTTACTTATAAAAAAACGTATTAACTTGAGGAAATTAAAATAAAAGTGAACTAAAAATAAAATAGAAGTTATATTGACTTTTCTTTTTTTAAACCTTAACAAATAATAATATCGTATTTAAGTATTTAATAGGTTATTATATCAAGTTATTATTAAATACTTAATATGATATTATTCTATTATAATATCATATTAAGTATCATATATATTATATTATATCAAGTTATTATTTAATACTTAATATGATATTATTTATTTATAATAAGAAGTATTTAATATTAAAATTATGATATTATTACTATAATAATAAATTAAACTAAGATAAACAAAACAATTATTCTATTAGATTATATATATTTCAGTAAAACTTAAAAATTCTTGTCATAATTTTTAAAAATATTTTTAGTATGCAAACGAACTTTACTTCACTTAAATAATAAAAAAGTTTAAATAAAGACTTCTAAATAAAGCAATGTTTAATGTCTAAATAAAGCATGGTTTCTTTTAAAGTAATAACAAATTCATTTTAACTGAAATTTTACAGGCTTTTGTAAAAGTATGTAAAAACCATACTAAAACAAAATTACTTTCTTTAATAGCATACTTGTTATTAAACTTAAAAGTAACGCTTTTAATAAAAGCAATCCTGTTTTAGCTTGGTTTCTTTTAAAGTTGTTGAAAATGTGTTTTAAATTTTAGTAAATAATTGTTTTTTTATTACAAATAAAAAACTATCAATTAATTGGAAGAAAAATTGCTGAAGTTATGCATTCGTTTTAATCACACACGATTTGTCACACCCTGATATATATAATTATGAAAACTTACATATGTTATTAAATAATAAAGACATAACAAAGTAATAAAGAAGGAAAATTTTTCTGTTTGTTAACAGTAATTTAAAAAAAAAGAAAAAAAAAGAAATTAAAAATTTTTTTTAAACAAAAAGCACAAATAAATAATCTGAAATAAACTAAAAATCTAGTACTAGTCGCTAGTACTGTCAAATAAAAATAATAATTTAGAAAGCCATCTGAATAGATTAAAATTAATTTTGTGATTTTGCATTATTTTCAATATTAAACTTTTAAAAAGACTTATACAAACTCAAAACAATTCATCGTATATCATATCATTGTATATTATATAGTCATCAATATCAAAAGTAATGAGTTTATTTTGAATACCAAAAGCATACCCAATAGTAAAATTTGTCAAAATACCTTAACAGGGGCAGCAACAGAGCTATATCCATGCAAAGTGTAAACAAACGGCATATAAGGCTTTAAAAATCTTTCTTTTTCCTAAAATAAAGAAATATATTTATATATATAAAAGCCCTCCATTCCCACAAAAATTTGATTTTTTTTTTTTTGATATGAAAGTTGCCATTGAATTTCTGGTGTCTTGTAATATGTTCTAATTATATAAAGCAAGGTATACAAAAGAAAAAATTTTTTAGCACTTCTCAGCCCTTCAAAGTTTTCAAACTTTTCTTGATATTTATTTGTTTCATATAACCCCCTTCAAATTTTGTACAATTTCCCACAATAATATTTACGCACCAACTCATAGGATTATATTATAAAATAAGCAACAATCAAAAACTGTCAGAGACATTTATCATCTTTATTTGAAATTCCATTAGAAAAAATCAATTATCTGGTACCTGGAAAATTATCCTTTCCAAATATTTTAAAATCTATTTTTATAACAATGATAAAAATATAACATTGCAAACATTTTTGCTTACCCCACTTAATCATATAACATTAATTGCAAACATTTTTGCTTACCCCACTTAATCATATAAAAACTATTGCCGCAATCTCAAGTCAACAAATTTAATAAAAGTAAAGTAAAAAAAGTAAAAATTATACTAAAATATCATTTTCATTAAATCAAAAAAATAAAATGCATGGTTTAAAACAAGTTAGAAAAAATTTTATTTTTGATTTTTTAGCTAAGTTTAGGTAAAAACAGTAATTTAAATAGAAATTCTGTATCCATTGTTTAATTACAATTTTTATTTTGTTGTAAGTCTCCATCAAAAATTTAAAAGCGCTAATAAAATGATAAAGTTTTTATAATAAGTAAATATTATATGTATGCAACAACTGTAAACAAGCTTGCAACAAATCCTGATTATATGTATGCAACAACTGTAAACAAGTTTGCAATGAATCCTGATAAGGTAATTTACTAGGGTAGGATAAAACTACTAAGGTACCAAGAAATAGTCTAGGATCGCAACATTATTTTTACTAGTTGTAATAAGTTAAACTATATTATACATTAACTAATTTTACATATATTTCAGTAATAATAAAAAAAATCAATTACAAAAATCTTCAGGAAACTCTGAGAAATCCCAGAATATAGGGAATATACTAAATCACATCAAATTCACTTAACTAAATTAGATATATAAATATTACATAATATTATTTACATTGATAATTATTTCATAATAATTATCAATGTTAATAATATTATGTAATTTTTTAAAAATAACATTTTGAATTTCTCACTTCAAAAAATAGCTAGTATAAATCTTTAAGTAAAAAGAAAAAAAACTCTAAACCAATGTAAAGAAACTCTCTAAATAAAGGGGATAAAAGGAACCATCTGAAGTCAAAAGTGACAACTGCTAAAATTAAAATAGTCACATTTTAAAAAATAACTAAAAACTGGAACATTCATGAAATTCTTATTTAATCAAGTTTTTTTTTAATAAGTTAAAATTAGAAAAATCTGTTACAATTTTCTGGATCATTCAACATTACCCTCTTCTACCCTATTTGAAAGTGATTTAGTCTTTCAATTTTAACTGTTCTATTGGAGAAATATTCTCCAAATACACAGGAACAATTTATAAATTTATAAATAAAAATTTTATAAAACAATTAAATTTACAACATACTTGTCTTCGAAATTCTTCTTTCTGCTCATTTGAGCTTGGACACACAGAATAACTTGTACTAACAAAAAAATTTTTTAAAAATTAACTAAGTTAAATTTTAGGTAAATAAAATAAATTAAAAAAAAAAAAAAATTAAAGTACCGATCAACATCCTGCTTTTCTTTATTGCATTCTTTATTGCTGTTAGGAGCCTAAATTTAAAAAAATACATATATTATTTTTTCTAGAAAGGTTTATGAAAACATCATTAGTATATTTTAGAAAAGTATAAAAAATACAATTATACTTAGAAACGATAACTAAACAAAAATATAAATATAATTTGATAATCCAAAACACAAATTTATTTTCATTAATGAGCATGCTAAGCACATTAAAGATAGAGGTAAAATCAGAAAGAAATTAAAAACTATCAAATTAATTTGCAGATTTTTTTTTTTAAATTCTAATTCACTCCAAAGGCAGCAAGCAACCACTTTAAGTTAGGAGTTACTAGAAAAAAAAAAAGAAAGAAACAGTTGACAGAAGACGTAAGTTGTATGAGTCATTGAAAACATGAAGCGAGAGAGTTCCAAAAAGTTGAAATATGGGTAAAAAAAACTAGATGAATAAATGTTTTGTGAACATGTAGGAACAGATACATTAAAAGAATGAGACTTTGATGAATAACTTGTCATTCAGCAAATTTTCATATTTTACTGTATCTGTCTCTGCATGTTCTAAAAACTCCTTTGAGCAGTTCCAAAAGGTTGAAATATGGGTAAAAAAACTAGATGAATAAATGTTTTGTGAACATGTAGGAACAGATACATTAAAAGAATGAGACTTTGATGAATGACTTGTCATTCAGCAAATTTTCATATTTTACTGTATCTGTCTCTGCATGTTCTAAAAACTCCTTTGAGCAGTTCCAAAAGGTTGAAATATGGGTAAAAAAACTAGATGAATAAATGTTTTGTGAACATGTAGGAACAGATACATTAAAAGAATGAGACTTTGATGAATGACTTGTCATTCAGCAAATTTTCATATTTTACTGTATCTGTCTCTGCATGTTCTAAAAACTCCTTTGAGCAGCAACCATGGTAGTATTTGTAGAAAAGAGAAAAATTTCACATTTTGTTGCACAAAAATGTGAAAACCATGGAGTAGAATGAGGCTTGACTTGACAAGAAGGAATTGACAAGAAGGAATAAAAGCTTTCACTCCTGTCTGAATCCAGGAGGTTATGTAGGAGGCGCATTTATCAGCTGAGAGAGAAAAGTCACCAATTCAAAGACTGTCACAAAGAAAATCATGAAAATAATCTGAGTCAGCTTAAGTAAGTAGTGCGATAAAAGGGTGAATCTGAAAAAGACTGACAAGACAAAAGATGTCTCAATCCTGCTAACTAACCCAAAAAAATAAATATTTTTGTATGTATGTATGTATGTATGTATGTATGTATGTATGTATGTATGTATGTATGTATGTACTATAAAAAAGTCATTTAATAGTAAAAAATAAAAAAGGTGTAAAGTAAAGAATATGGATATTTTTATCATTAATTATAACTAAACTAAACATACTCATAATTGTGTATACAGGGGTGGGACCGCAAAATGTGAACGTTTTTGTTTTATTATAACTATTTTCTCGTTAGATGTAGTTGTACTCTCTCACTCATCAGAAAGTGTCTAAAGAGTTGTTAAATATGAACTATTTTAAATAAGAATGTCCAACCATTGGACATTCTTATTTAAAATAGTTCATATTTAACAGAAAATTAATTATTACAATCAGAAAAGTGTTCACATTTTGCGGTCCCACCCCTGTATTTGTTACATGTTAATGGTCATTATTTTTTATATGAATGATTACAGATGAAGAACACTGTTATACTTGATTTCTCTTTTAAAAAATAAAAAACATAAATGCTCTGAAGAAACAAAAAGTGACAAGTATCTTTGAATTTTAGATTAAATTAAGCTGTGATGATGAATCAAGTTGAGAACAGATTTAAACATTTCCACATTTTTAAACAATTTCATGTGTACTTTTTTTGTCTTTTTTTATTTAAATTCTCATTCATTATTTAAGAATTTTTTTTTTTATCTGACTGACTTGTAGCCAGTTTACAGGCTTGGATATATCCGTGGTTTGACTCTCTACTTATCATTAACATCATGACATCATTCCATTTATCCATTTGCCTGGATAAATGGAATGATGTCATAAATACAAATACTAGTTAAAAATTTAATAAAATTTTATATTGTTAACTAAAGTAGAATCAGGTAAAATGTTAAACTGTGGTAGCGCTGTAGTGGTAATGTGCTTGCTGCATAAGCAAGAAGTTTGATCCCCATCACATTCCTAGTAGTACTGGGCTCAACTTGTTTCTCTGTGCAGCGGCCTTGGTTTTCAAGGTTTGTATTTTGTAATTAAAGAGCTGAGAGAGGGTTATTATCACAATAAAGTAGTTTCCTTAACTGTAATGACACTCTTAGCCTTGGTAAAATACAATATGGGGAAAAAATAAATAAAATAAAACTACTCTCAAACAAAAAAAAAAAACATTTCTTAAAATGATTTCTGGAAAAAAATTTTAAAATTCATTTATAAAGCAATTAAATAACTTTCATAAAAATAAAATATACAATTTAATGTTATTATACCTTCTTATATTATATTAAAGTTTAAAATATATTGTTTACCATTGCTTCCCCTAAAGTATCCATCCAATGATTACACAATGGTAAGATAATACTATTATTTGTATAATCAGGACCTAAAAAAGTAATAACTACTTAATATAATCCATACAAAATTTTATAATTATTAAACTCACAAGAGACTTGTATTAATACTAAATCTCTATAATGAATAGCCGAATGAATATTATTATTATTATTATTAGTGCGCATAGTTACGCGTATTGTTTTATAGTTACGGTACGGTTCTGTATCTGTAAAATACACTTTTTAAGTAGTTTCTAGACTTTTTTTACCGCGTGCTTTCTTAAAGATTTCCTTTCAACCTTTCATGGTACGAGTTCAAAATGTCCAAGTTGATATTAAGTAGATGTTTAGTAGCTTAAAATTATAGGTAATCTAAAATTTTTTTAAATTTAAAAGTAATTAATTTATTGTAATCTTTTTTAAATTGTAATTTTAAATTTAAAGCTTCGTGTTATAGATTACTTTAATTCTTAGATTGTGTCTAGCGTTAAAATATATTTATAGGTAGTTTCATGCTTTCACATAGTTTTGGTTATTGGGATAAAAGCCATGACAACATTTTGTTATAAATTTATCTTAATTTAATTTTTATTGAAAATTTTGATATAAATAAAATTTGTCTTTAATATTGTTAATACTTTTGCTCTTTGAAAAAAAATATGTTTCTGGCTCTTCAATAAATATAAAATAATTTGTCTTGCATGAATGAATTTTGGTTTAGGATTTAATTGTGTTATTTATGTTTGTCTATCTGTAATTTATTTAGGTTATTAGAAAATTCATGTTTACAGAGTTGTTATTAATCATAATCGAGTTGTTAAACCAAGGAAATTGTGGAGGTTTATTTATCAAATATACTATATATATTATATAATTATATTGGAGGGAGTAAGTTTAAAAGCATTTTTAAATTTTTAAAAAGAAATAAAAATACTTTTCAATATATATCTGTTTTATTTGAGGTAGAATTAAAGTTTCAGTTTTTTAAAATTTAAATTTAAAGTTTCAAGTTTTCAAAATTGTAATCTTTTCAAAATGTCTAAGTAGACATTGAGTATTTATAAAATCTTTTTTAAATTTAAAAGTAATTAATTTTTTCTAATCTTTTTTAAATTGTACTTTTAAATTTAAAGGTTCGTGTTATACATGTAAATATTGAAAATATAGATTACTATAATTCTTAGATGGTGCCTACCATTAAAAGATATTCATGGGTAGTTTCATGCTTTCAAATGCTTTTAATATTTGGGATAAAAGCCATGACAACATTTTGTTATAAATAAAACTTATCTATAGTATTGTTAATACTTTGGCTCTTTGAAAAAAAATATGTTTTTTTCTTTTCAAAAAGTTTAATAATTTGCCTTGCATGATTGAATTTTGGTTTAGGATATAATTGTGTTATTATATGTTTGTTTTTCTATTTATATCTAATTTATAAAGATTTAATTTATAGTTAAGATAAATATAATTTATTTAATTTAAAATTAAGATATAAAAAAAAATATCTAATTTGTAAAGATTTAGATCATTAGAAAATTTATATTTACAGAGTTGTTATTAATCATAATCAAGTTGTTAAACCAAAAAAATTGTAGAGGTTTATTTATCAAATATACTATATATATTATATAAAAAATTTTGGTTTTCATATGTTTTCGCTATGTATATCCTATGAGTTGCCGCAGCGTAATAGTGTGTTGGGGGAAAAAAATTTATAAACCTGCGTTAATAACCCATTTTCTATTGTACATAACGCGTTAATAAGTTTTATTACCCGTTTTGTTCAATGTTTACTCCCAACGCATGCCTTATGACGCTGTCTGCGAAGATATGTTGTTTGTTTCTAAATTTTTTTTCTTTATTAGAAACAGAATAAATTTTAACTTTTTGTATTAAGTTTTTGCTAATATGGTTGCAAGTTTTTCTTAACTTTTATCAAATAAACTTAAGAAACCTGTATTACTTTTGATAATGGCAAATTAATTTTATTTTGCATTAGTTAGGATTCTTTATATATTTGTTTTGAGAATTTTTTTTTTTAATTTTTTGAGTAAGATTTTTTTAGTTATTTATTTAGTTTTTTTATTTTATTGTTAACTTTAGAGTAGTAAAAAAAAGAAATAATTAGTGTTGCTTTGAGAAATATGTTTAATCAAAATGATGACATTGAAATGAATGATAGGCTAGATGAAGTTATGTATTTACAAAATGATGTAAGTGCTATAAGGTGTGTTGAAAATAGTCGTAGACGTAATGAAAGAAATAGACTTAGGCAAGATGAAATTAATCATTTACAAAATGAAAGAAATAGGCTTAATCGAGAAAACGTTAATTGTCGCCAAAATGAAAGAAATAGGCTCGATCGAGATAATGTTAATCGTCGCTAAAATGAAAGAAATAGCTTGATCAAGATAATGTTAATCGTCGCCAAAATGAAAGAAATAGGCTCGATCGAGATAATGTTAATCGTCGCTAAAATGAAAGAAAAGCTGTTGGACAAGGACGAATGTATTCTATAGCGAGAAGTAATGTTATTCCAGATTATAATTATTTAGGAGAAATGAATCAAATTTGTCAGCACTGTGGTGCTAAGAAAGTTCCAGATGAAACACATTTTCTATGTTGCCATAACGGTAAGGTAGCTTTCTATTTAGACGTTGGTAATAATATTGAAACAAGTAAGTTATAAAGCATTTTTAAATTTTTAAAAAGAAATAAAAATACTTTTTAATATATATCTGTTTTCTTCGAGGTAGATTTGAAATTTCAGGTTTTTAAAATCATATATATTATAATATTAAATTCTTTTTTACTTTAAAAATATCTACATTATAGTTACACTGAGTCGTAGAAAAATAATTAAAGTTTATTAATAAGGTAGTAGATTATTAGAGTAGATTAAATTGTTTGATCTATTTAATCAACTTAATAACGTACTACTAAAGTAAAAATTTATTTCGGTTGTTTGTTTGTTAAAATTTAGTTAGAGTTTATTTAAAATTTAAATTCTTTAGTTAATCAAGAGAGATCTAATAAAGGTATTAATTACATTAGTTAGTTGAATGTGGCATTTAATATGTATTTTATCGATATTTTAACGTCTAAACATTAAAGTGCTTTTATTGTTTAGATACAGAAGTGAAGAAGCAAATAAGTCAATGTTTTTGCTATTAGATATTTGTTAATAGGAATTTGTTTATTTGTACTGCCACTGGAATTTTAAAAAATCAAGTTCTTTAGCTTTATTTTATACTTTCTTTTAGGGGAGTTGGAACAAAAACTAAGTATAAATTATGATTAGTTTAGTTTAATAAAGCATTAATATTTAGAAGATTTAAAGTTTACTTTAGTTTATAGTTTTGTTTTTAGCTTTAGTTATTTTTTTCTTACTTTAGACAACTTTATGGATGAAATGAGGGGGATGGGTAAAACAATTACTTAGATATGTATATATTTATAGGTTAACATTATTTTATCGATTATTTTATATTTATTTAAGTATATATTTGTCTTTAGTGTCTGGTGGAAGTATAGCTGGTAGGGCTGTGTTAATTAAATTATAAGTTCGCTAGATTCCTTATCATTCAAATATTATAAAACTTACCGCTCCCAACACCCGGGACCTCTCTCAGAGAGGTCCTTTAACAAATGGAAAGATAATGGCGGAATGGATGAGCCCTCCTTTAAATGGAGGGCTCATCCATACCGGGGTGTTGGGAGACACCGAAGAAAAAACAGCAACCAAAAGGTTGTAAATGTCTTCTATCAGTAGAGATATTTATGACTTTTTGGTTGCTGCTTTTTCTTCTGTGTTTTTTTTTTTTAATTTTGTAATTAATTTTAATTTTGTAATTTTTTTTTTTAATATATATTATGTTGTATATTTGATTTGTTTTGATCTTTTTTAATGAAAATTTTAATTGCTTTCTCACCAATTAAACCTGACTTCAAATTTAAAGCCCTCTTAAATACCCCTCCCTAAATTCTAAAGTCGAAAGTTGAATTGATTCATTACAATATATTTAGCTATATAAATACAATTTATTTATCTCGATTCGATTCTTCATCTTTTATGTTTATAGTTTGGCTCCTTGAAGCATTTTATGTTTTGCTTTTTTTATTATGAGTATTTTAAACCCGTTGTGATGTCTTTTAAATTAAACTAAAGTTTACTAAAAGCCAACATAAAAATTACGTTTTTGAACAACACCAAAAAGAACAGCTGCATCCCTACAGCAACTGCTGCAGTATCACAATAGGTTACCAAAAGCAGGTATACTGTTTTCCAGTTGTTGTTTTTTTTTCATATATATCTACTTATCTATATAATACTATAGTATGATTGTTTATATCTCATTCATTTTTTTTTTCTTTATCTTTAAGTGTTAATAATTTTATTCTTTGAATGAGATTAGTTAAACAAGTCGGCTTTCCATTAAAGATATTGGTTTCAAAATTGAACACCATTGGCAAAATTAGGTAGTTTTCAAAAATCTGTTTTCTATTTAATACCCTTTTTTTTAAATATACTTTTTAAATATACTTTTTTAATATACTTTTCTATAACAATCCTACTAATATGAAATCACGTAGCTTTTTAAATATGTTTAATTGTTGTCCCTATCAGTAATGAATATTTTAAATTATTTGATATGGTTTTCTTTACAATAGGCTATGCTTGGCTCCTCGGTGCTGTAAATGGTGGCTTCAATTTTGTTTTTTTAAGAAAAATGTGTTTTATATATGCTTCTGTTTTAAAATATTTTTGTTACACATTTAACTATATATCATGTAAATAAATTTCTTTTAAAGATATGTAAACTTAATACTTGCTTTTTTACGGATTTTCAAAAAGTGAACAAAGGTTTAAATATATTTTTTAACTGTCTTATATGATTTTATCAATTTTATTAAAGCTGAATAATTACTTCAAAAATATTGAGTAAAATCCAATTGCTTTTATTATTAACCTGATCTATACAAAAATTAATGAAATAAAACTAATAATTTAACGCCAAGTTAAGGCAAAATGTATTCCGGACATTTTATAAAATTAGTATAAATATGGATTGAATGTATGCTGAAATAAATATGTAGATACACGTTAGCTATTAAAGTAAATCCATATATTCCTTTATTGTTTTGTTATAAACAAGTTTCTGCTGGATTACTAATTAAAAAAAAAGGTTGGTTTAATAATAATCTTTATCATAATAATATAGGATCCGTATGCAGGGTAAGCCCTTTTCGGAATTGCGATATATTTTTCAACTTATAATTTTTCCGGATATCCAACTTATGCCTACAAGTTTGGGTGTAATATTTTAGATGTTTTAAAAATATTTAAAAAGTATATTAAAAACATTGAAAAGTTTAGGTGCGATAGTGACATATTTTTAAGCTCTTCACTCAGTAAAATGAAAAGTTTAAAAAAAAAAGAAACGACTCAGCTTAAAGCAAAATTAAGAGTAGAATATATTCCCGATATTTACCTAAACAATTTTACGGAATTTGAAAATTTGACATTGATGTTCTGTGCATATAATTCAAGTCATTTTTAACTACTACATGGTTGTGATTTGCGCATTCAATGTCTGAACATTGCAAAAGAAATGGTTAACTTTATCTTTAATAAAGCTAAGAGTTCTCTTAAACTAAGAAGCCAAGAAAAATAAAAGTGAGCTTAACTAAAAAAATGTATGAATAAATTTATATTTCATTAGAGAAAGTAAATAAAGATCAAATTGTTAGTAATAATTTATTTACTACTAACCTGTATTACGGGTTGCTTTCTGTATAAATAAATTTATATTTTATTAGAGAAAGTAAATAAATATCAAATTGTTAGTAATGATTTATTTACTGCTAACCCGTATTACGGGTTGCTTTCTGTATAAATAAATTTATATTTTATTAGAGAAAGTAAATAAATATCAAATTGTTAGTAATGATTTATTTACTGCTAACCCGTATTACGGGTTGCTTTCTGTATAAATAAATTTATATTTTATTAGAGAAAGTAAATAAATATCAAATTGTTAGTAATGATTTATTTACTACTAACCCGTATTACGGGTTGCTTACTGCTAGTAATATATTATACAAGCAACTGTACAAATTTCTAAATATAAAATAAGCTACTACATTACTAAATATACAATATATATATACAGTAATAAAATATAATTGAATTAAAAAATTTAAATTATTTATTCAAATAATAATAAACAAAAAAAAATTTACAAAACATATTTGCTAAAAACTAGACATACCTGTCCAACACCAACAATTATCATCAGCCAAAAGTAACGGAGTAAATTCAGGTAATTGTGAAGCTTAAAAATGAAATTAGTTTGGTGTATTTGTAACTTTCACAAAAAACACATGCAAATTCTATTTACATTTTACAATATTGAGTTTTTATGTTTAATGTTTTGATAAATACATTTGGTGTGATGATAAGATTGAACATTAATACAATTGGCATATTTAATTATGATTTTTATGTTTTTTTTTTAATATTTTTATAAAGTTTTAATTTAAAACAAAACATGTATTTTATAAATACACTACATACTTTTTATTTAAGATTATTACAGTTGTCATATTTCTACAAATTTTTATTTGACATTTAAACTTAGATAAAAAACAAAAAAAAACAAAAAAAACAAAACAAAAAACAAATATGTAGTTTCTGATTATAACATGTGTTTATAAACACACGTGTTATAATCAGTTTGAATTACAATTTGAGTTTGAATTGCAGTTTTTATAATTTATGACTTTTTACTTTTGTCATAAACAAAATGCCATAAACATAAACAAATAAACAAATTAATTCAATGTACATTTTGAATATATTTTATACCTTACTTTATACTTGATAACTAATTTGATTACCTGTACCCTTTCCTGACATATATTCTATAGCAAAAGGTATGAATGGAACCCATGAGGGATACAATGTCTTCCATGTACAAGTGTCTCCAGATTTATACTTCTATAACAGAAACATCCTAACATTAAAAAATATTTAGCAAAATATACAAAATATATATGATATATGGTGTACATATATGGTATATATATAAACAGAACAAAAATAAAATAAAATAAGTAAACAAGACAATAAAAAAAAGTAAGCGAGACAATGTTTATTTCAATGAAACCATATGATGAAATATATTTAAAAGATAAAACTAAGTAGGTTTTATTAAAAGATAGCTGACAATAAACTTTATTTAATTAAAATTTTTTAAATTATTTCGAACTTTATTTTAAACTTCATTCAAAATTTAAGGCAAAACAGTAATATTTATTATAAACTTAAAAGAATCGCATGTGTTTTATCACCATTTCTAAATACATATAACATTTAATAAAATTGAAATATTTACTTTTAATAAGAGTTATTTAGACGCTTGGAAAAAAAGAACATGACCTTAAAAACAGACTAAAAAACAAGAAAACAGGAAAAAATTTCAAAACTTAAAAAAAAATAACAGGAAAACAGGCTCTTGTATATAAGAACATATTATAAAGCTATTCATGTCACACACAAAATCTAAGCACAGTAATCATTTTTCACTTACATTTTATCACTAAATTATCTTTTTATAAGTGAAAAATTCATGAAAAATTAAATGATCTTTTAAAGAGCATAAAATCTTTTTCTTACAAAGTAATGAAACAAACTAACACATACGAAACACCAAAAGTCATGAAATAAACTAACACATACAAAACACCAAAAGTCATGAAACAAACTAACGCAAAATGATATGGATAAAACCTATGCTTTTTCTTACACCAAAAGTCATGAAACAAACTAACACAAAATGATATGGATAAAACTTATGCAAAAATCTTTGTTATCAATAAAAAAATCATTTTAATTGTCTAAACTCTCTATATTGCTGCTTAGTGACAATTATTTTATAAAACACTAAAAACATTTTTTTTTAAATTTAAGAAAACATAAAAAATTGTGTGTGTAATTTAGTATATTTAGTAAATTCTAATTATCATCTTATGCTTATAGACATTGTCTGATGAGGAAAACATAAAAAATTGTGTATGTAATTTAGTATATTTAGTAAATTCTAATTATCATCTTATGCTTATAGACATTGTCTGATGAGGCTCTCAGAATACCTAATCTTGTATTGTCTGATGAGGTTCTCACCTTGTATTGTCTGATGAGGTTCTCACCTAATCTTGTATTGTCTGATGAGGTTCTCACCTAATCTTGTATTGTCTGATGAGGTTCTCACCTAATCTTGTATTGTCTGATGAGGTTCTCACCTTGTATTGTCTGAATAGGTTCTCACCTAATCTTGTATTTTAAGAAGTTAAGCTCTAGAGACTTTTTTTTTACTGTGATTAACCCTATATATATGGATGCCATGGTTACCATATGGCAACTAAATAAAATTGTTAATAAAAATGTTATTCTTTATTCCAATAAAGGAATAAAGAATAACATTATTTTAAAGCTATGAAATACTTTTGAAGCTATAAAGTATTTTATAGCTTCAAAAGTATTTCATAGCTTTAAAAAAACTTATTAGCTCCAGTTCTTTCCATAAAATAAGTTAAAATGGTCAAAATGCAAAAGCAATGTTTTTGAACTCCAATTTTAATTAAAATTTGGATGTTTATAAAAGGAAATAGATTAATACATTTAAGATATTTTTTAATATATAAAATGAAATATGTTTGGCTAATTCTAACAGAAAAATTTTGCAAAATTTGTTGACTTTAAAAAAAAAACTGTAACTTATGTTTAAAACTAATAATTTAGATAATTATTTTTTCGTTATCATTTATTATTTAAACTCTTTTTAGTGAAGTTTTCAGCTTTTACTCTTACTTTTGTTGACTTTGTCAATTTTTTAATTTTTTAATTTTATTTAAACTTATTATTATTTAGCTGACTTTTTTTTTGTCAATTATTTAAACTTATTATTATTTAGCTGACTTTTTTGTTGACTTTGTCAATTATTTAAACTTATTATTATTTAGCTGACTTTTTTGCTTGATTTTGTCAATTATTTAAACTTATTATTATTTAGCTGACTTTTTTGCTTGATTTTGGCTTGTAAGAGTCGTTATTTTGTTTTAGACATAAATTAAAAAAAAAAAAGTTTTATAATTATAATTTAGAAAAAGATGTACATTTTATATTAACATCAGGAAATAAATTTGAACTATCTGATCTTAGTGAAAGAGAGATGATGCTACCAATGTGAAGCTAGATGCGTTTGAAAAGAATGAAATCAAATCTAGATAAAAGATTTAGATATTGGAAAATGTAACAGTGTGAAGAAAAGTTCATTCCAAGAGAAAAACTCAAGAGAATTTAAAGAACAAAAAGAATGACAAAAAAAGAAAGACATATCATTTAAAGGCGAACCTTTAAATTTACCTCCACCAAATGTTACCACTTGACTTTTATAGACAATTTTGGACCACTGAATAAACTAAAACGACTTCAGAACAAACTAATTTGTGTTCAATTAAGTGGGAAATCAGTTATAATTGACAAAAATGAAATAGAATAAAAAAGCTTGATGTGAAATATTCAACCCTTTTTACTGGCTAACTAGATACCCCAAAATAACAGATAATCATATAATTGGTACAAATCCCTTCACAGATATCTTCATATAGTAGATAGACCAATGCTGGAAATTAGAGTTGTTCTGCAGAGAATATTACTATGTGAACTATGAGACTATGTGAAGGCATCCTGAAACAACAAAACTTCAAGTTGTCTTTAGACAACTGGTTTTGTACACTTGAATTATGTTTACATCTTCAGGAAATGGGAGTATTAACAACAGCAAATGTTGAACTAATATATTGGTTGCTGATTGCAAAGTGAAAAAGATCTGAGAAAAGCAGAGTTTATCTTATAAAGTAGACCAACATTTTTGCTTTTGAGATGGCTTGATGTGTTAATGTTGCTTTTAAATACTGGTCTCCTGACTCAAATAGCAAAGTTAGAAGATGAGATGGAAAGAATAAAACTTATATTCATGTCCCTTGCTATAAATAAATACAGATTATACAAAAGTGGTATTGGTGTAACAGGAGATGTTTTATTTGTAACTTCTAATAATAATAACAAGTAATATAAGTGTTGTGATCAAAAACATTTTTATTAAATTATTAAACTAACTGACTAGACCCATAAAAACATGGGTCTTTGTAAGTCTATTCTACACCAGCCTTTTCTATACTTTTTTCTTATATATATATCCTAACTTTCCGAACCCATAAAATCTGGGTTTTTACCAAACATACCATTTTTATACTTCCACACTGATCATTTCTATACCTGTTCCTTATTTATTTCAATAATTTTTAGTAAAATAATTTTTTCTGAAAAATTACTTCTTTATTAAAAGTCCTTTTGTTTGTTATAGTGTATAATATCTTTACATATGTTATATATATAATATCTATAAAACGTTTTATTTTGTATTTGAAAAAAATTAAAACCAAAAAAGTTGCTAATGCATTACCAACTTTTTTTTTTTTAATTTTTTTCAAATCCAACCACTACAGTGGTAGGATTCAGAATTTGTTCAGGGGCTCTGCAAGCTAACCACTTGGCCATGTTGGCATGTTGACTAATGAAAATTTTAAAATTATATAATAAAAGACTTTATAAGTATTTTATCATATATTTTTATTAACTTTTTATTAAATTATATATTATTTATTATAAAACTTAATAATTACAAAAATGCTAAAGATCAAATTTAAGGAGATGTTGCAATACAATTTTCAAGTGAAAGTAAAACTGATAGACATTGGTATATGTTTGAGTATGTTTTAACATGGCATAATTTGAAGTTTATATAAATTAGATATTTGCTTACACTTTTATTCAAACCTACTCATAAAAAAAAGTGTTGCGACTCTTTCTCACCATTACCTCAGTTGTAATGGCTGCCAAGTGTTCCATGTCACGTTTAAATAGGCGCTACTAACACTAACAAATATATATATATATATACACACATATATAATGTAGTTTGTATGCAGCTGTTGTTTTATGCTTTATATTTTAAAAATTCTGAAAACACTGTATGATATAAAGATAGGAAAAAATACTAACATTTAAAATAGTACTAACAAACTAACATTTTATATGAGATCCAATTATTTTAAAATTGAGATATTATCTATCAATTTTTCATCAGTTTCTCAACAATCAATTAAAATGGAGATATTTGTTATTAATCACTACTAATGGAGCTCCTGCCATTATGAGTTTTCTTGATTGCATATTAGAGTAAAAGATATTGCTTCATATGTAGTTAGCGTACACTGTTTTATTCACTAGAGCCAACAGAAAAATAAACTATAAAAATATTTTGAATCAAGTTATTTTGTAATAATAACTGCATATCTTGTGGTTATTATTTCAAAATTATTATAACCAGTGCAGTGTTATGTTTAATCACTACTTTTTTGTAATATAAAAGATGTGACTTAAAATTTAACTTAAAATTGCAGAATATCACAACCAAGGGTGTCTTAAATAGTGTTTTTGATTAATTTGGATTTCAATTTAATGTTAGTGGATTTCATTTTATAATAAAACATTAGTCCCGGCCCCAGCTTTGGTTAAAACCTGGGCTTAGACCTGAGTCCAGTCAATACCAATGGTTATATAGTGCACTGCTTAATGATTCTATTACAGCTTGAACCTTTATTTCAAAACTTGAATAACCTTTCACACAAAAAAATTCAAAGAAATTGAAAAATTTTCAAATTGTTGTTTTAATTAACCTTAGTAAATTTTATAAACATCTCTTGAACAAAAAAGATATAAAGATAAAACATAAAAAACTAAACCTGCCATCTTTGGATTTTTTCTTCAATCTAAAAATAAATTTTATTAAGTTTTAATTTGTTATACAGCGTTCTTTAGACGATAAATATTTTAAAATTATTATTTGGCAGCGCGCTGCCTTACAAAACGTAAAATTCTTTCGACTTCCTAAATACTTATTTATTTTTGATCACATCTGATTGTGTTTTTTTCCCACCTAGTTCTTAATGATCTTGTTTTAAATTCATCTTTTATGTATTTTCTTTGTTATTGTCTTCATTTTTAACTTAATACTACAATCAATTTTTTTTATTATTACATCGAATTTATTTGAAAGAAGTTCATTAGCTTTCATTTTTTTCATTGTTTCATTTGTTTAATTAAAATATAAATTCATGTTTTTGCATCATTAAAACATTAAAACAATGAAATAAAGATTTCTTTTCATTAAAACATTTTTTCATTGTTAACGCTAATAGAACTTTTTTAACTTTATTAGCAAACATTTTCACAAACTTAAACATTTCTGTTTCTCAAATAAATTTATAATTTTAATTAAGTTATAAATAATATAAATTATAATTTTAATAACAAAAGCTTTTTAAATTTAATTAAATTTTGGCTGAAAACATTTTATTTAGATAATAACTTATAAAATTCTAAAAAAATTTGTTAAAATTCTTTTTTATCAACATTGGGCTATTAATCCAAAGAACAATTTAAAGTTTTATTATTTTTGGGTTTTAATATTTTTTAATTTAATATTTTTTTCAAAATTAAATGAAAACTTTTATTATTATACATATTATTTTTAGCAAATGATTTTACAAAATTAAATTAACAATGTTTCTCATAATTAATTTGTATTTATTACATAATTTAATATTATTAATAAACTTATATAAATAAATAAATTTTAAGTTCGTTAAATGTTTGCTGTTAACATTTTATATTTTTTTATATTTTATATAAGTCTCATTCACAAATCACCATTCATTGTTCGTAGAAATTAGCGCTTAACAGAATGGAATAAGTTAACATGAAAAAATGAGTTTTTTAATTGAAGTATTACTTTAACATTTTACCTCAGTTGAAAAAACGCAATTAAAGATATGCGAATAGAGAGATTATTTTGTTTTTAACAATAAGCCAACTTTTTTGTTTAATTAAACAAGAATCTTCAACAAAAACTTTTAATAAAAAAAACTCAATATAAAATCAAATAAACCATTATTAGTTTTCTCCCTCCCAAATTTTTTAGACGAGCGCGATTTTTTACTCTCATAACTAAATTAGCGAGCGTTTTTTATTGCACTCGCAATTTTTAAATATTTCATTAACGAGCGTGACAAAAGCGATCGCTCCTGCTTCATGCGACAGCCTGGAATTGTAAAGTCAAGAATAAGCTTGCAAAAAATACTGAAAAGTGAATGTGAGATTGAAAGAATTTTATACACCATATCCAGAGTATGAGGTGTGAGCAGTGAAACATATGCAATTTGTTGATGCTGCCAAAACATATGCAGTTGAAACATAGTGAGACATATGCAATTAGTGTTGATGCTGTCCAGTGTTCAAAAAGTGTATAACAAATGATATGGAAAAGTTTTAGTTAAGGAAAAAGATTTTAGGATATTAAAAAAATGGGATTATAAGCTATGTCCATCAAACAAGCACACAAACAAGGAGGCTAAAATAATGTTGATGATGTCATTATCACAAAGATAATATTTTAAATGTTTTAAAACTACTAAAAGTTCAAATTCTAAAACAAAAATTTGTTGAATTTTTCAATCGAACACAATGTTTTGTTGACTGATTTTGTTTTATTAAACACTGGAATGTCTGTTTTGCTAGTATTACTTTGGTATAAACACAGATGGTGCTTTGTCCAAACACATAGAGCTTTATTGATAAAAATAGACATCGTCAATCAAACACAAACAGAATTTTGTTGATTAAACATGAATAGAATTTTTAAAACTTAAAAACTTAAATATTATTTATCATTTTTTAAATAAAAATCAGACTAAATTGAAAAAGCTATACCTAAATAACAAAAACAAGAAAAACTTACAGTTGCAAGAGTGCACTTTTTATTTTCTGCATTATCAAATATATATCCAATTAAAGAAAAAAATGAATCCATTTTCGGAAAAATGACCGGAGGACACTTTATTGGCTTTGATACCCTTATGGAAATAAAAAGCAATACTTTTATATAAAATATAAAATTATTATATTTATAACATATTTTAAAGATGTATATAAATGTAGTAAACAATAATACTTTTAGTATAGTTATTAAAAAATATAGTTTTTATAATAACCAAATACTTTTTTTATTTTATACTTATAATTAAATAAACCAAATACTTTTTCGTTTCAAGAGAAACAACTGAAGCAGGAGGTGTTTGGTGGTGTTTGGGAGGTGTTGAATGAGATGTAGCAAGTTTTGATTTAATTTTTTTCTTTTCAATAATTTTATCATGGATAGGAGTTGACATATCTAAAAGTAACACCACAACAGCAATGATGATGATGATTAATTAAGTGAAATGTAAAATTTTTTTACATTTCACTTAATCAATCATCGCCATCATCATCACCATCATCATCATCATCATCATCATCATCATCATCATCATCATCATCATCATCATCATCATCATCATCATCATCATCATCATCATCATCATCATCATCATCATCGCCATCATCATCGCCATCATCATCATCATCATCATCATCATCATCATCATCATCATCATCATCATCATCATCATCATCATCATCATCATCATCATCATCATCATCATCATCATCACCACCACCACCACCATCATATTTAAACATGAAAAATAATAATATGAACTTTAAAACAATGTATTAATTCTAACAATTACACATTTAGTGGTCATAAAAAAGTTATATTAATTAAATTATATTTAGGTTAATTATGTTATTGCTATTTTGATTTATTATGTCATGTGAATAAGAATAATTTTTGTTTAACTCATCATAATGTTGTTAGTAACTTATATACTTTTTGTTTTATATTTTAACTACTTTAGTAACTTGTATTTTGTAATAAAACTTTACCAGGTGTCGTACTATTTCAACGACGCTTTTCAAAATAAATTTTGTTTTTAAACACAACACCTGTAAGCCATTAAAAGAAAAATTATAGAAAAGATATTGTGTATGAACAAAACCTTCTTGGCTCATTTAATTGTTTTAAATTTAATAATTAACTTATGAATGTAGCCTTGTTTGTATTTATAGATCTTAGCCTTTCAATTTTATATTTTATGTTTATTTAGAATAAAAAAATTTAATAAACCTGTTTTTTTTTTAAATGAATGAAACAATATAGGCTGGTGCTTTGAGCCTAACCTAAACTTACTAATTTTACTTGGACCGGCATTGTTATGCCTCAAATTTGATTTCTTTAAACCATTACAACGCATAACTAAGTCTGCTAAGCTAATGTTTGTTGTATTCAACTCTGGATGATCCTAAAAAATCGATATGTAATTATTTTAACATAAACATTTAAAACTGATAAAAAGTAAAAAATAAAAAAACAATTTTCTATAAAATAAACATCTCTTTTTCCTGTCTTGCTTTTTAGTGTTGATTTAAAACAACATGGAAATGGAAAACATTTACAAAAACATGCAAAAACGTTTATATAAAAATTTATGTATAAATGTATATCAATACCTGACACAAAACCCTTTTTTTTTTATGCTTTCCTAGCATACAGGTTAGTTCATATTCACTTATAAGTGAATTGTCTTGAGGAAGCAAGTCTATAAAAGAAAGTAGTTATTTACACAAACTATTTAATAGTGAAAATATTTACTTATATACTTTTTTTGACATAAGGTATCAAAAAAACTTAAATTTTTTTAAAAAACTAAACTGCAGTTTTCATATTAACTGCAAAGAATAACCATGTATACTACCTATATTGTCATAGTTTATTACAATATTACTTTTTAAAATAGTTAGAAGTGAGCAAAACTGGATATTTGGTTTGGTTTGTTAAAATCTGAATCCGATACCTGATTTTCGGATAGATAAAATTATACTCCTGTCCCAGTTTCTGGATATCCATTTAAATCAAAAAACAGAAACTGGATTTATTCAAATCTAAAAGTAATTATACAAACTGAATATTTTTCTGCTTTTACAAGCATTAACAAGCTTGTAAAACCCTTAACCACGTATTAACAGTTATCAATATAACATTCAGAACTGCAACAATAACATTAAATTATCTGATCACCTGGGTGTACAAAAAATACTTGTCTTTATTTTAGCATTTCAGAGAGTTCATGGTGCATTCAAATTAATTATTCTAGCAAATTATTACATCTAAAATATTTAAGCAGACCAACGCAAAAAAAAAATCTGCAATGGAGTTTTAACAAAAGTAAGATAAAATGAACACTTATAAATAAGCAACATCATTTTCTAAACTCATTCAATATTTTTTTAAACTTTTATTTAGTATTTACATGATATTTACTAAATTAATTTTGAATTAATTAAAAATAAATATATACATTAACAAAAGTTGTTGAAGACATATTTATAAAATCTGTAAAGAGATTTATTTACAAAATATCTTCATAAGTTTATTTGGAGTCAACAATTCAAAAATTTCTACTTATTTTCATTTACTTTTTCAAAACTAAAATATATATATATATTATATATATATATATATATATATATATATATATATATATATTGATATGCGGTAGTGGTGTAGTGGTAGAGCGCTCGCTTCATAAACGAGTGGTTCCGAGTTCGATCCCCACCACGCCCCTGGTAGTACCGCGCTCAACTCGTTTCTCCGCGCAGCGGCCTTGTTCGTCAAGGTTCGTGTTTCGGAGTTATAGAGTTGTGAGAGGGTTATAGCCACAAATAAGTAGCCTCCTCGTCTGTAGTGGCCTTCTCGGCCTTGAGGAGGTGAATTAAAATTAAAAAAATATATATATATATATAAATATATATATATATATATATATATATATATATATATATATATATATATATATATATATATATATATATACACACACACACACATACATATAGGCCTTGTTTTAAATAAAAAAGTGCTTAATGCATTAGCTTAACGCGATTTTGACGTCATAAAATTATCGTTATTTTTTTTTATAGACGTTAAGTGTTTTAACTACCGCAATAAATAAATAACCGCAAACTAGTTCAATTTAACAATTAACTCAAATATAAACTATAAGCGTTTTAAATATAAATTTATTATGAAAATTTTGTAATGTTTTCAATTGTTATTTTATTATTAATTTTAGTTCAATATTATTTAGTAAAATATATATATATATATATATATATATATATATATATATTAATTATTTCTGAAATATATATATATATATTTCAGAAAGTAGTTTAGAACGCGTTCGCTAGGAATTTAATTCATAAATTTTTTATGTCATTGTAAAAATATTTAACTTTTTAAACAAAATCACAAAGAAACAGAGCTATAGAGAAAAATCGTTTTCAACGATTAAATCTTTTTTTTTTTAAATTTTAGGAAATTAAAAAAAAAATTAAATTAAATATAAAAGACTTAATTATGCAAACTCTTTTGTTAATTATTCTTAAAACAAAAAAACAAATACTATTACGCCAAACTTTAATCGTGCAAACTTAAAAAAATACTCAACTGAAATAATTTAAGTATATTTAATAATTTGAATCGTATCTGTTTATAATAAACTTTCGTAAAAATTTGTTTATTAAAAATTAAGTTCCTTAACTTATAAACAAACTCAAAAGTATTTTCATTCTACGTATAATTACAAAACTCTTTTTTTTTTCGTTTGTAAGCAATTTAACTTAATAAAAAAAAAAAAATAATAAATATGAGGTAATCTTTGTTAAGAATAAATTTAATTTATTTATTGAACTATATTTTTATTTTTAATTATATATCAACTTAATTAAAATATAGTAACATGTTAAAATATTTTAACATCACTTGTATTATTTATAAACCGTAGGGCAGTTGCTCTTACGGCACTATTGCTTTTGGATATTATTTTATTTTGATGAAGATCACATAACTTACATTTGATTTTAATAATGTAAGTCTTCTCTTTTTCTGTGATCATCGCATCGGCAAAGCATCGGCAAAGTCCCAAGATTTAAAAGTTTTTAAAGTAAATCTTTTGTCTTTCAAAATACAATCCATATTCGAACTTTAAACAATTTAGAGATAATAGAAATATACAAGGTTTTTATATACTAGTTTGTTTTGTTTTATAAAGAAAAATACATATTCATTAGTAAAAAATGGAGACTGTCATTAAACTAAAACGTGCCTTAGTATTTATTTAACGAAACCTGTAATGTGCGCGTGCATAATAAAACCTCCGTTATATAAATATATTCAACGTAATACTAGTGTCATCAGCGGATGTTGTAGTCTACTCATGATTTCTTTACCTTATAATATAACTTGATTTATGAAAAAAAAAACTTATTGAATCGCACGCAGAAGAATTTTAACAAATTGTCTTCATTCAAATATTGCGAGTAACAGGTGATTTTTTTTTTCTGTGCTGACCCCCTCCCTCCACATAACTTAAACTATATACCTTTAACTAATAAGAAAAGCAAAGACATTTTTTTTAACATCTCGAAAAAATGTCTTGATATTTTTGTTATCATGATAACAAAAATATTAAGACATTTTTTGAGATTTAATTAAAAAAAATGTCAATTCTTAATTACAAATTTTTTTGCAAATGTTTTTTATTAAAAATTCAGTAAAAAATTCATAAAAAATCTATATTACAAAAAACTTTTATATTCTGTATTAATAAATATGGAATATAGATTTTTTAAAAGTTTTTTACTAAAAACTTTAAAAAATTACTACTTTTTATTAAAAACATTGCAAAAAATTTGTAGTTAAGGATTGACAAACAATTTTTCATGTTGCTAAATATTTGGATAAAAAGTTTAGCGTCAAATTAATTGCTATAAAAAGGAAAGATATATCGCGATGAAAAGTTACAACAATTATTTTTAAAGTAAATTCTTTTTTTTAATAAATATCTTTACATATCGTTATTTAAAAGTTAATGTGGTTTTTTTGAAAATTAATTACTTCTTTTATGTTACCGCTAATTTAAAAGTTAAAAAATGATAAAAAGTAGCTTAACCAAAACAGCTCTACGCGTACGTAAAAATCGCTTAAGGCATACGTAAATTGCTCTAGGCGTAACGCTTTAAAACAAGGCCTGATATATATATATATATATATATATATATATATATATATATATATATATATATATATATATATATATATATATATATATATAGCCTCGGTGGGAAGCGGTAGCTTTAGCTCTTGCTCTTGCCCCTAAAATAGTTTGCAGGAGCAATTTGCGGCTCTCAAAAAAGTATAATTTTTTCTCACAAAAGTATAGTTATTGTTGTAATTATATTATATAATCCAATTTATAGGAGGAGCAGCTCGCACAGCTCCCCAAGTTCGTTTTAGGAGAGCTTTTCTCTGTTCTCGCGCTCATTTATTCCTGCTGAGGCATATATATATATATATGTGTGTGTGTATATATATATATATATATATATATATATATATATATATATATATATATATATATATATATATATATATATATATATATATATATATACATATATTAAGGCCCTGTGAATCAGCATTTTTAGTTTCAAATCGAATCTTGAATCAAGCCGGTTTTTGATTTACAAATCAAATCAGCAAAAAGGAAATCCAAGTTTAAGCATTTTTTTTTTAAAAAAAAGTACTTAAATTTTTTTTTGCAAGTAATAATTTTTTAGCAGATGTTTAGAAGCAATATCACAATTACTTTTGATTACTCTGATAAATAAAAACATTTTGATAGCATCTTAGCATTGGATATCTGAAAAAACAACAACACTCACAAAACAAATAGTCAAAAAACACAAATCATTTTGATTCGCAGAACCCTTATATATATATATATATATATATATATATATATATATATATATATATATATATATATATATATATATATATATATATATATATATATATACATTAAGTGGTATTTTAAGTTTAAAAAAAAACTGCTCATAAGTTTAGCACGCTAGCTCTTCTTAAAGCTTTTAAGGAGAGCTTTTATAAATTTTTTGCGGTAAAAGTTGCATTATAGTAAATTAAACTCTCGTTTTTAATGAAATATTACAAAAATATATTTAAAGTAGTATTTAGTAAAAGTTTGTTTTAAATTAATTCATCATAAGTTACATCATAGTAATTTAAACTCTCGTTATTAATTAATTTTTCTTGTTTTGAAATTAAAAAAAATTTTTAAAGTAGTATGTAGCATTTAAAGTAGTTTAAAGTGGTATGTAGCATTTTAAAAATTTGTTTTGAAATTAACTTTTTTGCTCAAGTCTAGATTATAATAATAATAAAAAATGAAAATTTCCCATGAGAAGAAAAACAATAAGTCTAGAAAACAGCATATTATTGGCCCTAATATGGGAGGTCACTCTAACATTGAAATTAAATTTTAAAATGTGTTTCACCATCATGTGTAAGTAGAACTATTGCTAAATTTAATGAAACAGGTTGTACTGCTGACAAAAAGCGTTGTGGACAATCAAGAACGAATATCACTGATGATATTTCTATTTATAGAATTGCCAGAAAAAAATCCTAAATCAAAACCCTAAATCACTTCAGCAAAACAGATTACACAAGAAATAAACCTGGTGCTTAAAAATCAAATATAAAGGCAAGCAGTTAATAGAAAACTAATAGACTGTAAGCTGCAGTGCTATGTTGCTGCCAGAAAACCATTATTAAAACCAACAGACTATTTAAAATGAATTAAATTTTACAAAGCGATTTTAAGAGTAACTGTGAATTAAGAAAAATAGTTATTAGTGATGAATCTAACACCGCCCTAAATCATAAAAACAAATTAATTGTCCACAGGCACCACAATGAAAAGTATAATAGTCGCTGTATTGAACCTATACTACAAGGTGGAGATGGTGCAATTGGTATTTAAGGCTGCATCACATATGATGGCCCATGTCTACACATTTTATACAAAGACTGAATGGACCAACATAGATATATCGACATACTTAAAAACTATTTAATGCCTACCAAGGACATTTTTTTGGAAACGAGTCAGAATAAATGTTTCAACAAGACAATGCTCCATGCTATAAAGCAAAATCTGTAACAGAATGGTTTGAGCAAAACAATATCAAGGTACTTCAGTGGCCAGCTAGATCACCTGATCTGAATCCAATTGAAAATGTTTAGACTGTGTTGGACCCAAAACTTACCAAAGAACCAGAAACTTCAGCTGAAAATCTAAGAGAAAATTTAAAAAAGTCATTTAATGATTTGACAGTTCAATATTGTTGTAAACTTTTCGATTCTATAAGAAGGAGATGTTCAATATGCATAAAAAATAGAGGTGGTCACATTTCTTATTAAGGTTCGACCTAAAATCAACTTCAAACCCAAGTGTGATAATTATGATTATTTTCTGATGACTAATGACTTTTAACATAACATATTTTAATAATGCTATTATTATTGTTATTATTGCTATAATTTTCATTTTTATAATTAAACCATTAATCTGAGGGATAAGAAATAAAATCAAACTTACCATCCTCATCTGAAGATGTAACATTGTCCTAAAAAAGAATTATCATACCTGTAACCTTACATGCCAATGTAAACAATTTTTTTTAGAAAAAATCAAAAATGTTTAGAAAATTTGGACATGTTAGCAACTTAAAATTTGTTAAAAACACTTTCAAGTCTGCCTATATCTTCAAAATAAAAAAGGTTAGAAAAATAAGCTATAATTTTAAATATCCTCATAGACTGGTTTCAATCAAAAAAGGAACAAAGTATTTTTAAATTGACCTTTTTTTTAAACCATTTTAAATTGTAGTTTGTTTTTGTAAAGTGCAGGTTAAATATTTTATAAACATATATTCAGAATATAATGTATTTATCTAAATAACAATAATTAACTCTAATAAGATTAGATTTAATTATTTTATGTTTTGAAATCTTTATTAAAGCATATTATAACGAACTCTAATATTATTTTTAAAAGAACTAATATCATATCATCAAAATATCTTTATTGTTCATTTTCTAATCAGTTTAAAAGTTTTTATCTTTAATGATAACCATATATTAAAATTAAAATTTAAATCTCAATTAACTCTATAAATCTTTTCAAGTAGTACTTTCCAGTCATAATATTACTTTCCAATAATAATAAAAAAAAAAAATGTTGCAATATATGTTTACTTTTTAATATATGTTTATTTTTCAACATATGTTTATTTTTCAATATATGTTTATTTTCCAACATATGTTTATTTTTCAACATATGTTTATTTTTCAACATATGTTTATTTTTACTTTACCTTTTTAATTTATTATATAACATTTTTTCATTTACTTTTAAAATGTAATATTCATAATATACTATATAAAGTCAGGTAAGGCTTATCCTGCTACTGGTAACATGTAACCCAGTACAATCTGCTTCATATCCTGCTGCCTTGTAGGATACGCCTTTTTAGGCAAAGGCTAGGAAATACCAACTCAGACATAAAACTCGCCCTACCTTGGGGCTCTTGGTTGAGTAAAGGCTAGAGATAGTGTCTCGATAAAAATACTCATCATGGGCAGATGTTAAATGCATTCGGCTGCTGTCTTGTAGAAGGCCTCCTAGACAAAGACTTGAGGGATAAACAGATTCTATCTGTTGACCATCCTTGCACCCCTTCTTCATCTATTAGGCTGGCGCAGATGTATTCTTAATACATTGTTTCCAGTTTAAGATGTTGAATGCTGGACCTTCTTGACTAGATGTATGGGTTTTGCTTGTGTCTTTGTTTTTATGACTAGGCAACTCATTCTATTATCTTCTAATGAGGGTACAGCTCTAAAACTCAGTTTTATGGTTTTCATAAGCACCACTTCACTCTATCTTCACTTTTTCTTTGTTCTATATCGCTCTCCTTATTCTCAAGACTGCACTCTTCTTGATGATCATAATGACCAAGCTTTATCCATTTCTCTTTATCCATCAGCCAATATTGTTGTCGTCAATGACTTTTCATGTTCATCACACTGAATGGCTTGGCTCTAGTGTCAGTGACTCTGCAGAAATTAAAGCCCACAACTTTTGCCTTTCTCAATCCCTAACTCAAAGTATTCAACTTTCCAACTCACTTTCCAGACAACCCGAATCATTTACCTTCACTACTCGATTTATGTCTTATTTCTGATCCTGTTGACAAATCTGCTTCTTACATAACTTCCTGGATTCAGGCTGGCATGGAATACTTTATTCCTTCTCAATGATTCCCGGTCAAGCCTCACTCTTATCCATGGTTTTCCTCACATTGTGCTGCTGCAATTGCCAATCGAAACCATTACTTCCATATCTATCAGCAAAACAATTCTCCAGAAGACGTCTGTTTATTACTGCTAGGAACCATTGTAAAAAGACTTTGACTAATGCCAAAGCCCGCTATTCTCAGGTCATGAAATTTTATATTTCATCACAAAAATTAGGCTCTTGTGACTGGAGAATCTTTAATAGTATCAATAAGGGTAAGTGGCCTGGACAACATACCTGTTATAGTCTTGCAGAAATATTCTCCGGAGCTGTCATCAATCCTTTCAAAACTATTCAACAAGCGCTTATTAGAGTCTTGTTTTCCAGCTTGCTGGAAAGCAGCATCTGTTATCCCTATTTTTAAAAATTCTGGAGAGTGATCTGATTCGTCTAACTACCGTCCCATTAGTCTTTTTCCTATCATAAGCAAGGTTTTTGAATCTTTAATTAACAAACACTTAATCTCTCATCTTGAATCTAATAACTTACTTTCTGATTATCAATATGGATTTCGATCTTCTCGTTCTACGGCTGATTTGCTAATAGTAATAACCAATAGGTTTTATTGTGTGTCAAGGCCTTGAGATTTCTACAGCCTTTGATAAAGTTTGGCATGCTGGTCTTCTCCATAAGCTATCAACTTACAGTGTATTTGGAAACATCCTTAAGATTATTAAATCCTTCCTTTCCAATCGCAGTATAAAAGTTGTCCTTGATGGACAGCACTCTTCTTCTTATTCTGTAACCTCAGGGGTTCCTCAAGGCCCAATCCTTGGCCCTATACTCTTTTTAATATACATTAACAATCTTCCAGATATTCTCTCAGCTAAGGTGGGATTGTTCACTGATGATACTACCATTTATTCTTGTCATGATAAGAAGCCAACTCTCTCTGATTGCTTGGAGGGGGCATTTGAGATTGAAAAGGATCTCACTTCTGCTACAGCATGGGGCTCACAGTGGCTGGTGAATTTTAATTCAGATAAAACTTAATTTTTTTCAGCCAATTGTTATCGCAATAATTTAGATCTTCCTATATTTATGAACGGTAATATTTTTGATGAGTCATCTGCCCTTTATCTTCTAGGATTAACTCTTACTTCTGATCTTTCTTGGAAACCATATATTAAATCCGTTGCAAAATTAGCATCTGCTAAAATTGCAGATGCTAATTTTGCAACCAACTTGACATTTTCTTACTCTGGATTCTATTCTCTATCTCTATAAATCTCAAATCCGACCTTGTATGGAATACTGTTGATATATCTGGGGCGGATCTTCTAATGATGCTCTTTCTCTTTTAGACAAGGTGCAAAAACGCATTGTAAAAATAGTTAGACCTGCTCTTGCAGCCAACCTTCAACCATTATCACATCGTCGTAATGTTGCTTCTCTTTCTCTTTTCCACAAATACTATAGGCACTGCTCTAAAGAGCTAGTGTCTCTTGTGCCATCTACTAAAATTCACTCTAGTGTTACTTGTCATTCAATTAGGTCTCATCCTTTTTCTGTTACTGTTCCAAAGTGCTCCAAAAACTCTTATTCGTCTAGTTTTTTTCCTCGAACATCAGTTCTTTGGAATTCGCTTCCTTCATCTTGCTTTTCTGATTCATACAATTTGCAATCTTTTAAGTTGTCTGTCAATCGTTATCTTGCTCTACAATCTTCATCTTTTCTCTTCCAGTAACTTACAACACTAATTAGTGGTTGCTTGCAGCCTTGTTGGAAGCGAAGATGTTTAAATATTATAGTATTACAATTTTATTTCAAAAACAGAGTTTTTAAAATAATATGAAAAAATTATAACATTAAATGGTTTTGAAAAAAATGACTTGAAAAAAAGTCCTTTATCATTAGTGTTATTTAATTCTAAATTTTAAAATTCCATGCTTAGTAAAGAAGACTTACACCACATTCTCTTGAAATATCTCGTAAAATCCTAAAAAAAAAAATAATCCTAAAATAACTAAAATAATTCAATTAATAGAACACAACATATAATCACTTTCAAATGAAATTATAAATATAATCTAAAACACTGTATACTTTAAAATAGTTGCTTATTAACATTTATGCAGTAACATTCATAGTAATAGATTTATTCTTATATGGCCATAAACAGAATAAATCTGTTTACCTTGATGCAACACAAACTTGTCTAATTTAAAAGGTAAATTTAAAAAATTATTACAGATGTCTAGAAAGAAATCAAGATTATAAAGGTGAATCAATTGATGATATTGCTACTAAATATGAAAAAAAATATTTTCCTTTTTGTAGCCTAAATATGAAAAAACATTTTTCTATATGTAGCCTAAATATGTAAAAACATTTTCCTATATGTAACCTAAATATGAAAAATATTTTCGTATTTGTAGCCTAAATATGAAAAAACATTTTCCTATTTGTAACCTAAATATTAAACTCTGGTTTAATTTAACTAAATCAGTAATGTAAACATATAAATATAGCAGTAATGTAAACATATAAATATATAGCAGGTCATAAATTTGAACTTTCTAAAAGTTTTAAATCATATCGTTATTTTTCATTACATTTTATATTTGAGTTACATAAATGATAAAATTTTATATTTGAGCAACATAAATGTTAAATTTTTTTTTTTATGAGTTAAATAAAAGCTGAAAATGTTGCTTTTGCAACAGCATTAAAAATGAAAGTCATAAATTAAAATAAATTCAAATATCATCAAATAGGCTACCTAAAAAACATCACTCAAAGCAGCAAAAATAAAGGCGTACAAATAAGAAACGGAAAGTGTAAAATCAAAGCTTTTTTCTTCTTAGAATGCAATAGTTTAGGTTAAAGCATGATTATAAATAATTAAAATTGCAAATGTAGGTTATTAATGAAAAGAGCTTTTAAAATTTTCATTGCCTGTTTTTATGCCTTAATTTTGCTGCACTTATTGGTGGTTTTTGGGTAGCCCGTTTAATGACATTTGAAACATCTTTATTTATGACTTTCATTTTTATTGCTGCAGCATAAGCAATCTTATCCAGCTTTAATCTTATCTTATTACAAAGTTCTCGAAGAAATGCCATTTTGCAGAAAATATTATGATCCTTAATTTGCTGTTACCATTTTTATTCATTTTATTTGCCAACCTGTCTAAAATGAACAATATTGATGCTTATCACCAATTAAGACAAACTTTTTGGACAACACTGCAGGCTTAGAGATTTTAGATATTTTTGAATACTTTCTGTATATTTCAACAGACTCACATTAAAAAAATGACTACTAAAGTGAGGAAATGATAAAACAAAATTTGACATCAGGAAAAATAAATTTTAAGAAAAATTCTTCAAAAGAATATTAGACACAGTGCAATCAGGAGGTGCAGGAACTACCAATAAATATACATTTGGAAGATTTTTCAAAACTTATGAACTCAACTGATGTAACTATAGCTATTGAAAGAATATGGTTGGCATTATATGCCCACATCAGTTCATTGCAAATATAAACATTCATATTAGACAATTATCAGTCCCTTATATTGTACAACTATTGATCCGCTCTAGCGTAGGAAGATAAATATTTAAAAATAAAAAAATACTGGATTTAAAAAAAAAATATCTGATGTTAGTGGTGGAGTGAGGATTTATATAGTGATATAGTGTATAAGCTTCTTTTTTTTTAGTTTTTGTATATGCTTTTTTTTTTTTTTTTTTTTGTCTCTGTCACAAGGAAATTTTTAAAATTTTTTAATAATTACTTTTATTTTCTTATTAGCACTTATAATTTTTTTCACACAAATGTAATTTTTGCACACATTTATTATTTGAAAAGATTTTAATTCAAAAAACAACATGAAAGTAAAAATAATAAACAAATCAAAGCATAAAACATGTTTTAGTAATTTTTATCAATCTTTTCTCAAACTCAAAAGCTAGCAGATGTGAGAAAAGCCAAAAGAAAAGCTGAAAAAAGAAAAGAAATATATAAAAAAATATGTTGGGTTCTGTTTAGAACTGCTGCTTTTAATTTTACCTTTATTACTTTATCATTTTTTATTTTTGATGGAGCTTTTATATTTATAATTTATATTTATAATATATATTATAATTTCTTAGAGCCTTGCTTTAGCAATTTCTGCCTGATGGTAGGTTGCTTCATTTTCAAAACATCAAATTTTTAAATTTGAAACCAATAAGACACGTTGTTCTTTAAAACTTTCAAATAATTTGCAGTCTAACCTTGTTGTAAAAAGTGTAAACCAGCACACCCAATGGCAGTGATTGCACCCTAAATCATAGTTGCTAGACATTGCTTTACAGTAAGTGCAACATATTGCAGATTAAAGTATAAGTTTGGTGGCTGGCAAAGAATGATTTTATTTGTTTCAAACTGCTCAACCTGCGCTTTTTCTAAGAACATTATACCAAAAGAAAAGTGATGTAGTAGCCATACTCTGAGATTCTAAGATAACAATGATTGAATTATACATGATTTTATTGTATACTGTATGTCTACATACTCTCTATGTGTGGGTAATACAACCAATGAGCAATGAATGTATAGTGTTTTGCAACCATGCATTTTTTATATTTAACTAATTTTTACACAAACTATCTATAATAATTATGAGCGGTTGGACCGTATATATATATACATATATATACATATGTATATATATATATATATATATATATATATATATATATATATATATATATATATATATATATATATATATATATATATATATATATATATATATATACATATGTGTGTTTATATATATATATATATATATATATATATATATATATAAACAAAGAATAAAGAAAGAAAAGATTGATGTCTCATGCCAAACCTTCAGTTTATGTAGCGCTACTCCCTTGCGACAGAAAGCTCAAAGATAGTTGATATATGTGCTGAAGCCCCCTGCACCAGGCTATTTCAGAGAGACATCAGAGAGATATTATCTAAACGCGCATTCATAATTACTTATAAAATACTTAAATATGGAGAAAATATCATGTGTACATTTGTACACATGATATTTTCTCCATATTAAATCCAAAGTAACACAAAAATAACACAAATTCAAAGTAAGTATATTTAAATAAGTTAAATCCAAAGTAACACAAAAATAACACAAAGTTAAAATAGGGAATATTTTTTTAAATCCAAGTTTCTGATACACACTATTTGATACTGACATTAAAACAATGATGATGAACATTAAAAAAAGAAATTCGTTTACATCAATTATTTTAACTATTAAAACCATTTTTTTAAAAAAAAAAACAAACTTAATTGTTAAGATTTAAAAAAATATCAATTGAAAAAAAATAACATGATAGCTTACATTATTGTAAGTACTACTTAACAAATTGGTGACTTCAGACTTGTGAAAAATAAAACTAACCTTTTATACTTTTTTTTTGCACGCTGTTTAACCATTGAAAAAATATCACTAGGATGTCTAAATTATGAATAATTACAGAAAAATCATAAATACATCTTTCCTAATAGATAAAATATTGTAACAATTTAATAAATTACTACAAACAATGGCTGATGATTGCTGACAGACATAAAACGTTTAATAAAAAGTTTTTTTTATTAATTATATATATATATATATATATATATATATATATATATATATATATATATATATATATATATATATATATATATATATATATATATATATCTATATATATATATATATATATATATATATATATATATATATATATATATATATATATACTTTATTTTTCATTAAAAAAAAAAAGGAAAACAAAATAAGAATATTATTATCTACTTTAAAGAAATAAAGAAATAGACATATATCTAAACAAAACTTTAATAAAAATTTGCCCGTGAATGGACAAAGTTGCCATATATCAATAAAATTTAGTGAGGCAATAAATCATGTAATCAAAAGGCTTTAAATTAGTTATAAAGCCTAAAAATCCAATAAACAATGTAATCAAAACCTATACAAAACAAATACCAGGAGAATAACTTCTAACAATTAGTACCACTTAAAATAAATTAATAAACAGCCTTACAAAGTTGCCTATTTCATTGCAAAAATAACTTTTTTTACCTTCGCTGCCAATAAGGCTACAAGCAACCACTATAGGAGTTGGAAGTTACTGGACAAGAAAAGATGAAGTTTGTAGAAAAATATAACGATTGACAGACGACTTAAAAGATTGCAAATTATATGAATCAGAAAAGCAGGATGAAGGAAGCTAAGTCCTATATAACTGCTATCAGAAAATAAAATTATCAATGTGATATCAAATTTATTGTTGACATGTTATCTATGTGTTATCATGTTATCTATGTGATATCATGCAGTCTTGGCAAGGAGGAAGTGCGATTTCACGTCATAATATGACCACGCAAATACTATTTGATTTTAAATCCTGACCATGCCTACTAATATGTTTTAAAAATTTGTATAAATTCTAAAAATGCGCTGAAAAAGTTTTTGTAACTATATAGAAACTTAAAAAAACTTACTGTAATGAAGCAAATAAATTTTCGTAAAAAAAACAAAAGGTCAATAAAAATAACTTAACTAAAACTTTAAAAAAATATAATTAAAACATAACTAAAATAAATAATAAACTATAACGATAGAATAAATAAGTGTAGAATAAATAACCGTTTATCTTTACTGTTTTTATAATATAATATTATGCAAAACCCTTTTTAAATGAAGTAATAATTTACATCTAATGATTGTCAAATAAATGTGCACATTTGAAAGTTAAAAAAAGATTTTTAACAATTCTTTGCAGTAACATAAAAGAAAAGAAAGATTCTTAACAATTCTTCGCAGTAACATAAAAGAAAAGAAAGATTCTTAACAATTCTTCGCGGTAACATAAAAGAAAAGAAAGATTCTTAACAATTCTTTGCAGTAACATAAAAGAAAAGAAAGATTCTTAACAATTCTTCGCAGTAACATAAAAGAAAAGAAAGATTCTTTACAATTCTTCGCAGTAACATAAAAGAAAAGAAAGATTCTTAACAATTCTTCGCGGTAACATAAAAGAAAAGAAAGATTCTTAACAATTCTTTGCAGTAACATAAAAGAAAAGAAAGATTCTTAACAATTCTTCGCAGTAACATAAAAGAAAAGAAAGATTCTTAACAATTCTTCGCAGTAGCATAAAAGAAAAAAAAATTAAATCATTTATTTAAAAAGTTGATAGATTTTTTTTTTATTTAAAGATTTATTTTTTTATTTATAATAAAAATTACATACTTATTTAAATATTAAAAAACATATACTATTTATAAATATTTTAATAAAAAATCATTGGTGGTGATTTGTTACTTAATTTAAACACGTTTCAATAATATCAACACATAAGTGAAGATCAAAGTTATTTAATTCAAACGACTTTTAAAAAAGTTAGTCTTTTTTTTTCTTCTCAACAAAGTCTTTCTACTTTTCGAGTGAATTAACTTTAATGATTCTTATATAGAGACCATTCTGTTTGGCTGTTTAAAGTCTTGCTTATAAAATTTTAAATTTCTTTTTTAAAATTTTTATTTTTTTTATTTCAATTATAAAAAAATCTTATATAATTAAATAATATAAATAAAAATTTATACAATTTTCAATGATACTTTAATTAAAATCATTAGCTACTTTATTTAAAAGCATTTTGCTTATATAAAAATGTCCAAGATAAACGTGTCCAAGTTATTTATTTTCAATGTAATTATTACTAAACCAACTTTTTCAGCGCATTTGTTAAAAACCGTGCTTAAATTGTCAAAACAAAATATTATTTGTGCGGTCATATAAAGACTTGAAATCGCACACTTCCTGGTCAAGTCTGATCATGTTATTTACAGGATACCATGTTATCTGCGTGATCATGTTATTTTTGTGATATCATGTTACCTTTATGTTATCTGTTATTTTTGTGATATCATGTTATCTACATGATATTGCGTCATCTATGATATTGTGTTATCTATGTGATGTCAAAGTTATAATTTATAACAAAAAGTATAAGATCATTCAATGCCTAACACTAATTTTAATTATAATATAAAAATATCTTGACCAAATGCATGGGTTTTACTTCAGTATTTGTTTTTATAACTAGGCAGCTCATTTTATTGTCTCCTAATGAGGGTACAGCTCTGAAACTCAGTTTTATAGTTCTGAGACTGGCTGGTAATCAGGTTTCCCGAACTTTGTGGTAGCTCTTAAAGAGGCTGATTTCATCAACAGCTGAAAAATATCAGGGTACTAACAGTGCCAAGCTGCGCATGGATGGTGTCCCTGTTTGTACTTTTGGTGTGCATTGTTGAGGCCACATTTGGAGCCCTTTGCTATGGCTTAGGGTTTATTAACAGTAATGAGGCAATTACTTGGACTATTAAAATAGTGTACTGAGTACAATCTATGCTTTGAGTCAAATTCTTTAAAAAATTTAAAATGAATAAAGTAATAAAAACTATAAAAATCAAAAAACCATCATCATCACCAAGTTCTCTAAACCTATCATTCACTAATATTCTTGTCTTAGACTTTTCTTCTGATGAGTCTTATCTCTTGAAAAGTTCACCAGACCTACTTGCTCTTTGTAAGACTAACTTGAGTTCAGCTATTTTATCTTGTGATCTTAGTGTTGATGGTTATCTTGATGTTGATGGTTCAGCTGTCTCACCTTGTGATCCTAGTGTTGATGGACAACAAAACAAAACTAGACAAATAAAAACTTTTGGAGCACTTAGGAACAATCACGAACAGTCATCAAAAAGATGAGACTTAATTAAGTGACAATACAAGAATGAATTTTAGTAGATGGAACAAAAGACGCTAGCTCTTTAGAGCAGTGCCCATTACAGTATTTATAGAAAAAAGAAAGAGAAGAAACATTATGACAATGTGATAATGGTTGAAGGTTGCCTGCAAGAGCAGGTCCAACTATGTTTATAATGCGTTTTTGCACCTTGTCTAAAAGAGAAAGAGCATCATTCGAAGATCTGCCCCAGATATAGCAAGAGTATTCCATAAAAAGACGGATTTCAGATTTATAGAGAAAAAAGTTGCAAGCAGGATAAAGAGATGCAATCTTAGCAGATACTAATTGATTTGATATATGGTTTCCAAGAAAAATCGGAAGTAAGATTTAATCCTAGCAGAAAAAGGGTAGATGACTCATCATGACACATTACTTGTCATAATTATAGGAAAATCTAGATTATTGCAATAACAATTAGCTGAAAAAAGTTTTATCTGAGTTAAAGTTCGTCAGCCACTGAGAGCCCTATGCTGTAGCAGAACTGAGATCCTTTTCAAGCTCAAATGCTTGCTTTTGCAATAGATACTACCATTTACTCTTATCAATTGATACTACCATTTATTTTTATCAAGATAAGAATAAATGGTAGTATAATTGCAAACAATGCCACCTTACATGTGAGAATTTTTGGAAGATAGTTAATGTAAATGAAAAAAGTGTAGGGCCGAAGTTACAGGATATGAGGAAGAGTGTTGTCCATCAAAGACAACTTTTATACTACGATTATTAAGGAAGGATTCAATAATCTTAAAGATTTTACCTAACACACCGTAAGAAGAAAGCTTATGGAGAAGACCAGCGTGCCAAACTTTATCAAAAGCTTTAGAAATGTCAGAAGTGATAACTTTAACCTCTCCAAAACTATCTAATGCATGATAAAACCTATTGGTTATTATTGTAGAACGAGAAGATTGAAATCCATATTGATGATCAAAAAGTATGTTATTAGAATCAAGATGAGAGATTAAGTGTTTGTTAATTAAAGACTCAAAAACATTGCTTATAATAGGTAGAAGACTAATGGGACGGTAGTTAGAGAAGTTAAATCGCTATCCAGAGTTTTTAAAAATAGGGATACCAGATGCTGCTTTCCAGCAGGCTGGAAAACAAGATAAGCTCTTGTTATATAGTTTTAAAAGTATAGACCAAAAGCTCCATCGATGAACAGTTCTTAACCCGTTAACAGTCCATGCCATAATATTACGCAAACTAAAAGTGATTTCTAAATGTCCATGCTGTAATATTACGGTTTTGTGCATCTCTTTTTATTTCCTTCTTGTTCATCAGTAATTAAACGTCTACTTGTCACAAAACTTATTACTAGATAATTACAGAGCTTTTGTTTCAATAATTATCTTTTAAATGTGTTCAATTTAATTTTAAATATAAAAAATAGTTCTATCAGTGCAAAAATAATTATCAAAAAGTAAACATTTACTCACAAAAAAGTAGAATTTTATACATTTGATGAATCAATAATGAAAAGATATATTTAATGAATGATTATTGAAAGGGATAATAAAAGATTTATGCTCAAAGATTGTGCGGTATGTTACAAACACAATATTCAAAAAGGTTCAGGATACAAATGTGTAGAATATGATGTAGGAGTTTTCGCAATTCTTTGCTTTTTACAATTATCATACAAAATGTGTCTTAAACTTGAATAATAACATTTTGAAGTATTTAACAATGTTAAAAATAGTAAAAACATTTTTTATTTTATTTGTAAAAAAACACAATGAATTTAAAAATACGGGACATTTAAAGACCACTTAAAAAAAAGAAGCTGGACTAATGGCAGCTGTTTTTAAAAAAAATACTGTTAAAGGGTTAACAAACAATTCAGCTTTGTCTTTAGGTGAAGTGACAAAATCTGAACCATACAAGAGAAACAGAATAACATTTGTCCTTATTAAAGATACTGTCTAAAATTCATCAGAAGTCACAAGAACTTAATTTTTAAGTCAAAAGAATCTAGATGAAATACAAGATATTGTGACCCAAGAATAGTGGGCTTCAACATTAGGCAAAACCTTTTACAATGGTTTCTAGCAATAGTAAACAGATGTCTGTTTTCTGGAGAGTTGATTTATTGACAGATATTGAAGTAATGGTTTCGATTAGAAATTGCAGCAGCACAATGTGAGGAAAACCATGGAGCAGAGTGAGGCTTGACTTGAAGTTGTCAAGAGGGAATAAAAGATTTCATGCCAGCCTAAATCCAAGAAGTTATGTAAGAAGTAGATTTATCAGCGGGAAGACAAAAAATTTCTACCCAAGTGCCATCGCAAAGAAAATCACAGAACGAGCCCTAATCAGCTTTATGGTAGTTGTAAAAGGTACGATGATAAGGGGATTCTGAGTGTTTTATAGTTTTTGGAACTTAAGTCATTTTTTAATTTGTTAAAGAACTTGACTCAAAGCACAAATACTACTTAGTACACAATTGCCTCTTTACTATTAATAAACAGTAAGACGTAACAAAAGGCTCCAAATGTGGCCTTGACTATACACACAAAAGTACAAACAGGGATACCATCTATGCGCAGCATGGCACTGTTAGTAATCTGATATTTTACAGCTGTCAATAGAATCAGCCTCTCTGAGAGCTACAAAAGAGTTAGAGAAACCTGACTACCAACTGGCCTCAGAACCATAAAACTGAGTTATAGAGCTGTACCCTCTTTAGGAGATAATAGAATGCCTAGTCATAAAAATAGAGACACAAGTAAAACCTATGCATTGAGTCCAGAAGATCCAGCATTCAACATCCTAAACTGGAAACAATGTATTATAAATATATCTACACCAGCCTTATAGATGAAAAACGGGTGCAAGACTGGTCTACAAATAGAATCTATTTACCCCTTAAGTCTTTGCCTAGGAGGCCTTCTTCAAGACAGTAGTATATATAATTAGTATAACTGCATACAACAAATTATAAAATTAATTTAAGAAACCTACCTTTTTAAAGGTGCTTTTCCAGCATATGCTCTTCCCAACAGCCGCTGTAGATGCAAATAAATCAAAAACATATGAAAAACTTTTAAAAAAACCTCAAAGTTTTTAGGATCAATTAAGCTTATTCAAAACTCTATAATTTGAAAGGAGACTAAAAACTAATCTAATTTCAACATTACCAATGTTGAAATTAGATTAGTTCTTTAAAAATAGATTCTTTTAATAAATATTTAAATCAAAATACATACTGGAGCAGGTTTATTATTATTTGCCTTCGTTATATCTTAAATTTCTTATACCTATTCATTCCATTGTAAATTCAAAAAATTATTTTTAAATTAAAATTTTAGTTTTTCTTTCTTTTATAAACCTTTTACAGATTTTAATATCTATATAACGGTTTAGTATTATACTAAATATTTTTGTATTTTGAACAAAATGTTGAAAAAATTGTTCAAAGAGCCAAAGGAATATTTTTGTATTGCATATTTATTACTTGTTTCTATTATAAACTATTAGTGTCTATTTTTTTATAATTTTTTTTTACAGTTTTCACCAAGGACAATATGTCACTACAGTAAAAGAAACTATCGAAAAATATGGTGGAGATTGTACACTACACCATTATGTGGTGGAGATTGTACTCAGTACTTCATGCTAACTAAACTAGCACACAACCACTACACTGCTATCATGGTGTTAAACACATGTAACTCATGTGATTTAATAATAGATGAAATAAGTGATATCTGACATATAGCCATGCATAGGGTAGAACAGGACATATAGTCATTTGTTTCTCCACACAGCAGCCTTGTTCGTCGAGGTTCATGTTTTAGAGTTATAGAGTTGAGAGAAGGTTGTTATCACAAAAGTAGCCTCCTCTCGACCTTGGGGAGGTAAATAATTAAAATAATATATATATATATATTGTTGAGCATAGAGGCAAGTTGGGTGATTAAAATATCTCAAAAACTATGCATCACATGACAAAACATCTAATGGATGAAAGTTAAGGAACTAGAATGATAACACAACGCAAAACAAGAGATTGTTGTTGGAAAGCTGTTGAGTAAGAGACACAGGCACTTTTTCTATTTTGGACCAAAAATGTAAAAAAAAATTTTTTGCTATTTTTTTCTTAGATGTTTATAAAATTGAGAGGGTTATAACCGCTATTAAGTAGCCTCCTTGTCTGTAGTGGCCTTCTCGGCCTTGAGGAGGTGAATAACTAAAAAAAAAAAAAGTCTAGTAGGAAAAAGTTGAGCAACTTTGAAAAAAATAAAACTTTCCAACAAAGAAATAATTTAACAATACATTATTTATACAGCAGAGAAAATAGAATTAGCTTTATCTTTATTTTTTATTTTAATTTAACAAAAATGGCAGTGAAACAATTATTAAATCTACTTTATTTCTTATTATCTTCTACTACAACTAAAAAGTTTATAAATTGATATGTTTAATTAATTACAAATGGAAAAAAAAATTAAAAGTATTCAATATGTATTCAAAAGAAAAGTTAAAAAACAAAAATAATTTTTGGGCGCCTATACTAAAATATACTCCAGCGGTACTAAAACAGATCTGGGTTTGTCCCTGCATATTTTCTGTATTATTTAAATTATACCTGTCTGAATTATTTAAAGCATACCTGTCTTGAGAGTATTATTTCTTCTAATAAATTTTTGTAGTACTCTTTTTGATTTAGCTATAAAAAAATTTAAGAAAATTTAAAAAAAATTTATATTATTAAGAAAATCTAATAAACCATTATCAATTTATAATACTCTTTTTTAATTTATGTTTAATTAAATATTTAAACAACATAAATAATTTAAGCCTTTTTTTTAGGATAGGCTGGGGTAATCTAAGCCTTTTTTTTTAGGATAGGGTGGGGTAATCTAAGCTTTTTTTTGCAACATGACTCCAGAAAAATAAATCCAGAAATAAAGGCGGTGTTTTTTAACGGTGAAAAGGAAGAAAGAAAAAAAAAAGAAAAAGAAAATCAAAAAATTATTTTTAAAATAGAAGAAAAAACAAACAACAAACAACAAAATAAAAATGAAACCAAATAACTTATATAAATAAAATAACTAAAAAGAAAAAAAGAACAAAAAACAGAAAAAAAAAAACTAGAAACAAAACCTAAGTTAAAAGTTAAAAAAACAAGTTCGAAAATGGAAAACAATAATTAAAAAGTACCACTAACAAAAATATTAGCGAACTTAACAAAAAAAAAAAAACAAAAAAAAATAATTTTATTAACTAATTCTTTAAATTATTTTTGTACATTGTTTATATTGTCATGTATTTTTGTGTATTGTTTGAACTATCCTGTATTTTTTTAAGTTTTTTTTTCTTTCCCTATTAGTTTGTTAAATGTTAGTCGGACATTTTTAATGTTGTATATATTTTTAAAACTGTATATCTATATGTGTATGTATACATTTCTATGTAGGTGTGTGCAGGCGCATATGTTTATTTCTGTATGCAAATGTATATCTGTGTGAATACATGTGTATGTGTATGTATATCAATATATCAATTTATTTATTTATGTATGTTTGTGTATGCGTGTAACAATATAAAATTATATATATATATATATATATATATATATATATATATATATATATATATATATATATATATATATATATATATATATACACACACATATATATGTATACATATATATATATATATATATATATATATATATATATATATATATATATATATATATATACAAATAGTATTGCGTACTAAGGTAAGCAATTTGACGTTATACTGAAAAAGCCTTCTGCTGGGGGCTTCAGTACATACATCGACTGACAAATAGACTGACTCGCAGTGGAGTGCAGCTACATCGACTGAGGGTTTGGGATGGGGCAGCAATCGTTTTATTCATCATTCTTCGTTTTTTTTTTTTTTTTCGAAAAAAACGGTACAGCATAAGGTAAGCAGAAAAAGTGTGCAAATTTAATAATTTTTTAAGATGTCACTTTTGTTATGCATTATGAGTAGTTTAACTGTTTGTAACTGTTTGTAACTTTGTGTATATAGCTATTGTGTTTTTAAAAACAAGTAACTTATTATTTTTATTATTGCTATTGTTATCATTATTTTTATTAGTATACTGATAAGTCTTGATTAGACCCACATTACCCCTTAGACTAATATTAACCCATCCTACCTTATAATTTTTCTCTTTAAGTTTTAAACATTTCTTTTGCAGTTCTATTACTTTTGGAGTCAACAAACCACCTAATAGTAAAAAAATTGATAATAAAATCTTGTTTAAAAATTTTAAGTTGAATTTCCTAAGTAATATAGATTTTATGTTATTATAATAATTTGTACTCACTTTGTAGTTTTAAATATGCATGTTTTAAAGGATCTCCATGTTTGAAGTTTGAACTTCCTTCAAAAACTTTACTACAAAATAAAATTAATCAATAATTTATAATAAATTTTATTATATAAATTTTTTTTATTAAAAATATATAAATAAATTTTATTTTATAATACTTTCTGAAAAATATTTAGTTAAAACAAAAAACTTAAATTTTTAATCTAAATTATTTATAAAAAATATACTTTACCAATAATTAAAAAAAACAAAATAAAAACAGATATAATAGATCTTCTTAAATAACAGTTGATGCAAGACTTGAGAATCAGTTGACGCAAAACTTAAAAAACAGTAAGTAATTGTATGAGTTAGGAAATCAAGTGGGAGAGAATTCCTAAACATTGATTATTGAAAAAAAAAAGATGAATTAAAGTTTTTTGAACCAGATGGGGATGCATGATTTAGTTTTGGTTAATGGAGATAAAAGCTTATTCAAGAAGTAACAATGGTAGTATTCGTAGATAAAGAGATGCAATATTAGGATGAAAAGAGAGATGCTCAAGTTTGGTAGCTAAAGCAGATATAAATAATTTAAAATTCTTTTTTAGACATCTAAAAGAGAAAAGATATAGATATCAGGAAGATTATAAATATAGATGTGAAACAAAACAGGACAAGAGATAGAACTTTGTGGTAGCCTAGAAGTTACTGAAAATGAAGATAAGTGTAGTCCATTAACAATGACTTTAATAATACAGTAAGAAAAAAATAGTTTAATAATATCAAAAACATTCTCAGGCTAACAATACAAAGATTGTGGCACCAATTCATAAATACAATTGATATTACATGTAAATTGACCGGAGTTGATTTTTAACTGATGAAAAACATGAGTTATTATGGAAAGCTGGTTTATTCATTTGTGGAAAATTGTTACCAACAGCTATATACCATAGAAAATGAGTTGCATTTAACAAAAACTTTTAGAAATGTATTGTAATGTAATGTAAATAAAAAACTTTTAGATATCTATTTAAATGCTGTAATCTAATTAAAACTAGAACTAAGTTTCAGAGTGAAAAGTTAAAATAACAATCACACAATAGAAAAATCCAATTTTAACCTTCAACCCCATATATATATATATATATATATATATATATATATATATATATATATATATATATATATATATATATATATATATATATATATATATATATATATATATATATATATACATATATACATATATATATATATATATATATATATATATATATATATATATATATATATATATATATATATATATATATATATTACTGTTTTAATTTAAGAACTATTCTGAACTTAGTTTATTTATATTAAAGCAATAAAACAGGCTGCAGCCAAGAAGTTTAAACATATTTGTATAGTTAGAGTAAATTAGGGTAAAAATAAACAAAACAAAAAAAGTGAACTGTTTAACAATTTTGTTTCTTTTGCATTTATTAAAAGCTAAAACGAAAAATCTTTTAAAAATGTGGAGCATCGTATTGAAGAGAATTTTGTGCTCTATCTAAAGATGTAAAAATTACTTTAAAAAATTTATTTTTGTCTTGGCAAACTTTAAAATTCTCACCCTCATGAAAAAAAGTTTTTTTTTAAAAAAAAAACTTTTTTTATTGAATAAAAAATAAGAAGAAGAATAAATAAAAACTTTAAAACTAGTTTTTTGAAGAACAAGATTTTTTTTTCAAAATTGAACTTGCTAGTTTCAGAAAAAAGATATGAACAGTATACCAGGACTAGAATGATATCAAGGTTTCAGGAAATAATGGAGTCATAAATTAAGGGTCAGTGTAGCAGGCAATTTTTTTTGTCTCTCAGAACTTCTTCTTGTACTGAGGATAAAATAACAAGTTATTTCAACACACTTCAAAAACAATTTCTTGAAGCAAATATCAACAACATGAGAAATTTGTGAAATTTAGACAAAATTGGATTTTCAGGAAATCAAGGTAAGGAGCATATAATTTGCAGACAGTGCTAAATGCCCATTAAAACTGGTTGTAACAACAACAAAAAATTAATTACACAGTTAGTAATTGTGTCCATGCTACAGGTACCATTCTGCCACCATTCGTAGTTTACAAATTAATATCATGTCTGTACAAAGACTAGTGTGTATATATTGTGAATTAAATGAGTATGGCACAAATGACTTACAGAATTTTATGCAGCTACAAATTTCAACAACTTAACAAAAGAAAGTTTCATTCAACTGTAAGTAAAACTTTTTAGCTCTGGTGATGTATTTACGCAAACACAAACAATCGCTGGATTTCAAAACACTGGTTTGTTTCCACTTGATATTATCAAAGTAGATCAATCAAAATAACAAAATAAACAAGTACCATCTGAGCTTCATCATCCTCATCCCAGCCTGTATCATCATTTGGATTTGAACGTGAAAATTACTTACCATAATTTTCACATTCAAATCCAACAGCAACAACAACAACATTTTTTTCATAAATCATTTTTACAATAGTATTATTAATGATAATAATTATTAAAATAAAATATTTCAAAGGGATCCCAAACTCCCAACACATGCTGTGTTCATATTAAAGATAATGTTAAAAAAAAGGTTTGAACCAAGTTTTTTTGATTAAAAATAAATAATGAATGCATACCAAGAAAAACTAATGTTGTTGTTTTGCCGAAGCTCGCCTTCTCCATTTTTTTCAACTACTCGGAGTCTTCAAATTATGCGTCACAATCTACAGACTTTGGCGATTCCTTTGAAGCGCGTTTAATTCATAAAAGTTTTAGCATTTGACGTCAAGGTAAATTTCAAACAAAAGAAAAGTGTAATTAAACAAAGCTGCATTTTTCAACTTTAATTCAAAAAGTACGATGTAGTAACTTTTTAACTTACAGCAAAACAACTTTTACAATTATAATAAAAGGTTTTTATTTCTTAGGAGGAACTTTTTTTTTACCGATATCTTAATAATTTTTAGATTTATATATCTTATAATTCTTTTGTTTTTAAATTAAAACAAATATTAAAGCTTTACTTACGAATCTTTTGATTTTCACACCAGTGTTTTACATTATATAGAACGTTATGTATACGGTCTCTCGTTTTTGTGCAAGAGAGCGCAGTATTATATATTCTGAATCTTACTTATTTTTATTTAAACAATGGGAACTTTTTTCTAACTTCTCTGGCTATTTTTACGCTATGATATTTTTTGTTTCCCCCATCTCCCTCCAAACTTCCAAGACCTTCCTAAGGAGAAGAACAGATCCAATTCAGAGAAAAGGCAACTTGTGTCCTGCCTGTTAAGTAACAGCCTTCAGGTAAGTTTATGTATTTCACCTTAGACTTGTAGAATTTATTTGAATTTATCAAAACTTGCAAACAGTTTGCAATGAAGTCAAGTTAATATTTCAACTTAAAAAAATGTTGCTTGCAAATTAAATTTTCTACAAAAATTTTTTTTTTTCAGTGTGCAGTGTACCTTTGCAGTTTTTTCATGCAGCAAGGAATGCATTTTTGGTGGTTTATGGTTTTAATGACTAAGATCAGGTTTTCCAATTATTAGACCTGTTATTCTGCAAAGAACCATATTAAAGTATTTTGATAGATATTTGAACCTTATAAAGAGCTAGCATAAGATTCAAAGTGGATATCTTCAATCTTGTGCTGTGTTAGGACAGTCAGAAGTTGTTTAATAAATTTTATGCAAAAACATTTATCAATGTATTAATACATTATCAAGAAAAAGAACTTCATCTGACAAGATTAACAGTTATATTTTTGGCAACACATTTACTGACATTGATATGCTTTCTTTTGAAGTGTAGCTAGACTGTTTTACTATATTTAACTTTACTATGTTTTTGAATAAGAATTTTGAGATAACTTACATTCTTGTTAGTAATAATGCTTTTTATTTAGAAAGCTGTTGCGCAAGAGAGTGGCAGATTACTTGAATCACTTCCTGCTTTTGTAATTAGCTTTATCAAAGTTGCAGCCATTTTATTGGCTGAAATATCCATACCTGCAGCAGTTCACATGGTTTCCCAAAATATATTCTTTAGTAAGTGATATTATACACCAATATTTAATAAATAGTAAATATATGCACTAATTTAAAACATACAATTTATTATAAAAAATTTTCTAACCTGTCTATCAACCGATGCTAAATCTGATGATTTTGCAAGAGTTGGGTTTGTAAAAAAATATATTTAGCTAGGGCCTGGGCCAGAGTCACTTATTATATTTCAATACAGCTTTTACAAATATTCATGGTCATCATAGTAACTTTCCATCAGTTGAATTTTTTTTTACTAAATTCAGCAGATTTGTTCTTTGTGAGACTTGGCTATAGAGAATCTAAACTTGGTTGTCACTTGTTGATTCACCAAGACTCAAAGCATGTGACGCTTGGCCTAGGCATATAGTTATGTTCCAATTCTCCTATTTGTCAAGAAATCAAGTTTGAATCTTCTGAACATTTTTTACATGCTTTCACTTAGAACCTCTTCATTCAATTATCTCATTGTTTTTTAAAGTTCTCCTTTTTTTCAAGACTGCAATCTTTTAGATTTAGTTTCTGACCGAAATGACCAAGCCCTGTCTCTTAATTCCTCTGCCAAAAATATTGTTAGCGTGAGTTTAATGCTCATCACACTGAATGGCTTAGCTCTAACACCAGTGCCTGCTGGCACTAAACTTCTGTATTTCTCAATATCTTACTCAGATAGTTAATTTTATGATATGTTTACCTGATAACCCTAATCCCTTACTTTTAATTCTTGATCTTGTCTCTGACCCTAGCTAGTGTTCAGTTTTTCCTTATTCTCATTTAGGTGGTTCCAATCATGCAATGATTAACCTTTTATCTCATACCTTTTCTTCAGACTCACCCTATCATCGTACTACTAAGCTACCCTAAAGCTGACTAAAATGCTTTTCATAATTTTCTTCGAGAGGGGCTGATGTCTTTTCTTTTTCAGCTGATAAATGTGCCTCAGACATAATCTCCATCAATGCAGACAGACCCATAATACATAATCTCCATCCAAGCAGTTTTTATTCTTTCTTAACAATTTCAATTCAAGTCTCATTCTATTTCGTGGTTTTTGGGTGCAGCTACTATATCTAATTGAAATCATTTTTTTCATCTTTTTCAAAGGAATCAAATTTCATCTTTTTCTCCCAAAAATAGAGCAAATATCTTTTTTTGCAAGAAATAGAAAATAATAAAAATAAAATAATAAAAATAAATAAAAAATTTGTGAAAAAGTGTTATCTTAGATGTTAGATTCTAGAGACTTCAACTGTGTCATTAAGAAAATCAAATATTTCATCTATAAATCAATGATCTAATCTTATTACTTCTCCCAAGGATATAGCAGAACTATTTGCAAAGACTTTCCATCTAATTCAACTCTTGAATCTAATGGCTATACTCTCCTGCCATTCTAATTAAACAACTCTGGTGTTCGTTGCTAAAGTAATATCTCAACTAAACTCTTCTACGGCTTGTGGTCCAGATAACATTCCTGTCATAGTCTTAAAAGTATTCTTCAGAACTCACTTTAATTCTCTTTAAACTATTTAATAAGTGCTTGATTGAATCTTTTTTTCCATTCTGCTGGGAAATGGCATCTGAGGTTCCAATTTTTTAAAATTCTGGAGGTACCTCTAGGTTCTACCCTTGGTCCTGTATTTTTTCTGGTCTAAATTAATGATCTTCCTGACAATTATACATCTAAAGTGGCTCTATTTGCTGACAACTCAACTTTATACTTATGTCTTGACAAAAAGAATGCACTTTTCGATCACATAGTACGACAGTCGATCTTGAATCTGATCTCTCTTTTGTAACAGCTTGGGACTTGTAGCGGCTCTAGAATTTTAACTCCAACAAAATTCAGTTATTTACTGTAAACAACTATTGCAATACTGTCAACATTTCTATATTAATGAATGCCAACCCACTCACTGAACCCTCTTTATGTCTTCTTAGATTATCATTTACTACTGACCTCTCATGGTAACCATATATTCAATTAATTGCTTCTCTTTATCCATTTTCTGACTCCTGATTCTTATCTCACCCTCTAAAATTTCTTATTTGTCCCTGTATAAAATACTGTTGTCATATTTGGACTGGTTCTGCTAATAATGCTCTTTCTCTTTAAAAAAGATACAAAAAAAGATTTTGTTTAGAAATTTAAGAAAAACTTTTTTTTAAAAAAAGTTTTTGAAAAAATAATTTTTTTTTAAAAACTTTTTTTTAAAAAAAGTTTTTGAAAAAATAATTTTTTTTTGGATCTTTTAAGCTTTGAAAAAAAATTATGCTGTGTCGGGTTAAACTAGAATACCAAGAAACCAAAGATATTTAAAAACTAAAATGAAAAAAATGCTTTAACACTAGAAGTTTGAATAAAATGATTCAACCAAAATATCTAAACTTATTCTTTTTCTGCATATTTATTAGATTTAATGCAACTTTGGCCTGAACACTGAAATATTCAAAGTATGAAAACATTTGTGTATTTTAAATGCAAAATAATTTGATGCCAGTCTTGACATCTAATAATTTCATTTAAAAAAACAATATTAAAGAAATCTAATATTTTATTTTTAAAAGACAAAAGACTTTTATTCATTATTTATTTTATCTTTGTTTAAGTATTGCTATCTCACAATCCTATAGCTTGAAAACACAAACCTTAAAAACAAAACTCCTGCACAGAAAAATAAACTTAGAACCGAACTACCAGGGTCATGATGGTATGAAACTCAATACTTTTTATACTTTGCTTACAATGTACTCTACACCACTACCACAGTTATAAGTTAACACTAAACATTTTGAAACATTTAATTGTAATGCTTTAGTTTAAAAACATGAAATTTCTGATACAAAAAAAATGCCAATAGTAAAAACTATTTTTACTAATGGCATTTTTTTGCCATTTTTTTTTTATAATTAACTTTAAAAATATAAAATACATTAAACTTTAATATTGCTAAATTTTTAAATACAACAAATAAAATATTAGTAAAATTACATTTTTTCTCTCTAGTACATTGTCAGAAAAATTCATCAGCAAATAACTTGATTATTAACTTGGTCAGAAAAACTTGTCAGCAAACAATTTGTCAGAAATATTTGTCAGCAAATAATTTGTCAGAAAATCATCATATACATAAACAAAACTCTAAAATATTTTTTTTTAGTTTCAGTTCTTACTTAAGAGTCTCCTCAAAAAAAAGTAAATCCACATTTTCAGTTTCGGTTTTTCCAGAAGATGGTAAGAAACACTGAAATAAAAAAATTTAAAAAAATTTTAATATAAGAATTTATTTGTTACTTTTAATATTAAATAAATAATCCATATTACAATTTAAAAACGTAAAAATAAAAAACACTAGAAATCAAAAAAACTATTTCAAATAATTTTTAAATTCAGATAATAATTTGTTGATTAGGCTGGATGTATTAAAAAAAGTAGTAATTGGAGTAATAATTCAGCTTTATGTAAATAAAAATTTTCTTCACGTAAAGTAAGCAATTAACTCCAAAAGCCCTGAGTAATTGCTCAGTTCTATGTGAATAAAAATTTGAGCAAAATTGCTAAAGTTTTTATTTACGTAAAGCTGATCAATTACTGAGTAAACGCAATTGTTTTTTTTATTCACCCGACCTATTGTACACACATTATTAATCATTCAAAGCAACCATCTTATCAGTTTATCAGACTAATCGACAATATATCAAATTTTATGGTAAACAGCAAGCAAACAGACTATAATTAATGACTTTGTATTTTATCTTTCTTTTTATTTAAAAAAAAATAAACTAACAAAACAAATAGCTGAAACTGTTAAATCTGTTAAACTGTTTGCTGTATAAAAAAAAAGAATTTTTTTCTTGAAAGAGTCTCAGAAAGTTTTTCTGAGCATCTTCAACAAATTTAATAAAACTACTGTTCAATATACATCATGTTTTAAGATGTTCCTTTTTTTCTCTACATGTTAAACTTCTTTTGATAAGATTGATTTTTGGCGATTTGATTCACATTCTTTTCTTGATTTCCTTTGCTATGCTAAAATGATTTGGTACTGTTTGTCTGACTTAACTGATAAGACTAATGTTTTTGTGAAATTAATAGTGTCAGGTATAACTTTTTGATAATTTATATAACCTTCTATAATGCAATGAGAAACTATTAATTGTATCTATAGTATTGTATCCTAATTTCACTATATTAAGAAAATCTTATTTAAAATCAAAATTGGTTTTGTATAATGATACTTTATTATCATATTTGACTATTAAAAGTTATTTTTTGAGATTAACTAGACACTTAACAAGTTATTTTTTGAGGTTTACTAGACAGTTAATTATTATATCATAAAAATAAAAAGTAATTTAAAATTTATTTTAATTGAAAAAAAAAACATTAAATATAAAAAATAACACTTAACTGCCATTTTCATATTATAAATGATAATGTAAATCATAGTAAACTGATAACACTAATACTTTGGTGAAACGGTGCTAGATTTATATTTTAGATAATTTGTATAATCTTTTATGAGGCAATGAAAAACTGACTGATTAATAAGTTTTTTTGTTGTTTTACTTTTTTATTATCTTTTTTTTTAATGCTAAAAAGCTGATTACAGTTGAAGAGGTTTCTTTTTTATTTTTGCCCTCTTACAACTTTTTAACCCTGAAACAAAATGATATAACAGGTTTTTAGTTTATTTTGAAACAAAAAGATAAAACAGATATTTAAGTGGTTTTTTTTTTTTGATTTTGATAAAATTGATTCAATAATATTTTAAATTCTATTAATTCAAAACGATTGACATATACTATAAGTCTATGAATTTGTTTAAATGCATCCTATTATACTCAGCCTAAGGTGATTCATTTAAACAAACTTTAGTGAGAATTTTTAAACTGCTTAGTTTTATTAAAAGTAAATTTTATAAGAAACTTTTATTTATAAGAAACAATTTATTTCAGGTGCAAAATCAATACTCTTTAATTTTAATTTTTTTTTTTTATAAAAGATTTATTTTTTAACATCTCCACTTTTTTTTTTTCAGCTTTGAATTATTGATAGTTTAATAAATAAAGTTTTATTACTTGTGATTTATTCCTTAAGATATAGGAATAGAATGATAAATGTATGAATCACAAGATATATGATTAGAATCATTAGCTGATTAGTCTGATAAAGTCTTGGTTTAATTTTAAGGTTTTAAACAAGCTGGTAACATAATTAAAAACTTCTAATGTTGGAAACATTCAACAAGTCATTTAATGCTTTTTGAATATCAAAAAAACTCTTTTTAGAAAAAGCCATTGACTTTGTTAATTTTTTCCTCAAAATAATTTAATTTTACAATGTCACATATTTCAAGTAAACAATTTGCCACAACTTGGTCTTTCATTCTTTTAGTTGTAAAAACTTAATGGATATCAACTTGACTATTAAAGCTATTTCTTCTGTTCTATCAATATCTGTAATGCTTTTGTAAGAAAATTATTCAAATTGTATGATATAGAATCAGATTCAAATCCAAAAGGTCTGTGTATTACATGCAAACTCTCTATGTCAACTAAAAGAAGTGTATTACATGCAAACCCTCTATATCTACTAAAATAATTTAAGTCACACTTATTTTGGTTTATGAAAAACTTTTAAAAAATCTACAATTTGTATTAGGCTAATCCATAATTACTTTGTCAATTTTTGATAAACCAGACTATTTATTTCTTTATTGAAGCACTTTAGTATATACACTGCAGAACTGCTGAATTCAAATATTGCACATTAACCTGGTTTTCTAGAATATTTTAAAACCTAACAATAATATCAACTTGACAATTTTGATTAATTTTGTTCAGGCTTTTTATATAATATAACATAACTTTTAATAGTTTTAAAACAAAAATTCTTTTAAATATGGGATATTTTTAGTCTCTAACTAGGGTTGAACTAGCATGGGCCAGAAAAATCATTATATACTGGCCTCATTATATTATATCAGTCTATTTTTTTATACACTTCTCTTTTAATATCTTTTAATATTTATAGGACATCAATAATTTACAAACATTATATTGTTACATGCATATAACTAATAAAATTAGAATGTAGATTTTTGTAACAACACAGTTAAAATAAATATAATATAATAAAAATATAATAGTATGATAAAACAAGACAAATAATTGATACATACATATTATTGTTTAAACATCTTATCATTTTAGGACATTTTTTGCTTCATTAACCAATATTATTTTGTTGCATTCTTATTGTTTTTCTGCACTTCGACAGAATTTTCCATTTATAACGCATTTGTTAAAATTATTACTGGTAATTTAATTAACTGACAGAATATATAAGTTAACAGTTGTAAGTGCATGTATTGAAGTAAAAAGTATGTAGAAGTAAATGATAACAAATTACACAACACAAAATGATAACAAATTACACAACACAAAATAATAACAAATTACACAACACAAAATGATAACAAATTACACAACACAAAATGATAACAAATTACACAACACAAAATGATAACAAATTACACAACACAAAATGGGAAAAGAATAATCTTAAATTTAAAAACACAAATGTTAATTTGGATTTTTTGATTTTTTTGAGTTTTGGAGTGAGTATATAAGGGTTTTTCTTGTTGTTTATGATGATGCTAAGTTTGTCTTGATCAGAAAGTTATTTTGATCAACCAGATTTTGGAGGTTCAAATGTGCTGTACCTATGTTTTTCTAATTTCTGATCATTGTGCATTTCTCTAATGCAATAGTTTTTTTTAACGATTTCAAAGTTATTTTATGTACCTAAATTATACAAAGTTATTATTTGCTTTCCTTTTTTAAACGAAACACTTTAAGCCAATTTTAAAACTGTTAAATTTTAAATTTTATTAATGTATATGTATGTATGTATGTATATATATATATATATATATATATATATATATATATATATATATATATATATATATATATATACATATATATATATATATATATATATATATATATATATATATATATATATATATATATATATATATATATATATATATATATGTGTGTGTGTGTATATATATATATATATAAAATATAAATTTTATATATATATATATCTTCTATAGCTGGTTTAGATGAGCATTTACTGACAATTTTTGCTTATCTTTATGCATTTTTAGAAAAAGAAGAAAGAAATGAAGAATAATGAAAAAAAAGATTGCTGCCCATCCCAAACCCTCAGTCAATGCATGTTGATGCATGTATTGAAGCAGGCTTTTTCAGTGTGACATCAGAGTGCTCATTTAAAATAGCAATTTGAGTTTTATATATATATATATATATATATATATATATATATATATATATATATATATATATACACATATATCAATATATATATCAATATATATACATATATCAATATATATATCAATATATATATATATATATATATATATATATATATATATATATATATATATATATATATATATATATATATATATACATATATACATATATATTTTTATCAAATAATATTCATTAACTTTTGAAATAAATTTCAAAGTGGTAGAGACTTTTACCATCAAATGTCTTTTTTCAGTATCATTTAAACTTTCTTGAATCCCTTTTTTCAAAACTTCTCGAAATATTTCCTCCTAGTAACAATATGATAAGAAGATTATTAATATAATCTAATGATTTTAACAAATAATCAACTTCTAAATCACAAATTTTGCTTTTTGTATGATAATATGCTACTTATATAAATATTTATTAATAGATTCATATATCCAAATTAAAAAATTTTAAAACACACTTACACTTTGAACAAGTTCTTCAGGAAGCATAACCTCTTCATTATTTAACAGAGATAACATTGGTAAATATATCTTGCTAGTTTTATGTTCTAAAACATTTAAATTTAAACCCTGACCTTTAAAAAAAAAAAAAATTTAGCAGTGCTTTATTTTTCATTTAATATGCATAAAAATACTTTTTATTTAACATGCATAAAAATGCTTTTATTAAACGAGATAAAAATAACGCTTATATAAATAGCATTAATAAAATGGCAAGTAAAACAATCTGAAAAGTAAAAAAAAAAAAAAAAAAAAAAAATTAAATTAATTGACTTCACTTTAAAAATAAACAAATTAAAAATTTTTAAGGGTGAAGTCAAAAGAACAGCAGTAGCGATTAAGATAATAAATATTTAATATATTTAAAAATATATTAACGCAACTATGAACCACTAAAATTAACAGCAAACTATTTATTATAATAAAATCATAACTTTAAATTAAAACCATTTTATACCAAATTAAAAACAATTCTTATTCTTTATAGTAAAACAGTTCTAAATTAGTGTGACAGACTTTGTTCTTTGTTTTATTAGATTGTTCTGTAAGTTAGTGTATTATGTTTGTTAATGCTGTGTGTGTTTCTGTTATCAATAGATCTTGTGTTGTGATAAGTGTGTAAATATAAATTTTATTATTTCATTTTATTTTTATCTCTTGATAACATTTAAAAAAATTATTCAGAATTGCTACATAAAGTGATTGTTACTTTTTTTTGCTTCTAACAAATAAAGAACAGTTCAAAAATTTGTAAATAGTAAACTATTTAATAAATAAAGAAAAACAGTTCAAAATTTAATAAATAAAGAAATTTTAAAGTTTGAAAAAAGTTAGTTAAGTTAGAACTAAGTTTTTTTTAAATTAATTTTTGATTTTCTGTTTTAATGCTTTAAAGTATTTAAATATCTTTTAAAAAGATTCCACGTTTTTTAATGAAAAAGATTCTTAATAAAAAATAATTTTGCAAACCAAAATGATATAAATATACAAAATAACAAAAATATTATAACTTATTCTTTATTTGATTCTATTATAATCATTTCTTTATTTGATTCTATTCCAATTGTTTCTTTATTTGATTCTATTCCAATCAAAACGTCTTCATTTAAAGTAGAAATATCCACAAAGTCTTTTAAATAATTTTGCAAGTATTTGATATCCAAAGAATAGAACTGTGTTCCTTGACTAGAAGGTAAACGAGCAATCATTTCACTCATTTGTATTGCAGGAAAAAACATTTCAAATGCTTGTTTTATAAATGGTAGAAAGTGCATACAAATCATTTGACAAAGTATTCTGATTTCCTCAATATTTTTGGTTGATTGAGATTCCAACCTAAAATTTAAATTGTGTATATGGCATGTTCTAAAATTGCAAAAATATTTAATTTTACTTATTTTTTTATCTTTAACAAAAAAGCATGACTGCAGACACACGAAAGTATATGAAATTTTTTTTTCTAGTAACAAATTTACTTTTTTATTGTTATTGTAGTATAATTAAAAACAGATTGTTGTAAAATATTACTATCAAATATAAATTGAATTGCAAACTGAATTATCTGATGGAAATAAAGATGGGATCTTAAATTTATCATCTGATAAACTGAATTCTTTTACTATGAAAAAAAAAAAAATTTAAATTTATCAAACAGACAAGGAAACTATTGTAATTATCATGTATTAAGACTTTAAAAAATGAAAAAGTTCTCACTTAAAAGCTAAAAAAATTCTTTAGATATACAAACAAACATTAAACCATATGTTTTTTTACAGCTGGAATCTTTTATATATATATATATATATATATATATATATATATATATATATATATATATATATATATATATATATATATATATATATATATATATATATATATATATATATATATATATATATATATATACATATATATATATAATATATATATATATATATATATATATATATATATATATATATATATATATATATGTGTATATATATATATGTGTGTATATATATATATATATATATATATGTATGTATATATATATATATGTATATATATATATGTATATATATATATATATATATATATATATATATATATATATATATATGTATATATATATATATGTATATATATATGTATATATGTATATATATATATATATATATATATAAATATATATATATATATATATATATATATATATATATATATATATATATATATATATATATATATATATATATATATATATATATATATATATATATATATATATATATATATATATATATATAATTAAAACTTAACATTGAAAAATACTTGTATCAAAACCTGTAATCGATTAAAAAAAAATTAAAAAATTTGTTGTACCATGAAACAACTTAAAATCCCTATAACATTGATTTTAGTTTTTTTTTTTTTTTTGTTTTTGTTTTTTACTGCCTTTTTTTGTATTTTTGCTACTTTTAGATGTTTTCAGCTATTTTTATACACTGAAGGAAATAGTTTTTGGAAACATTTTTTGTTTTCAAAAATGCTGTATAATATTTTTGAAAACACAAAAGTAGGTCATACTCGGGCTCAAAAGCAATATGTGCAATATTAATAATAATGAATCTCAATATTTAACAAAAATTTACTCTATAAATTCTATTTATCAGCTTACAATTTGAATAATATGCAACAATAAAATAAAACTAACTTTAAATACAATTGTACATACTAATTTAAACACTAATGCAGTAGTACAAATATTGGCAAGACCAAAAAGAAAGTTATTTCAAAAGAGCTAAGCATCAAAAAGTCTGTAAAAATGAAACAAGTTTAAGAGAAAACATTTTAAAGCATAGCTTTGACTAGCTACGTCCAAAGACCTAATATTATTACTATTATTATTATTATTATTATTATTATTATTATTATTATCATTATTATTATTATTCCAGAATACTAAAGCAAAAGAAATTAGGGAATCTTTTAATATTAACAGAGCAAATATTCAACAAGAACTGGCAAATAGGAAAGTAGTAGTCAAACGAGATAAAGACAATAACATTAAAACTTGTTAAAGTTTTTTTTAAATACTTCAACACAACATTTGATTAATATTTTATTTTATGTTTTTAAATTTTTCTTTTTTTAACAGTTTATTATATTTATATTAGGATTATTATAACTATTATCATCAATACTTATACTATTTCTTAATAGGAAGAAAAAAATGTTACTTATTTGATATTGCATAAAAGTTGTTTTGTTAATAAGGAGAATTTGAATTTACCTTGCCCACTCTTCAAGTGCTGACATTGACTTTTCTAACGAACTTTGAATGATTTTCTTAATAATAAAAACAAAAGAGAGAGCTGGAAACTGTCTTAAATCATTAAAAGCACCTAAAATACCATTTGTATAAAACACAATTGGCGGAAAACACAGGAGATGATGTGGAGGTGTAAAAGAATCACTTTTGAACAGTTTCTAATAAAAAATAAATTTAAATTAAAAAAATATAATATAACTTTATAAGTTCAAAAAAAAACTTTCTTCTTGTTATTATTTTTCTTATTATTTATTATATTATTATTTAGTATTACTTTTTTATTAAAAAATTTATTATTTATTTTCTTATAAAAAAAAATCATGTTTTATAAAAAATTACTTTTTCATTTTCCTTTCTTTTATGGTCAAAAGTTGTATAAACACGAATGTTGTCTCTAAACCTAGAATTATCATACACTAAAATAATTTACAATCTTAAATATAAATATATCACCAATTTATATTATAAAAATAATTTACCATCTTACATAAAAATTTATCATTAATTTATGTTATAAAAATAATTTACATTTATAAATAAAAATTTATCATTAACTTATATTATAAAAAGAAATTGACAAAAAAAAATCTTAAAATAGACAATTCCAAAATAAATTTGAATAGCAAGAATAATATGCACCTAATCAAATAAAGAAATAATTAAAAAGAGTTGAAAAATTAAAACATAAACAATATATACTTGTATTTTTATTTCATTATTACTTTTTGAAAATTCAAATAAAATAATAATAAAAAGACAAAAATACATTTTTTACTCAATGGTAAGGATGAAAATAAAAAAAAAAATTAATAACTTCTTATTACATTATTAAGAGTTCTTTATTTATGACTTTACAAGAGTAATACATAAACACCATTAGATATTTATGACTTTACAAGAGTAATACATAAACACCATTAGATATTTATGACTTTACAAGAGTAATACATAAACACCATTAGATATTTATCAGAGTAAATATTTTTTAACAATTAAACATATTAAAATGCAAATATCACAACAAAAAAAACTTATATTTTTATTCTAGTAAGATAAGTTCCAAAATTATTTTAGTTAAACACTTTCAGAAACATTGTTGAAATGTGACACACTAAGTCATTGATCTAAACTTTTATCTCTGTCATTGAGAAGAGAAAGTTATACATCAATAAAATAACTTTTTTTTAATAAACTCAAAGAATATTCTTGTTGTCTGTTTAATTCATAAGTTGTTAAATGAATAATTTTCTCAAATAAACATTGTACAAGAAAATTTGTATTAATCACATTGTTTAACTTAGTTGATGTGTCAAGTTGCTGGAACAAAGAAGTGAACTTTCAAGTCACTTCTATCCTTAGAAAGTATTTCAAGTCACTTCTATCTTTAGAAATATTCTTAGAAGCTATATTTCAAGTACTCTTGAAAAATAAACTTAAAAGCAATGTCTTTTTTTAATAATTTTTCATAGATAGCAATGCAATTAATAATTTATAAGTGTTCTTGAAGCTATAGTAAAATAAGATTGAACTATACCATTTTAAATAATAAATATAACTATTTGCAAAATATTTTATAATAAAAACCTGGTTGTGGTAATATCAACAGTATGTTTGAAATGGTGAAGAATCACTTTTTGAAAAATGGGAACAAGAAGCCCTCTAAAATCAGCTCCAATACGACTAAATGAAAGACCAAAAT